CCACATTAAATGAAAGACCGCTGACTATGATGCTGACTTGTTTTTCAGCCACAAACACAATAGCTCAGAGTTACACTATATTTTTTTAATTATTGCAAAACTTCAGTTGTAATGATAGCAATATGGACAGACTGAGGATGTTTCCAGATGGAAAGCTTCTAGCACTATGAGTTAGACGGCGTTTTGCAGGCACTTGGTCTTTTTCTAACAGATTTTCTGGAAAAAGAAGACAAAAGCAGCAGAGCAATAACGCAGAATGCTTAGGAGCAGAAAATGACATTGATTGAACACGTCTCTTCCTAAAAGTCTGTGAATAATGCAGGATGTCAAAAGGCTAGTTTGGAGACACCACGAGTAAAAATGCTGTTTTGATTGTGCAAGCAAAACTCTGCAGTCCAAGCTCCATCTATAGTGAGTTTATAAGGATCTCCAGGGTTTGGAAACACTGTCCTATGAGGAGAAACTGAGAAAACTGGGTATATTCAGCCTTGAGAAGAGAAGACTAGTGGGTGGGGGAACATGATATCACTCTTTACATACCACAAAGACTTGCAAGATCTCTTCTCACTGATATGGAATAATCAATTCAAGTTGCAACAGCCCAGATCCAGGCTAGATATCAGGAAAAGTTTCCTCACTGTCAGAGCAGTATGACAGTGGAACCAGTTGCCTAGATAGGTTGTGGGCTCTCCCACACGAGAGACAGTCAGAAAGAAACTGGACAGTCATCTGAGTGGGATGGTATAAATTGGTGTCCTGCAGCAGCAGGTGGTTGGACCCAATGGCCTTCATGGCCCTTCCAACTTTACTATTCCGTGATTCAATAAAATATTTTGACAAGGCTTCACAATGGGACTAAATGAAACAAGTGATCTGATTTGTATCCATGTTTTTGGTTGTCACTGTATAGAAACTGCCACATTTATTGCTTTGGCACGTGTGTTCAATTTGTTTTATGTAGTACTAGAGTCTGTTCTTGAAACATTCAGATTTCTGGATGCTGCATATGAAACAAAGGATTATGGTGGAAAGGGGACATATTTTAAATGCTCTTTCCCCCCAATGAACTGGTAAAGAAGGCTGCCTTCAGAATCAAATGTTCTATTTTTACACAGCAAATATGTTCTCATAGTCAGAGAACATACAAGCCAACATGCAGAGAGCATACAGGAAGACACAAATGAACTTGCTTTCTCCTGGTAAAGGTATTTCTGAACCATGAATTTTGGAACAGTTAATAAATTGTTGTCATAACATAGTTTACTTTACATTTTGCTCATTCTTTTAAAAAAATTGTATTTGTCCTGTGTTTTTTTTTTTTTTTTTTTTTTGACAGACCTGGTGATTACTTGAAGGACTAGCAAATGTGTCCTGACCAGGAAAATGGTATTCCTCTGCTAATTCCATTAGAGAACTAACTTATCCAAACAAAGGTAGCGTGGAACATTATAAGTGCTATTAAAAGTTTTATGTCAGTGAAGGCAAGTTAACAATGGTGATGTAGGTAGGCATCAGCAGTTTATGTGATAGATAATATCAGTTATGTGATAGAAGTTCTCCCATTTAATTTTGGTAGGCTTTTTCACAGTTTGCTGCAAGAAAAGAAAAGTTCAAGCATGCATGTATATTGCTTGATGCTTTCTCAAAGATTCAGACTTGCAGTTGAATGTGACCTTGACCTCATTCATAAACATTATCTTTGAGTTGGCATGTGATTATTTTATGTATGATATTTTAATCTGTGGAAATGTAAGTCACTTTTAATGCTGTAGTCATCAAATGATGAACATGCATGTGTGAATTACCTAAGGACACATAAAATGTGGAAAGCTGAGATAGTAGTGATTTCAGTCTATACCAAAGAAACAAAATTAAAAAAATAAAAAGGGAGAACTTGCAGAACCACAAGAACCTGGAAAGGGATTGAGGGAAACAGAGACTCATGGTACCTCAGCTCACAAACACCTCAGTTCACCACCAAATCGGGTCGCGAACAAAAATTTCATAAAAATTTTGACTTGGGTCGTGAACTCTGCATTGGGTGGCACCCGCGATCACGGCCATCTCCTCACCCCACTCCCGAGTGGGGAGATGGCTATGATCGTGGGCGCGCTCGTGCAGGGGAGATGGCCATGGTCGCGATTGTGCTCGGGGTGGGGTGGGGAGATGGCCGCAATCGTGCTGGGGGGGGGAGATGGCCAAGATCGTGCCAGTCTTTCCTGCATGAACGCGCCCATGATTGTGCCCATATTTCCTGCATGAGTGCGCCCGTGATCGCGCCTGTCTCCTCCCATTGCGCCCGCGATCGCACCCGTCTCCCCCCGACTGTGCCCGCGATCACGCCCATCTTCCCCCCCCCGAGTGCGCCCACAATTGTGCCCATCTTCCCTGTGGTTAAAAAAAATATTTACAGAACAGATTAACCTTATTTACATTTAACCTTATGGGGAAATTTGACTTGGCTCACGACCTATTTGGGTCACGACCAGAGTCATGGAATGGATTGAGTTCGTGAGCCACGGTACTACTGTACTTCTAAGTTGTTACTTAGAATGGACTTCTCATAGTTGTTGTGCTCTAGATATTCTGTACATCAACTCCATTACCCACAGCCTGCATGGCTAATGGTCAGGAATATTGGGAGTTCTTTGGAGGTCATGAAATTAGCAAAAGTTGCCCTAAAATTATAAAACAACTCCCAAACAGCTGGAAAAAACTTAGGCAATCTCCCAGTTGAGAAGCTCACAAATGCTGAGCTGGGGGAGGAAAGGTCAAAGAGAAGTTTGCTTCAGCTTGCAAATACTTGTTGAGCCTTTTGTTTTAAAACTGGTATTATTTTGATAAATTTTCCATCAAGTTTGCTTATAATTATCCATTATTTAAAAATGCCAATGCATTTCAGGGGGGAGTGGGAATCTATAGAACAAATTATTCAGTTGTAACATTAGCTGTGCTTTAGTAGAGCTTCAGGTCCACACATTTTTTCCTACACCATGTGTGAATGAAAAGTATTTAAATGCATCCATTTTTAATTTGAATAAATTCCAGGTTCTTCATTCCATACTTGAGGAACTGTGCGAAACCATTTTTTCTTGTTTCATTTGAACCCACTCTAACTGTGGTTAGTAGTAGTAGTAATAATAATAAAGAATCAAACTGATTTCAGATGTTCTCTGATTAAAAATAATAGGTAACCCTTCCTGTATTTGCTTTGAAATTTGTTGGTAAAAATTAATATGATGTATAGAATTAAAATGATCTTGTAAGAAGATTTATCTTCTGATTTTGGTTATTCCTGTATAAGTCTTTAGATTTTCTCTAAGCCTACAGATCCTTACAGCCTTTCCTTGGAGAATGTAAGGACATGGGACAAGATTATTCCATTGATTTCTACCTAGGACAGCTTGAATCAAGCAGAATATTTTACTGTTAAGTTCTTTTCAACAAATGAATTTAAAAAGCAAAAGTGGAAGAATAGTAAAATTATGACTACCAGTTCAATGGTGGTGGCCTGTCATGGAATGTATATAGATTATAACAAATAGTTGTATACCATTTGTTGGGCAAATACAGCTAGCTTAGTGTTTAACCACTTTGACTTTTACCTGGTTTGCATGTAATGTCAATTCATGGGTTATGTAACCCATAAATTGGTTAGGAGCAAGCATGCTGCCTTCTCTGTGCTTGCTACTTTCACATTGGAATGGCTTTCATCAAGAACACAGGAATGTTTTCTTTCCTGAATTGCTTAGTGTGATTTTTGAACCTGAAACTCTGGGTGCCTAAGGGGACAAACAGCCCAGCATTTAAGCCCAACAACAAACCATGGGTTCAAACCAGGGCTTTTTAATCTTAAAGAAGCCAGAGTGCCAGGTTTGCATGTGACATTAGCCTCAGGAATGGGGTGTTTTGGGGTTGTTGATGAAGGTGAATGTAAATTAGAAGTGGCAAGTGGGTAAGAAGCAGCTTGCTTGCTGCTGCGTGGCACAATCCACCCATGGTTTAAACAGCAATCCCATGGACTGTCATTATGTGTGAATTGGGTCTTTAAGTTCACAATAAACTGTAATACTACACTTTATTTCCAAGATCCATATAACTTGCTTACCATTGTAATTGGCTAAAAGGAGCATAATTTCTTATATTAGTACAGAGGCTGTTTTCATTTAAAATTTATTGGCTACTTGTATGTATTACATAAAGAAATATAACCTTTATTTTGAGTTTCATTTGCGTTATCAGACATTTTGTGTTGTTCCATCCTGGTAACCTCCCTTTCCATAGAATTTTTGACATCCCCCCCACCCCCAGTTACTTAATATATAATTCAATGTAGAACTCCATATCCTAATCTTTCCTGCCATATTTCTTCCAGCTGTTCTGCTCTTTTAGATTGTTTGGGATCAAGAATTGCATTGTTCATTGCTTGCCTCTGCAGGAGATTAGAATGACTATATAGCAACAAACTGAAAGCTTCAATTTTAAATGAATCAGACTTAAGCATTTGAAGGACTGATTTTATAACTTGAAATAGAAAGGTCTGTATTACATGACCTCTTCTCTAACTTGCTAAATATATGTACCATGGGTCTTCAACAAAGGTTTCATAACTTCTCAGCGACAAGTAGAGGAAATAGATATAATGCCATTTGACTTCAAGAAGCTTCAAGAAACAGTTTCCTTTGTTCTGTAGCCAGATTTATCATGAAAGGGCATTGCATGGCTTTTTCCATGATGAATTTCAATTTTTAGTACTATATTTGGTAAGAGCACAAGCATGTCTTGAGGTGGCTTCTTCTCTTTTGTTTCTTGTTTCTCTTAACACCTCTCACTGTCATGCTTAAGCATAATTATATTTTAAATATTAAGAAATAAGATGGTGTTTAAAACTTGACATTTGTGTTACCTAAGATAAAAATACACTATTGGACATTGGAACTGTTGGTTCTGAATATGCCTTGTGACCAGAACTGTGGTTCATTACTACTTTTTCCTCTCAGAGGTGAAAAAGGAGTAGAAGTTGCAAGAAAATGCTTGGATCAGAACGTGGCGTAGTAGAAGAATGGCTTTCCGAATTCAAGGTGAGCAAAGGTGTTTTTAAAAGATATATATTTTTCACAACTGTTTGGCTGCTGGTTATGAGGGAGATTTGTACTGCCACCGTCTCTTTCCTCCCTGCCCTCCTCCAGTAGCAATATCTATGCAGGGATAGTCTTTGCTAGATTGGGGCCTGTGTTTTGCTTGTGTTCAGACATAGCATTGATAAATAACCTATTTGTCACACTGCTTGTTTCTTCTCCTAGGCATTACCTGAAATGCAGATCTCCAGTTATGCAGCAACACTTCACCGGAAGAAATCATTGGTGCCCGCTCTTTATAAGGTCATTCATGATCCAAACAATGAGGTATGAGATAGTCAAATAATTTTAAATAAAAAGCAACAATATTCACTTCATCTTAAAAGCTTTGTATTGGTTGTTCCATTGGCTTATTAGAGTGGGCAAAACTTTGCTTCATTCTGCACTGATGTATTTTATTTCTGAAGTCTTTGACAAGCAGAGAATTATTTCTATTTAAGGGTAGTCTATTTAAAACATTTAATTGTATGAAATATTGTTGATTAGATTGACAGTAGTCACAATGGACTCACTCATGATAGCTGTCAAAACCAAGCAGCAAATAGAGTAGCTAGATTTCAGTTCAACCTGTATTACATTCTCCTCTTGGATACACACCTTAATGTGGTGTGGGAATTTGAGAGTGTCAGAGAAGCCAAGAACAATGTCATCAGAAGGCTAACCTCTCACATGGTTGTATCTTGTCGGGTCTGTAACCACACAGTAAAAATGGATGGATTGATATGGTTGTATCATCTTTAGCAAAGCTAAAGTTGCCTTCTGAATCTAAATTAAAAATAGAAATCTATAGTTTAAAACATTACACTCTGATGTACTGAATACAGTAATAATCTACCAGCTAAGTTTAAAAGAACTGGAGTTGTATCAAGTACCTTAAGCAAACACAGGAGGAGTTTTAATTTTCCCTGTCTTCTTGGTATAGCAATGCCCACATAGTCCCACATTACAGAAATATTTCTCCACACAGTTACTTGTTTGGGAATGTTTAAAAAGAAATACTTGATCCTGGGCTATACTTTTTGTTGCAAAACACCGAACAGTAAACCAGAATTTGATTTCTGGAGGCTTTATGGAAATGCGTGATTAGAAAATCGTTTGGGTGAATGTAAACTTGTGATCATTTTATAGAACTTGTAACAGTGTTACCTCAAAATAGGCATGAAATACTTGCTTTTTGCTGCTGATACACTTTTAAAGATGCAACATTACTGTGATATATGTTTATTGCCCCACATTTTGCATTTCTAGTGTGGCCCTAAGAATAGTTTCTTATTGCTTATGAAAAATAAGGCAATGATGTAATAAAAGCATAGGCCATTGTCAACATATCCCTTAAGAGTGAGCATTTTATTTTAGAAATAAATTAAATACCTTGAGCTAATAAAGCTTTTCCTCAAACTTAGTGAATGGAGAGGTAAGCAACCATTTTAGGTTGTGGGCATATTTGGCAGTTTGAGAAATGGCACTGAGCTACATCATAAAATGGTTCACATGGACAAGTTACCTGCCTCAAGAGATTGAGTGAAAGGCAAAAGTTGGATCTGAGCCTCAATACGCTGAACAACTTTGTTAAAACCAGTTTTCAGCACCAACAGCAACCTATTTCATAGAAAGACCATCTGCAGGTAGGCAGCTGTATTAATTTAAAAACATGTGGAAAGCATAGGACATTTTGGGCACCAAGAGAAGTTTTCAGGAGTGTATTGGTACCTATATGCATCTTGGTGTCTACCCTTGACTCAGTGAATAGACTCTTAGAGGTAATACATTTTCTTGCTTCCACTTTTGAAATGCTTGTCTTTTGCGATACTCATTTCTCATTTCAATACTGGACTTTTTCCAGTACTGTCTATTTTAAAATTATGCTTTATAAGAAGTTTCACATAATTTGAATTTGCTAACAAAATCAGATTGCAAAACCAGTTTTGCTTACTATACCAAGTTTATAGGCTGATGCATTGATTATTGGCAGTTTACAATTTTAAAAGGGATTGTTTTCATGGTGTTCACCAGCTGACCAGAAAAATAATGTTTGATCTGATGGGTGTGCCGGTGTGGTGGGTTCTGTCTCTTCCAGCTTCTGGAACCTGTCTGCCACCAACTCTTTGAACTTTATCGTAGTTCTGAAGTTCGTCTCAAAAGGTTCACATTGCAGTTCTTGCCAGAACTGATCTGGGTTTATCTGCGTCTTACTGCCAGCAAAGATAGGCAGAGTAATGGTTGCATTGAAGCCCTGCTTCTAGGAATTTACAACTTGGTGAGTGAGACCATTGAAATGCTTTGGCCTTTTGTATCAATATATAGGAGTACTAAATCAAGATACCAGGGCAGTGCTATTCTTGCATGATTTTTGTAATGTTTCTAATCCCTCCCTCCCTCCCTCCCTCCCTCCCTCTTGCTTGCTTGCTTGCTTGCTTGCTTGCATTTGTATGCTGCCCAATTGTGCCACAGCACCTCTGGGCAGCTCAAAACCACAAGATAAAAATATAATAATAACCAATAACATATTAAAAACAACAATAAGATAAAGCAGAACATACAAAACAAAGGTAGAATGGTTTAATAACATGGCAATACCATACAGTCTTTGAAGCTTTAATCCAGATGCAAATAGGGATGTCTCTGGGTAGTAAAGATGCTAATGTAGGAAGAAAAGTTGCAGTGTCATATTTGTAGCACAGATGACCCAGGGGTTACCATTGGTCACAAGTGCATTCACACATTTTTGGAATGTATGCCAGCTATACCTGTTTCTAGGTAGGGTGGCTTTAGCCACAGTGATTCATGTCCTGGTATATCAAACTCAAATGAACTAAATGCATCCCACATGGGGCTGCTTCTCAGAAGTGTCCAGAAAGTTCATTTAGTCCAGAATGTGGCAGCTAAAGTTTTGACAGCAGCCCGTGATTCCCAATTTGCAACAACTTCACTAGCTTTCCAAGCCAGTTTCAAAGTTTAGTCATTGGGGCTTTGAAGGTAAATGGCTTCTGACCCAGATACCTAAAGTATCATCTGCTTTCATATGAGCCTGCCTTCTCTTATTAGGATCAACTGCAGAGGCTCTCATTCATATCCTGTCAATATGTGTTTGTGGACATGCAAGGGCAATTTTTTTTTTGTATCCAAATTCTGGACATTGCTGCCTATGGAGCCCTGCCATGTTCCCTCTCTGATATTTCAGCATCTTTTTTTCCTGCTGTATATATGACTTGTTTTGTTTGATTGAGGATTGTTTTATTAAGTCTCTAGAGAATACATTTGAACATTACTTTTGTCTCTTAATACTTTATCTCTCTATTCTCATATGTTTTATTGTTAGTATTTGTAGTAAGCCAACATGATCAGTTTTAATTGGAAAGGCAGGGTAGACATGTTTGAATTAATAAATAAAATCAGATTTTAAAAACCTTTGGGTAAGGGCTAAACTACAGCTTACAATGGCTAACAGTGAAGTTGCTGAAAATGTGCTTCCCCATAAATTGTATCCTGGTCTGTTGCACAAATAGAATCTCAATCTTCCGTCATAGGCCTGGCCCTCAATTTGCTAGGCAGTTGATTTACTGTATAACAACTTTGGTTGCTGTAATTTAAGTGCATTCCTTTCAACACACTATGGCACAAAGTAGCTTAGTTCCTAATTCCTTTCATTGTAGGAAATCGCTGACAAAGATGGAAACAATAAAGTCCTGTCTTTCACCATCCCTTCCTTATCCAAGCCATCAATTTATCATGAGGTAAGTGTTCAGTTGCATTGCCAAGAGTTTCTGATTAGAAATGCAAGTTGAGTATAGCATTTAGCCCTAGGAGAACTGTGCACTAACTTAAAACTAAACTAGACCTTCTTCATTTCATGATACATTATAATAGCACGATCCCTTCTGTGAGTCTTCAATGTCCCTGTCTCAGGTTCCCCTCCTTGCTGCACATTCCTTGTTTTTTGAAATTATGTTGACTTAGTTTTATCTGGTTTTTCTTTTCTCTTCTTCTTTTAATACCTAAGCCATCTACTATTGGATCCATGGCTTTAACTGAGGGAGCCCTGTGCCAGCATGACCTGATCAGAGTAGTTTATAGTGACCTTCACCCTCAGAGAGAAACATTCACTGCGCAGAACAGGTGAGCTGGTGGTTCACCAGTTTTTCACAAATAGCCTGTCAAGGTATTTGTAAGTTGCAAAGTATGAAGAGAAGGGTCTGAGATAGTTAGGGAGTGCAAAAGATTTTTATATTTGCCTGATCAGTGGATGTGTTCTAATAATGGATGCATTCCAATATATAGTTGTAAGACTCTATATTACAGTCTTAGAGTAATATAAGACTGCTGCTCCTGAAAGAGCCTAGTTCCTGGTTGTCATTTTGTTCAGCTTTTAAAACATGTAATCAATTGCCATGTCATTAGCTGAATATAAACTTTGAGCACATCTGTGACTTCCCATTCTACTTTGAGTATCCTGTGTAAAGGGAACTGGAGAGACTAGTTACCTTTTTCCCTTTCACATATTTGCAGTTTAATGATTAATGATGCTATTACATTTTGTAACACTTTTATGCCAAATCCAAACAGAATAAAGCAAAAAGATGTACTCACTAGTAGACTCTCAGATTAATAGACCCAGCAATAGCATTGTCTTGTAATAGAATGTTAGCAATTTTCTGTTCCACTTGTCTCCCTTTAGGTTTGAGGTGCTGAGCTTTCTTATGCTGTGCTACAACTCTGCTATTGTCTATATGCCTGCCTCTTCCTATCAGTCACTTTGCAGGATGGGTTCCAGGTGAGGATGGTACACTTGACATTATTGAGAGTTTTTCCCCCCTAGGAGTTTTAAATCAATAAGACTCTGCTTCATAGAGAATTACAAATCTGTGTCCGTATTTATGTCTGATGATTTAATTTGCTATTTATTGAATTATTGATTTGTTCATAATATTTCTGTACTGTTTAATATAATAGAAATTCTAAACAGTTGACACTAAAATGCATATATACACAATATAAAATGATGTACACAACAGTAAATAATTAAACATCTCAGTGAAGACACCAATAAAACAGATTAGTGTCATAGTCGTCCATTACAGGTCAGAGAAAACCTGTGAAAACAATTTTTCCAAGAGGTGTTTGAAGCTTGCCACTGTTTCTACCTTTCAGATTCTCTATTTCTTCCTTTATGGAAGACTTAGAGGGGGGCTGAGAGTCTTCATATTTTTCCCATTAAATCAAATAAAAATAACTGTATTCTCTCAGTGCAGTGAATCCAGATATTTCAGTTAGGAGCCAAATAACTTCCTGGCTAGTCCCATGCCCCCAAGGGAGACTTATCTTGTGTTTCTCAAAAAGATGATCACATGCAGGGATAGGAAGTGGGCTCCGGGATCATGTGTGCCCATCTATCTGCAGGTTCTCTCCCTCTCACTTATCCATTGGTGTGATTTGCTAACCTGGATGGAAATCCAAGTTTTAGAAACTTGCTTTTGTTGGGGTTCTCAGAAGTAGATTTAGGGGGCATTCCTGGGCTCATTTGTAAACCAAGTCATCAATGAGAAGGGCAAGAAGTACGTGTGTGACGAGAGAAAGGGCAGGAAAAGATACCATGAAAAGCCATGGCTTTCTAATTCTGCCACCTCAGCTATTTGTAGCTGTGCACTGAGAACTTCAGAAGTAATTTGAGATATGGCATGTATCCCTTTTTAATAAGATTTAAAAACTATATCTACTAGGAATGGCCAAGTTCTTGAATATGCCTGAAGTAGCAGTTTGGATTCCAGCCTCTCTTCATTTTCCTGCTTATATTTGGTTTTCTCATGACCTTTGCAGCAATGAATTAAAATATTTTCCATCGGCAGAATTCTTCAGTACAGATGGCATGTTCATGCTGCATGCATGCCTTTACAGTGGAGTGAGCAATGTATAGCCATCCAGGTGTTTTGGCCTCCAACTTCCTTGAATCCTCACCTTTCCTGACTAGGGCTGTGGGGAGTTTTGCCCTTCAAGTTGTCCACCCCTACTTTACAGTATACAGTGCTTGTGGATTCCTGTAAAATTCATGGATAAGATTGAGCTTTCAATTTGTCCTCACAGCTCAGTTTCCTCTCTCCTTGTGATCCTTTTAGTGACCATAGAGTACCCTACTTCATGCACCCAAGAAGACACTTACAGGGGAGGATGTATTTGGTGTTTCCCTCTATGATGTTTTGGTGGTGAATGAATGACTCCTCTTAACTTTTAAAGGATTATTTCAATCAATCTTTGGCCTGGATCACAAATTCCCCCTGCTGGGCTTATCTCCAGTTAACTATTACATGGGCCTTAACAATATTGGTGGTTAGAACAAAGTGATGTTCCTAGTTTATATAGACATTGGGAAACTACAAGGAAGTCTCCACTCATATGGTTCCCACAAAAAATATGATTGGAGTGATCTTGTGATTTTAGTGATGTGTTGGTTTTCTGTCCTCTAGCCTTGCAAGACTTGTTATATATTGCATTTGATTGATTCATTTTTATCAAGCTGCTTTTCTGAAGAAAGTAAAATTGATTCCCCCTTATTTTATTCAGGTAGCTTCTTTTGGAAATTAGAACTGTGCTTGATTACTCACAACATGTAATTAAGAGTGTGAAAGTTTATTTATGCAAAATGTTTAAGATGATTTGATTTTTAGAATTGCATTTTGTATTTTGCCAGGCTCTGTGTGAGTGGGTTTCCACGGCAAAATGACAAATGCTGGAAGGAAGACTGTGGAAGAGTAGTACTGGATCCTGACTTCATGGTACAACTACTCACTGGGGTCTATTATGCTGTGTAGGTATCCACAGGTCCCTTTTATAACATTCCTCAGTACAGTGAATACTGGTGAAACACAGCTTGAAAAACTGGAAAAAAACCCCTATCAGACATATCCCAATTCAGTTAGCGTACAGAGAGTCCAGAATTACAAACTCTTCTAGCTGAAATTATGTTCTTTTATTAAGTCAGCAACATCACATGATGATATGGGGAGGCATGGGTTTAGGATGTATGACCAAAATTAGCTACAGAAATTAGTATCATGTTGCATAAAATGTTTTGGGTTTCATATGGCCTTTATCAACTTTTAAATAGTGGATAAGCTCATCCATTAATAAGTAATCCCAAATCCTCCAGAACCAAGCTTTGATAGCAAAGTCCACTGAACTTTATACTGGTTTGCAATTGTTGCTCTTGCTGCTAAAAATATACAATAAGGGACACGTTCTCAAGATGAAATAGGTCACCATACTTATTTAATCCACAGTCGGCAGGAGTGACCACTCTGAATATTTAAGCTGTAAAACCCATGATCTGTTTTATGAATATGTGATAGCTGTTGAATCCTTGCACAATCAATTCCAGTGGGTTTGGATCACACAATAAGCCCAGTCATGCCTTGAATTTTCAGGATGGTCCCCATAGACTCCACAGGTACTCAGGGCTTAAATATGCAATTGTGGGCTGTGGTTTTTGTACAAACCAGGTCAAAGTCTGTATGCAATGTAGACAGTTAATCCTGTGGAAGAGAATACCTTAAATTACAAGTACTGGAGTCCTGGTGATGTTTGTTTAGTCATATTGTTAATTCCTTTGAACGCTTTATCCCAAACTGCCTTTACTAGAAGACATGCCAAACAGATAACTGTACCAGTTAAATGAGTCCTCTTTCAACATTTATTTGAAGCTGTTTGGATTTTTTTGTCCCACTGACAAAATATTTTGAAAATTAATTTCCTTTCTCTTATTACCTGTATTAAGCCATGAATAAAACATTGGTGCCCAAGGAAATTGTCTACTGGTATCCAAAAAGCCACTTGTTGAACAATTCAAAATGATGACAATTTCAACCATATTTTCTTCCTTCAGTGCAGAGCTTGTTTAGCAGTAATAGACCTCTGAGGTGCTTATTTTCATATACTTAATCTCTTCCCAGTTCCTCAGGTTTGCCCTAGGCAGGAACCCCTTCCAATTCAAGGTGCTCTTTTTTCAGCCTTGCTTCCACCACAAGGGTCTTTATGAAGTGTATGGTGGCTGTTACAGCTTGGATGAGACTAAAATGATATCATGGTCTTCCCCTGCATCAGTGACTGACTCTTCGTTGCAACTTCTCACCATCAACCTACAAGCCACATTTTGACTGTCCCCACCCCTTCTGAATTCATTAAGCCTTCAAGTCAATGCAGGCACTCCCAGTCTTGCACCCAGCAATGTATAGGTGCTTGTCCTGGACTTCACCACAGATATTATTCACTTCTTAGCAATCAATCTTTTATACAATCTGTCATGCAAGATAGTCTTACTCCAACACCTTCTTAAACTTATGTCTTCTACTATAGCAATCATCTCCCTATGTGACCACTCCAGTCATGGTTCATCTGATACTTCAAAGAGCCCATTGAAATGTTCAGTTTACTCTTCCAACCACCTGCAGGCACTTGGTCAAATGGTGGACCTCTCTTCCCCATCTATTAAGGATTACCCTGAAACCAGCACTCCACCTGGAATTCATCACTGGTGAAACCTTGCTACAGAACATCTCATCCTAATGTCAACCAATAGTACCACAGTGGTTTTTAATATCAACAAACAAGGGAGCACACGATCATTGTCACTTCTCAGCCTCATTGTCAACCTTTGGAACTGGTGCATACACCACTCCATCACCCACCAGCCATTCTCCTGGCAGGAACAGAAGATCTGGGACTTCCTTACACAACTGCGAACTCCATCTGGAAGGCTTAAGTCAATATTCCAAAAACAGGGATACCCCAAAATTAGAGCTCTTTGCCACAAGAGGTTTTGTGCAAACCTTAGTATGCCATGGTTTTGCACCAGAGTGGATCATGATCTGCATTCTGTGGAAATAGCCACTGATGGTTGTGCCTAATGTATGCCTTGATCCCATTTCCAGTGATTGCAAAGGTGATACACAAGATACATGGGGCAAATTGCATATTGATCAGCTCTTGGCCCCCCCACAAATGTAGTTTGCTTCACTCCTCATACTCTTCAACCACACATCCCTCTGTCTTCTCTACATACTGCAGCTCAACTTGAAGAACAATAGGCAGATCAGACACCGAGATATTCCATCCTTTCCCCCCACAGCATGGAGAATATTCAATAGTATACATACCTTCTTCATATAGATGTTAGAAACATTGAAGCCTTCCCACAAGCCTTCCACTTGTGGGCCTCAAATGGAAAATGTTTCAGAATTTAGCCCTTCATAATAAATAGGGCCCAGCTTCCTGTGGTATACCAATCATCCTTCTGTCACTTAAAACACAGGGTTTATCCCTTTCATCAATCAGGGTATACCTAGCAAAAACATCACCCTAGCATGATACTATCAATGAACAATCCATGTTCTTATACCCTTATATAAAACAGCTCTTTAACGGTTTAGGAAACCTTTACCTTCCAGCCATGGCTCTGACCCCTCCTTGAAGCTTCTCTGTCATACTAATTCAGGTAACATGCCAAAGCCATTTGAACCATTGGCCACAACACACTTCTTCCTCCTAACTATGAAAACTGTGTTCCTGGTTATGATAACTTGCATTGTCAGAGCTTCTGAATGCTGTGTAAGCTGTCCTGGGATGATTTTCATGTAGGACAGGGTAGAAATATTTTAAATAAATAAATGATCTGCCTTTCCTCAATTTCTACAAAAATAAGGAGGCTTATTGCTCTTTTGCTTCATTAGTTCTCCCAATTTCATTTAAGCCAGGACATAGTTATACTAGTTTTGCTTCTCCTCCCAACCTTCCAGCTGGAAACTAGACTTCATTCAGCTGACATTCAAAAGGTCCTTGCCTTCTATATGAAATAGGCACCATCCTTTAAAAAAAAATCATATGCCTATTCATGTGCTATGCTGGACTTAGAAAAGTCCAGGTAGTGTCATCTTTGTCAAGTGAGTCACATCAAGCATTCATTTGGTTTACTGACTGGCTCATCTACCATCTCCTCTCTAAGTGAGGGACATTCTACAAGGGCTGTTGCCGCTTCACCCACATTCCTCAGGGGAATACCAGGACCATAGCTCTGCACTACAGCCACCTCAGTCCAGCTGTCTACTCTCATCAAGCACTACTGCTTGATGTCAGGGCCAGGAACAACACTTCCTTTGGCAGAGCTTTTCTTTCCTTGGTACTTGTATGACTTCTCCCTCTTCTGGTAAGTTTTTAGCTTTGCAGTCACCTGTAAGGGTGAGTTGCAGAGACCGCAGAAAAGAAGGGCAGTTTGCCCATACCAATTCTTCAGTGGTCATCTGTGCACTTGTAAAATGCATCCTTCCCTCTGCTCAATGGAACTGAAAGGCAGACACGAGCTGTGCCTGGAGTATGCACAGAGGAGGGGTGGAACATCCACCGGAAAGGTCTCTTGAGCTCTAGAAAGTTCTGAATATTGCTCTGTGCAGGTATGTTAGACATTTGTGTGAGTCCACTGATGAACACTGGGAGAACTACAGTTACAAGTAAGCGACCTATCCTTATTATGCATACCGTCCCCCAAAAAAGAAACAAAACAAACCAACCAGTGCCTTTTCCCTATAAGCTTAATAGCCTATATTAAAGTAATTATTTTTAAAGCTATATGAAACATAAGAGTATTCAAAGGAACTTTGCAATGCTAATATTATTATCCATCATTTCAATACTTCAAGAGTTGGATTAGTGAAAGGATTTGTAATCTTATATAGAGGTTTAAATACAAATTGAAACTATCATGATCTCATTAATAGGCAAACCCTGCACATTTGTATATGCAATCCCTATTCAGTGAAAAATTCCCTGATGGCATGAAGACATTAATTGGTGTAGTTGAGAGCTCATTGCTTTTGGCTAAATCAAATATATTTTAATTTTTGTGTCACTGGGCTATTGGAGCATTTAACACTGACCTCTTTACATTGGCTTCCTGTAGCCCACTGCAACACCAGAAAATTTGCTCCAGAGGATTTCTCAAGGCCTCTTGGCTCTGCTGACAGAACTTCTTCTGTCAGTGGAACTCCACAACTGGATTCCATCTCAATATTTTCATATGACCTGTCATTTAGTTAGCTGCCATTTTCTAATTTTTTTCATTTTCCATTTTTTTAATTGTTATATTATCATTATTTATGTATGTATTTATGTATTCTTTGTGAGCCACCCTGAGGCTTTGTTGCGATGGGGGCGGCATAGAAATGTTATAAATAAATAAATAAATAAATAAATAAATAAATAAATAAATAAATACATTATCAGCCTAAATTAGTTTATCCACTGAAGGCTTGTGCTTCTGACTTGTTTTAGACATCACAACAACATAAATTTTAAAAAAGAAAACTATGCCACATGTGAGTACACATGAACTGTGTGTGTTTATGTTTTTAAAAACAATGGAAGGCAATGTCTCTATGTGAATAACCCCCACTGGAGTATTTAACACCATTTCAATTGGTTTTTTTTTTTTTTTTTTGTGAAAATAGTATTGTGTGATGTTCTTCTGTGGTAAATAATCTGGTAATTTACATTGGTTTGAACTTATATTTTAACTATAGAAACTGTCTACTGTATCCTAATGATTCTAATGACACAGTCTTAATTGGGAGAAATGCTGACTGAATATAATCTGGAAGAATGGTTGTGCTTTGAGTGACTTGATTTTTGAAACTGTAGCAAAAGAGGAGTGCTCTCTTTTTTATAAGAGATGGAGAGGAAAGCTCACATTCTATAAACCAATTACTTGTTTCCTTTTATCCTTATATAGTTACAATGGACAGTGGGAACTTGGCCAGGAAGCACTGGATGACATAATTTACAGAGCACAGCTTGAACTCTATTCTCAGCCACTGTTGGTAAGGGAAGCAAAATACTGCAGTCCATTGATGTGATTAAAATGTGCATAAATCACTCTGATCAATAGGTTGCTTCTAAAGGTATGTGTAGCTTTCCAAAATCCAGCCTAATGTAACCCTCTGATAACTTATGAAATGTCAAAAAGGCAATCTGATGATAAACCATGGACAATGCTGTGGGCCCTTGTGTGCACTCAGTCGCAGTGTAAGGCAGGGATGGGCAGTTGACTGAGGGAAAGTTGGAGCTAGGCCAGAGAACCATTGTTCTGCCTAGTGCTTTCAGCATGCCTGGCCAAAAATGTTCTTCTGAAGAGCTATGCAATTGTACATTCTGATTGCAGTGGTGGTGTTTGAGTGAGTCTATAGAGCAGAAGAGGGCAAAGGGTGGGATATGGATATAATAAATGCTTCTTTGACCCTCCAGATATTTTGGGCTACAACTCCCATGATAACTCACAATTGGCTATGGTGGGTAGGGCTGATGAAAGTTGGAGGCCATAACAACTGGGAGGCCACAAATTTCCTGCCTCTCCTCTGGAGCTAATTAATAGGTTCTTGTGGCGCAAATGGCTTGATCTAGCTCTTTCTTGTTGCCACTCTCCCATCTCATTACCTTGACTCAAAGAAGATCAGATTCTGTGTGGAAGGGGAAGGCTGTTTGAATTTGTGTAAGTCAGGGTTGAATCTCCAAGCTCTTTCTGTACTTCAGTTGCAAATGCAGCTCCCATTTTGTTAGACATTATGTTGGCCTAAGTAAATATATGTGTATAACCCCTTTGGCACACCATATATGACCAATGAAGGTTAAAAAGTGTTGGTTTTACCTGGACATAAAAACTGAAAATAAAGTGAAGTCTGTATCTTTGTGTATGAATGAAGAAGAAGCAGACTGCAGAGTGAATGGACACCCGTCAGAAACTAATCTCTATATGAGTGTCACTTTGAGAAAGTGCTAATTAGAGTCCCTGTCCCTAATCTTCACTACTGGCACCCCAGGTACCATCCTTGTCCTTACTCCTCTTGTTTTTAGGCTTCTAAGGGTAAGGGGAGAGAGATTTGGCCAAGCACTGCCAATGGAGGTTCTTCGTAAAAGTACAGGATGGACATCATGCAATATAAACATGATAATATAGAAGTCTGATATTCGTGCAGCAGAGTCTAATCATTATTCTGAAGAAATTATGTTTGCATGTGTATTGGTTGCATAGTTTTAATACTAGGCCTTTTGCAGAGGGGGATCATTTCTTGGCAAAATAAAAATGTGTTTTCATCTTTAAATAGCTCACTTGATGAATTGTTACTGGCTAGAACATTTAGTTGTATGCTTCTTCACACAAGAATTTAAATGCTTCTTACTTAGTGAAATGTTGGATCAGTTATTTCCTTTAGGAAATGACTAAAAGCACTGCAAGACTGACATTCAAATGAAAAATTAAACCTACTGCTGAGCTCGCTCCAAGACCAGGTTAAAAGCCTGTAGGTGGATTAGTATTTGAATTCAGCTTTCATTCCTAACTGAAGCTGAACAATGAGCCCAACAGAAAAGTAACCTAATTGCAGTTCTTCTTTGATTCATCATACTCAATAATGCATTCTCCTTTCAAACATTCATTTTCTCTCAGCCCACTTTGTTTTCTTATGCTACTTTCTATTTTCCTTTAGAAGTATCTGTGGTCTTCTCTTAATTAAGAATGAGAAATTGAGTGCCTGCCACATTTCAAGTAGGTCTCAAATGTGCTAGCTTAGCCTTGAGCCTTCTGGTTCTTCTGATTGAAGCCAACATTCCATCTAGTTTTCCAAAAGCAAGATTTTGTGTTGAGTGTAGAGGTACCAAACTCCTGAGCTGTGGGCCTAATTCTTCTTGCCAGGCCTCTCAGTCCAGCTCACAGGGGAATTCCCCACTGTTATCTCTGAACTGACATTACAGCTGGGGACACCAAACACTGTCTGATCTGCATGCCTTTCTCAGCACATAGTTAGGCTAAAATGGGTAAGGGTGGGGTGCACATATCAGTGGGCACAGTCATACTCACTGGCTTGATCTGGCTCATAGGGGGTCTTATAGGTTGCAATCCAATTCACCTTCTCATGGTGGTATTGTAGTTTAGGGAAACATACCAACCTCAAACAATAGTTTTATGATCATAGCTTGCTTCCCTAGACCATAATTAAGATTACCCACAGTTTCAGATGTAATATAAACCATGTTTATCTAAAATTGAAGTAAACATTTTGCTTTCTTTGTGGCTGTGCCAGAGGAGGAGTGGGTAGCTCATGAGGCTGAAGCTCATGTGTTTTGTGTTAGCATATATTTAACACTGGAAGATGGTAGTTCATCTATTTAAAGTCCAGAAGGAGAAATTCATATGAATATTTTCCAGCAATTCTTAGCATATTTTTGCTATAGAAAGATTAAAGAGAAACTTTGCCAACTGTTAAATTTGAAATATCAGTTCATAATTTATTTACAGATGCATTCAAAGTGAGCTCTATGCTCAAGCTCAGTATAGTAAACAATTATGTAATAAGCTGACATAAAAAAAAATATATATATATAATAGAAACCCTTCCATTAGTGTAAGAGGAGAGGCACTTTTAAAACTACAAGAGAAATACTTTTTGAGCAAATATGGCAGAAGCGATTAAAAAGAAATGTCTGTGTTTTTCAAAAAAATTACAGCCAAAAGCTGTAATTTGCCTGCTCATCTCTCTTGGTATGTTGCAAGGTTATGTTAGTTTGAAACTAACTGGAGTGGCAGAATGAAAGGAGTTGCATCACCCTGGGATGTTGGAAATTATATGGGATATGAGTTGGTCTGAGGATCTGTCTGGCAGGAAAGAGTCAAAATAGGGATTGAGAGCCAGAATCCAGTGGAACACTTACGCCTCTGCAGATTATTTTACACCCTGTCAATTCTATGTCCTAGCAATTCTGTTGCACAAGCAGCCCCACCACCTGTACAACAGTGATTTAGTGCTTCTAGAGCAACCCCAAATTTTGAAAGTATTCAGAAGTGAAAGGAGGCACACTGACAGGGTTCACATAAGGAAATTCTACTAGTCAGCCTTTTCCCAAAAATTAGCCTTTCAGCAAGCTCAGTTTGAAGAATGGAAATGGTAGCATGTAAGTGAATCATTGTGGACCTAAATATCCCATTGAGTTCTGCCCAAGGAGTCAACATCTTTATTTTATGTTTGTACTTATTTTTTGTTCTCAACTTTGAGGGTCATCTGGGGGCCATTTCATACATGGTATTTCACTTCAGTAACAATCTGCATAGAAAAAAGTATAATTTATAATTTAATATTTTATCTTATATTTTATTGTCAGCCCTTTGGAGCACTATTTATGGTGTAGTGGAAAGGCAGGATATCCTTAAATACACATCTCTTTTGTATGCTGCAAAAGTATATGCTCAATAAGATTACAGCCTATGTCACATTTTTTAAATAACTGCATTTTTGTATTTGCCACTGTTTGGATATTATTTCTGTGAAGGACAAAAATTGTAGGTTAAATGGTGTAGCAGACTTAGAACTGGGGTTGGTTTATTATTCCCTTTTCCAAAGGATGGTTACCAACTCTTGTTAAGTGATGACTTTCAGCAGAATCCTTTTAAATAATCAGACTGGCAAACATTATTTCATAAGTACAAATTTGTAAGTAAACAGTGGCTTGCATGTACATTCTACACTTTATTCACAATGTTCCAGAGTTTTACAGCAATCCAAAGGCTAAGAAAGAATGCCAGATGTGAATGCAAAACTAATATCTGACATCTCTATTTATAATTGAGAAAATAGTATACAAATCTTAGTAGCTCATGAGGGGAAATAGAATATATATCATGAGAATCATAAATTGTTAAAATGTGAAGATTATGCCATGGGCAATTGTCATATTAATGGTTATTTCACACAAATCCTTGGATTGCAGTCATATTTATATATCTTAGTTACTGTTTCCTTTCCCAGTCTTCTTTTTCCAGTCTTGTTGAGAGCCAATTTGTACAGTATTTTACTGTTGTCATAGGTTGCAAATGCTATGAAGAACTCCTTACCCTTCGATGCTCCTGATGCATCACAAGGAGGACAGAAGGTGTTGAAAGTGGAGGTCACTCCAACAGTGCCGAGAATTTCTCGGACTGCCATTACAACAGCTTCAATCCGCCGACATCGCTGGAGAAGAGAAGGTAAATCTTCCCAGTGTGAAGTAGCTAATGTAGTGCTGCATTATTCACCTCCATTGCTATAAACTGATTTCTCAGCCTGAAGGTTAGGATCAGTTTCTGTAATATACATAGTGCTGATCCTTTTCTATACATTGTATGCATGAATATGTAATCATGACAACACCTGTGAGGAGGTAAGAATTTTCCTTATTTTATGTAATGGGAAATCTAGAGAGGTTTATCTGATTTATGTAGTATTTTATGGTATAGAAAGATGGCTGCAGGGCTGGAATTTAAGAACTGCTGACATAGTTTTCCATACTCTGTAGGTTGGATCATGTTGTGTCTCTGCACTTAAATTGTCTGAAACTATTTGCCTGTCTAAAGTTTTAGGGAAACTGCAACAAAACACAGTTTCTCAAAATTAAGCCCTGAATATTTTTTTTACTTTCTCTACATTCCAAAAGAAGAGAGAGAAGACATGACTTCTGGAACTCATTTTTGTAGTTTTGGACTCTGGAACATATATAAATAGAATAGAACCTAAGAAGAGGGGAATCTGTACATGGAAAACAGTCTATTCTGGCTTTCATTTAAAAAATTGATACTTGACTACTACATAAGCTTCTGAATATTTCTTAAGTTAAAGTTGAATCATACGTTTTGCCCTCAGAAACCATATGTTCAAGCCCTACACTCTTAAAACCCAGTATGGTAGGTGTTCTTTGAATCTTCAGTCAGGAACTCAATAATTTGATTCAAAATTGCCAGTTTTATCAGCAAAATATAGTTTCTGTATAGTGTCAAGTGCCTGATCTTGGAACCTAAACCAGGCTGGGCCTGGTTGAAATCTGGATGGGTGACTTAAATGTTGTGAACCACCCAGAGAACTTGGCTGCAGTCAGTATAGAAATGTAATATGATATACAATTAAGGAAAATCAACAAAGTCAGCAGCTTGTTAATCTCTGTGTAATAGCCACTTGTCTTTGGTGGGGAGGCTAAATTACATAATTTTAAGATTTTTATTGCTGCATGCTTATAATAGTTAATTCAAATGGGAAAACATAATAACTTGAAATTTTGAAGCCCTTCTTTTCCTCTGATACTAAAAAGTATACCATTTTGCAAATCCTTGTTCATATGTGTCCTTCCTGTTAATGTGTTGTAATCTACTGTCTTGTATATGGTACAGCACATCTACTTATTTATATGCTGTCAACTCAGCTATTTACTTAGAAAATTACAGATGGTGTTCATGCATATTCCATATAAATCTTAATTTCCCTTCCTGGGTTGGAATGCATAGGGAAAGTGTAGAAAAGCACTAAAAATATTATATGTTGAATCCCAGATGGCTTTGACTTCTCAAATGATGCTGACTTGAGTATCCCCGGATCTCCGATCCTACACGGCTTCACAGACCTAGGGATCAAACGCAAGCAAGAGGGGGACGTGCTGGTGCTCAGGACCCCTGAGCATGGCTCACCGGAGCCCAACTTGGCAACAGCCACAACAGAGGGTAGGACAGAGATGAGGAGGCAGAAGTCAGTAAGGCAGTTGCTTGAGGAGGATCTTGGCTCTTTATCCCCAGGCAGAATTCCTGTTTGTTCTAGAGTGTGTTTCCACTATCCCAGGGAGTACTGTCTTCTCCTCTCTAAAGCACACGTCACCTTTATGCCTAGTACCAGGTCTGGATATACCTTTTCTAATACTGTGAGACTGGAATCCCTGTCTGACACCCAGCTTGGCATGGCTAAAATAAAGCAAAAAGTCACACCCAATAACTTTGGGATTGCTTGGAAACACCTGATGACTGAGCATGTTAAATATTAAAACAAGAAAAGTAGAATAAGAGAATGCACCATATAAACATGTTGAGATCACTTTGGAAATTTGGAATCCATTTAGGGTATGTAAAAGGATTTTTGCTACAATTAATAAGAAAAGATGGAGAATTTTAAAAATCTAACATTTCTCAAGTGCTAATTATTTGTTGAAAACCCAGTTCACTGCATTGTTTCATCATCTGGTCATGAGACTAATCTGAGTTGACCAACTATTTCCTAAAGTGAAATGAAGTTTGTCATGGCAGATGCAGACCTGTTTGGGAACAGCGGGATGTTTTATAGTCCTATGTAGTGGACTTCTTTGGGCTTTTCAAGTTTTTATTATGATGATCTGTTATCTTTGGCTCTTTACTAAGAGTTTCTTTTTAGGCAGCACATATAATCAGTCCGCAGTTTCCTTATTGCTGGCAGGAGAGTGTTAACTTGCCGTGCAATTAGGAGAACATATTTTTGCTACTCTTCACAACTTTCTAATCTGTTTCTGTAATGTTCCCTTCCTCTTTTTGTGGAGTCATTTGGCATTTCTGATAATTTAAATCACATCTTGTCTGATAAAATACTTGCAGATTATGAATTCCATGTGCTTCCCAATTGCCCCGAGGAAAGTTAATTATATAAAATCCTTCCAGAGTTAATGTTCCATTACACATGAACTAATAATGTGTAATCTGAGATTTTATATGTACAGGAAGATCAAGAATTCAGGTGTCAATGAATATTATGAAAACATTATGCAGTCTTAGGATTTGCTGCTGGTGCAGAGTTGAATTGGAGCATGCTCAGTAAATGAGTCCCAACTTTTCTCCATTTATCTGAACTGGTCTTATTTTGTTGTACTAACTGTGCATTGCATGTGCATGACCAGAAGGATGCTGAGAAATCTTCTCACGCTGAGGAACTTCTCTTGAAGAATGGTTGCTTAGGTGCTATAGCCCTCCCTTTCTTTAACACTTCTGTTATAATTTTAACAGTGCAGTAACTTTCGATGTTGTGCCATGCGCTTTTTTCTTTGGCATATACATTGCCACACTATGGAAATTCGGCAGATAAAAGTGAAAAATACTGGAGCATAGTTCTAAACACAGAAAACTGTAGTTTAAGTTGCATTCAAACTGAACAAAGCATTTTTCCCAGTGATGCTCTGGGATAGGAAAACAATGTTGTTTTGGGCTTAGTCACAATTCCTGGATTTGTAATGCTACCTTATTTTGGTGCTGATATTGCCAAAAACTAAAGTATTAAATATTCTTGATAGACACTTCATTACAGCAAAATGGGACAAAATGGTCTTTCTTGGCTACACTTGATTTCTAAAATCATAAAAAAATGAGAGGGTGTAGCCCCCTTTTTGTTGAAATACATCATCAGTTTATACAGTTAGCAAGAAGTAGATTTGTAATGCTTCTCAGTACAGAAATAGAGTATGTGTTAAAAGGAGTGTGCTGCTAGTCCTCTCACACTATACAGTGGCAGCATTTTGAATATGACTTGTGGTTTGTTGCCATTGGACAAAAAACTAGAACTGAAAAGTGAACGCAGCCAAAGATAACTTTAGAAATATATAAGGACAAGAAATAGCCAGTGTAACTTTTGATTTTTAGTCATGTCATTATGAGAACAGCTTTGTTGCCTGTGAGAGCTTTGGTGAAGAAAATTATTTACATGTTTTATGGGAGGACAAAGTTTTCAATTTTCCCTGAATGTTTTATTTTGACTGAGGCCCAAGATGAAGTAAGAGAGTTAATTGAATTCTGTGTATTTTAAATAATAACCTAGTTAAGTAAATCGCTCAAGTCTCACTGAACTGTCTGGATCTGGCTTGAAAGGTACTACCCTGCATGTTGCCTTGTTTGTCCTTCACTCCTGAGCACTGCTGAGCTGGGCACCTGCATGGTGGTAGCATCCCAAATTTTCACACCAAGCCTCTCTGACTCTTTCCTCCACATGAAAGAGATATTGTTTCAGCATTCCTTTCTCAAATATTGTTTCAGGTTTGCCATCTCCCAGGTTCATGCCATTTATCTTGGGAGTACTTTGCAAAACTTTAATAAGACTTCAGTTGTAAACATGGAGAGCTTGGGCCAAGTAGCTCAGAGACCTCTCCATGCATGTTATGTATTATTGCTTAGAGTGAGAAAGGGTTGAGAGAGGTGGTGTTCACGGCAGCTGAGAGTGCTGCTCTTCAAACGCACTATCATCAAGCTTTGCATGATGGTCTAATAAAATAATGTAAATGCTGCATCTGATAAAAAGGCAATCTTGTTTTCAAGGGATTCTGTCTAGGTATGTATTGAATTACATATATTTCTGTGTGTGTGTGGGTGCAGAATATCGTGTGAAGTGACTTGATTTTAAAATGTCTTCTCTGATATACTGATACATATATAAAAACATAAGACAGATACTGCTTCTAACATGCTTTTATTTTACTGTTTATGGAAATATCATTTCACACTTTTAAAACATTCAAGTTAACTGATTAATATTGTTCAGAAAAGATTTAAAAATAATCCCTTCAGTTTGTAAAATGTTTGTTTCCCAACTAATTCTAGGCTGCTTCACCAGCCCATAGTTTAATCTTCCTGAGGAAATTTTAGGTGGGGGAGAAAAGATGAAAGACAAGATCAATGAATCAAGAATCACTTGAAAAAACAGAGGAATGTTGGATGATTGTGAAAATTAATTGGATTATGACTGTGACTTGCAAATGCTGGTTTAGTAGGCCAGCTGGTTTCATGTTACAGACACAGCATCAGCTACAAAGAGCTCCTTCTTGATCATTTTACAATAGAATGGCCCAGGAATTTTCCTGTAACACTCTTGTTTGCATCCATATATACCATTCACCATGTGAATGTTTCCACATGGTGCTAATCCCACAATATAGCATTCGCAGTTTAAAAATCTATTTGTGTAGATTGTCTCAAATGTATGGAGTTTTCTACATGTTTGAACAGGTACAACATTGGCATGGAAATTGTATACAGAACTGGGGGAAACCATGTAGTGAGTTCACCAAACAACATCAAACTGTGTTCAGCCTTAGTTACATGGAAGCATTTCCAATGCTATTTTGTATGGAAGGGATCATGAAATGAGGCTGCCTAAGTTATTCCTGCACCTGGAATTATGGCACAGGAAGAATGAATGCCTATAAGTCATTTTGAGAGAGAAGCAGAGATTGCCAAGATGTGCCTGAAATCTCATAACATTGTTCTTTGTCCATAATCTGGTTATACATTTTTATCTGTTACAGACTACAGTTTCAGATGTGTGTGTTGAAGGAGCACTCCAGAGTCATTAATATAAGAAACAGTCCTAAAAGGAGTCTAGTATGTCAGGAACATGTCATGAAGAATTTTGAGTACTTAGGTTAACATGCCATTAGGGCTGAACTAGACTTCGTATTACATATGTGCTAGCATTTAAGGAATATATCATTTTTCCCTTCTAAATTACAGCCTCCAGGAGTGGAGGAGGCATGATCAGGTCTTTGGTGCCACCTGAAGCTTCCCTCATTGAGCTAATAGCAGCCAGAGGGAGCGGAGAGAAGGCAGTTTTCATGGGACCCATTAAAGGTGGAGGGGAAAGAAGATTTAAACTCCCTCTTTTCACTTGCCTCACTCCCCACCTCTTGAAGAAGAGGGTAATTAGACACATAAAATGCAGTGTCACATCCAACCATGTCTAGTCTGGTCTTTAAATATTGAGAGTGAGTGGAGGAGTACAGTACCAATGGGTCCTATTTCTAGGACTGTGTACTTAGTATCACTGCCATTCAGTGGAATCCTAAGCATGAACTGTATCCTTCTGAGTTCAATTATACTTCCTAACAGGTGTGTTTAAGGTGTTTGTGTTCTAATAGGTGTGCTTCAGCCTTAAACATTTCTTTGTTCATTTGTTTTACTATAATCTGTCTTCTTTGAATTTCCAGAAAATGAGTTTACTATAACCTGGCAAATAGGTGCATAGTAAATAAAGCCAGGTTCCTTTTTTAATATATAAAACAGCCGATTCTGTTAAAATGTACGGTTTTGGTTTTTGCTGGAAAAGTTATTCTTCTGCCTGCATTCCTAAATTCACTAGAGGGTAAGTCCCCTTAAACATGGTAGTACTTACTTTCTTTTAGGATTGCAGTATTAAGTAAAATATTGAATACTGAAAATGGGATTAATAACACAGTGAGTAAAACAAAATGTGTTTAAAAATTTGCATTTCAGTTATATAAATTTCCAAGAACTGCACCACAACAATTTAATTGTTCAATCTAATTTCTTTTGGGTTTTTAGATGCAGAGGGTATCAATGGAAGACAAGAATCGGTGAACCTTAATGATGCTGATGAAGGATTTTCATCTGGAGCATCCCTGAGCAGCCAGCCAGTTGGGATGAAACCTTCTTCTGCATCCCAAAGAGGCAGCTTAAGGAAAGGAGCAAGCGGGCGTCTGGCCAAGGACAAAGAGATTGGCTCTGCTACCAAATCTATTGAGAGCCCTCGAGAATCTGCCTGCAAGCAGTACCTGCACCAATCAGTAGACCTCAGTACAGACACAATTGAAATGACTCCTACAAAGAAACACTTGAGCCTGCCTGCTGGGCAGGTGGTGCCAAAAGCCAATAGCGTAAGCCTGATCCGGACTGCTAGTGCTTCTTCCAGTAAATCATTTGACTATGTGAATGGCAGTCAAGTGGGTTCTGGTGTTGGTATTGGTGGTGATGGTGTCACTAATTTAGCAGCTGGCAACACCAATCGGTTTTCAACTATTAGTCTACAGGAGGACCACTTAGGCCAAGCTGGAAATGGTAAAGAAGTCCTCTCGCCAGGAGCTCCTCTGACCAAGCAGTCCCGATCCCCAAGTTTCAATATGCAACTGATATCCCAGGTTTAACTTTATGGTCCTTCCTCTTCTTTTCCCTGTTATCCTGTTCTTTGACCAACACCTGCAATCTATAGTGTGGAAATGCTGGCTTTTGTGATCTTGTTTGATTCATTTTAGATATCATACTATATTTTGTACTGAAACAGCAATAAAACCTCATGTTCTATCCCCTCCTCCTCCTCTCTCTCCTCTCCCCCGATAAATGTGGTTGTGAAGCAGTATAAAATGTATTTTATGCCTTTTCCATGCCTTCCTTTCTCCTTGGGTGATGTGCAATCCATTGTAGGCTGATCAGTCCCATTTCAACACTGTGAGTCCTGAGAAGATCAGAGGAAATGGTGAATGTGATCCCTATGAAAATGAAGCTTTTGATTTTTTTGAGAAATAGAAACGGGTTAGCTTTCTCAATCTACAGTTCTGCAAAGACTACTGGATTGTGACTTTTTGTCTTTTGGAACCAGGAGTGCCTCAGAGATTCTAGTAGGACTTTGGACCTCTGAGTTAGTGCAATCAGTTCTGGGGGAGGGGAATGCTGTTATTGCTCCCGGTGGCTGTCTAGATGCACTTTGTTACGAAAATGAGACCCTCCTCCTCTACCATGCTCCACTCATACACTCTGAAAATGTTTAGCAACTGAGTTGTTATTGTTTCCTCCTCAGAAAGAGTGGGCTGTAAGTAGACAACATAGGTTACAGTGCTGTTTTAATGGCATTGTATCCATGTTTAATGTTACATGTCTTCCCCCTCCAGGACACAGGGTTGCTTTGTCTGTATGCTAAGATCTTTGAATGATGAATTATGCTTAAAATAATTATGACATAGAAGATGGGCACACGGGATTTCCAAGAATTACTATTTAAGTAATGCTCCTTTTAAAAGAACTTTAGTTTTGTAAGTTGATGATATCTGAAATGAACAAAAACAACTGCGGATTAAGTGTGGGAATTTTTTAGGTTGCTTGGTGTAGTGTGATTAAATTTATTCACAGAATAAACTCAGAAATCTGCTGTAAAGTCAAAATATTCTCTAGCAGAATGTGCCAGGGACAGATGTCATGCTTGCTGAACACACCTGAGGCATCAGGATTCCCTTAACATCATTGCCCACAGTGGGGGTTTTGGTAGTCCTCTCTCAGAAAGATAACAGTTCACCGCCTATATTTTAATTAATCCATTGCAGTTGTGATTATTTCATCTAGCTAATGTGTATGTGGGAGGGGCAAGACATTATCTCCCCCAGCTCTCATAATCTGAAAACTCATACCATTCAACCTGATCTTGAATGCATGTGATTGGTGTGTGGACAATATTTGGCAAATATGCTGTAGATCACTGCTTTAAATGGCATTTCTTATACTAAAGCAAAGTATTCATCATATTTTAGACAGTTTTGTATATACATAGGAAGCAAAAAAGGGTGCTTTACCCTTTTGTCTTGCTGTATGTTGACCTGGAAATGTGCAGGTTATTAATCTAAAGAACAGATATATGTTATATTTTCCCCCCACTGGCAGTTTTCGTTCATTACATCGGGAAGGAAATTAGAGGAATAGAAACATAATAGGTTATTTTTAGATTGCTTAAAGACTATGATATTCAGAATTACCAAGTGCCATTACTCTACTAAAGAAAAATTAAAATGAGTCTTAAAATGTAATTGACAGCTTCTAAGTCTTGTTCTTTTCTCCCTGACTCTCTTAATTGGAAATAGGACTTTTTCAAACAAAACTTAACCAAGCTAATTATTTTTTAAACCGTAAAATTGCTGCAAGAGTTACAGTTGCTTTATAAGGACCCTTACTGAAACAAGTCTATTCTTAAATCATTAAATACCATATTATTGAAACTCAGGAAGGTTAATCTCTGATTAATTGCAATTACTAAATATCCAGAGTAATATTAAACAATATGTTTGGTGTAGACAAGGCCTCTTATGGTTTGCTAAAATAAGAAAAAGAACACTTCAGAAGATTTTTATGATCCTTCAGGGGGCTCTGACCATACTTATCTGTTTTCTAGAATACTGTGGAATCCACACTTAATCCAGCAATTATGGTTCTGCAGAAACATTCCCTTCTTTGATAATAGAAACTATTGTCAGGATCCAAAGAGCTGCTTATCTAGTTTCATGGCCTTAAGAAAACTTGTTTGTGTCTGTTAAACAGTTGCTAACTGCACAACATATGAAGCCATGTTTGAATCTGGGAGAACTTTAAAACACTGATTTGGATGTGGCATGGACGGCATGGTATAGTGCCCATCGTTTAAGTGGATTTTTAAACTGTTTAAAATCTTATTGGACGTGTGCAATGCCATGAGTGCAGTAAAGTAGCTTTTTGGATCCTTGTCTGTGTATTCTACACAGATGAAACCAAAAGGGAATCTCTAAGTTATGGGGAAACCACTATGACTAGGACCAAATTGTTTCTTGCATTTGTTCTTTTGGAAGAAATTGAAGCCAGATGTTCAAAATAGTTTTAAAAGACTACGCCAGCATATTTGGACGTGTGGTTGTATGCACACAATATGCAGAAATACATATTATACATAATGATAATTGGTAGCCCTGCTATCAAATCTGAATGTGTTGAACTGTAAATCTTCATCTTAGGGGGTTTATAGCCTTTTTTATGAACCAAAATACATTGTGTCTTGTTAGCACATTTAAAATTACAAACATTGTCTGAGTGTGTGCGTGCATGTGTGTTGGGGGTGATGGTTGAGTCATTTGTGGGTGCTGTAACCCAAACCATTTAACTGGTTCTTTTCTGCTGTGCGGCAAAACGTCCTATACTTTTTTTAGTGCCTTTTGGCGTATTTTAAAATCAAATCCGTTACAAATATTGCTTGCTGTTTTTCCTCTTACCTTATGTTCCTTGTATACTTTAGAAAAACCATTCAGATTCCATCTCTTTAATATGCAATTATCCCATACAATGGACTCAGCTGGTATGCTTACTCTGTCCTAATGGTCTTTTTATGTTCTATGACAGACAAATGCTGCTGAATGTCTTTCCTTAAAGGTGTGTCTCTTATCTGTTGATGTTAAGCAGTTATTTTAACGGGTCCTGTAGGTGCTGTTTCAACTTCTGTTGATGTATCTGCTGCTCTGTGCTAAGGTCTCCCAAAGTTACATTGAAAACACTGTACAGATGCTTTTTGCATGTAAGTGTTGGTTCAATCCAGATGTACCATTTTCTTCAATTTCTGATTAATGGCTGAGATTGCCCCCAAGCATGATCCTCGTACGATCCTCTCCTTATTCCTCGAGTCTTCACATTCCTTGTCCTCTTTCTCACTCAATCCCCTTTCCTTTCAGTTATTACCCTTTTGAGTTCCATATTGCTTAAAGTGTGTGCGCACACAACTAAATCTAGAAATATGCACCCTCAGTTTTTCTTGATGTAAAACTAGCATTCAAGTGCTGGTTTAAAGCTAACTCTGTTTTTAGCATTTGGCTTTTGCAAAAACAACGCTAACAGTACTTAATCTTAAAAGGAAGAGGGGAAGAGGCAAACTGTGTGGAGCCCAAGGGCACTACCAGTCTTTCAGAGATTGAAGAAATGTTACACTTTCACTGAGCCACTTTCTGTGTTTTTAAGTGATTGACAGTGGAATGAAATCAAACAGCATTGAATTAAGATAAAAAGGCTAGAGATGACAGATTTGTTTTATAAGCAGTTTACACACTGAATTTTATGTAAAGTTGTTCTCTCGTATCTATATGACAAAAACAGAAGTTTTCATTTTAAATTCTTTATGCATTATCACTGTTATAGCTACAATTATATATTGATGTGAGCTCTTTATAGTATTTTGTTTTGGAAGAGCACAGGAAAAGAACAGGACACTTATATATAAACTGAATACCTGTAGATGGATATTGGGGTGGGGGATCTTAGTTGAAAATACAACATTCATATCATTCCTTACAGGGAAGGTTATGAGCAGAAATGGGTAGGAAGATGGTCTGATGAAGCCTTTTTCTGATTGCATCCCTCTGTGAGGGAATAATATGCTTAAATGTTTTCACAAATAATACATGGCCATTAATTTTGTCCCAAGCTTTACGTATGAGGAGGAAGTGTAATATGCAATTGCAAACTGATGGAATTTTGAATCCAGCCTTTTTATTATTATAGCTATGTTTGCGGTATTTTTTGTTATACCACAAATATTCCCAACAGATTAAAACAGGAAAAAATCACAGAATGAGAGAGAGCACATGGAGCACCAGCACCAGTAGTACTTATACCACCCTCTCATGGGGTACCATAACTTGGTCCCACTCAGCCACCTCAGGAGTTTTTTTAGAATTTTCAGGAACCCTCAGTAACCACAGAAGTAAATGGGAGGAATTAAAATCTACCCTTTCTGGAGCAGCTGGAAATTTGGGGAAATGTTGAAATGATAGAGGACAGTGAGAACTGTCAGTGAAACACTTCTAAAATCCAGAGGATTACATTGTTGAGGATGTGATATTGTAAACATCCTCTTTTGATGCACCCACTTTTGTGGGGTTTTCTCCCTTTTGAATTGATGTAGGCAGTTGACAACTGTGCAAGAATTAGTCTATATCTCACCTTCTTAATTTCCATGTTCTGTTAATTATTCCACTTCACTGCTTTCTTTGATAGCTGAAATTTTACAGGGCCATTGATGAGTCAAGGCTACATATATTGGCCAGCTGCAAGTGTGCACTTACACATCTGTGAAATACCAACAAAAATAATTTTTAAAATTACACAGTTGTCCAGTTTTCTAGGGCTGGAGGAAAAACCTGACTCCAGTTGTGCTTCCTTGAAGCTCCTAAAACAAACAAAGCAACAAAAAACCAAAACAGACAAAAACCAACAGTAGCAACAAAAAAGGGCAGCAGTTAGAGTGGTGGGGAGGGACAAGATGGGTTCGGCCATGGCATACTGGCAAGGGGACCCAAGGAAAAAATAAGCCACAGTACGCCTGATCATTTACTGTTCCATGAACAACCCACACTGCACAGCCTATTCACAGGGTGGTTTAACATACAATTTCAAGTTAATCAACAGACATCTTACCAAGATTTGAGCATTTTAGTCATTTCAGTGGTGTTTTATTAAGGAGCAATTTTTCATAAAGCAGGAATAATGTCCAAGATAACAGCAAGATTGACCCAAAAAAGATTAAGCATTGTATTAACTATGAAAACATACCTAATTGTACATCACGAGCTATGACAGGTGGTTCAGTTCTTTAAAAATATATGCATATTTCTGTACTGAAATAATATATTCATAGCAGTGAGGATGTATGACTGGAAATATATAAGAGCATCTGATACAAACATGTAGTGTGTTTGGTCTCTTGTCTCTCTAAATTTAAAATTTATAATATTTTGCTATTGAAAAAAATGTTTTCAATTTATTTGAACTATTTTCTGAACAGTAACATTAGAGAAACAGATTTTTTTCTTCCTGTATGGGAAGTGTGTTTATGTGAACAGTTGCGTACATCTGTCATGTGTTAACAACTGCCACAGTCATTATGTAAGCAGTATGTAAATATACCCATAATCTCATAAGGCAAGACATAGACCTAAAAACATGCAAAACTACTGTGTTGTTACTGCTTCTTTAAAAATCTTATTTTTTAACCATCAATATTTATCTGGGAAAGGGAAATGATTTCTGCAGTTAATGACGAATAGTGCTTGAAGGAGTAATTTTGGATTACATTTGGCCATGATTTTCCCTTTTGAATACACAAAATTTATTCAAAAATTAAGATTAGACTGATAAGAACTCTTAAATAAAATGGTTAAAACATAGAGTCAAACCTAACCAAATATTATGTTGAAATTATAATTTCAGAAGTTCTATTTCATAAAATCACATGGCTTTATTCAGAAATATGCAAAACATTGTTTCTTCTAGCTTTACCACTCAAAATGTAACTGACAAAACCTTCAGGTTCAACTGGTAATACTTAAGACATTGACTTAATACATTGCCTAGTATTAAATGAATGGGGTGTTAATAGAGTATGTACGTAAAACCTTCAGGTAGATTCTGATTGATTTGGTATCATTCCACCAGTTTAAAATACATAAAGCAGTTAAGTACAAGAATGCAGAGTATACTTACGGGTTATGGAAATCCATGAGGCAAATGCTTTAACAGCATGTTGGATCTGTGGGAACTGAGCACTCATTTTCCATTGATTTCTGCATGTCTTAAATCATGACCAGATTTTTTCCACCAACTATGATCATTCTTTTTTGTAAGGTTCCCTGTCCTTGGATGGAATCCAAGATTTTACCGTTTTAGATCCAAATATTATGTAGGCTTACTCTCAAGTGCTTGTCAATGTTCCTTTGATTTTCATGATCTTTAAAGAATGAAACAAAACCTGACACCCCATTGGCTTTGATACCATAAAGCAAACTGCTTTAGGAACTTTCTTCAGTTCTTACAGCTGTTTGCCATATGGACTGCTGCTTTACCAGTGGCAGTTCTAATCCTGGGCTTGAAGAACTATTTTTATGGGGTTTGAACTCTGGGTACTATTTATAATTTCACACAGTATTCTGACTATGTGTGCAGTAATTAATTTGAATAATCAAAGTTCTTCCCTAGATTTGGTAAATAGACTGTATTCATCAAATCTGAAGAATTCCAGAGTGCAAATGACAGGAATTTTGAACATCCGCATATATGTTCATTCATCATCTGTTTAAAAAAATCCTAATTCCAAGTTTGCATCAATAGCAAAATGCAGAAGTTTGAATATGAAGACATAGCCATTATAAATAAATGCTTTTCTGTATGTCTTTGAGATGATTAAGGCTGGGTCTTGCAGCTGCATAAATCACAATTTGTTCTGTAATCAACTTTAGAAGTAGAATTTTCAGATTTAGAATGGGCACAGGGATTTTTATTTTGGATGAATTTCATAATTGTGCGTTGACACTAGTGTAAACCAAGGCTTACACAAGTGTCGGTAGTGCTTGTTAGCACAACGTCAATGCAAGAAAGCACTATCAGTGTTGTACAAGCATTGGTTTGTACTAGTGTACGGATACTGCTGGATCCTTCCCTTTGTCCCTGAAAGTCTTGCTTAAAAATGGACCGAATCTTCAATACATATCATTAATCTTTTAAATTAAAACTGGTCTATTCTTTTCCAGTACTATTAGACAATGTAGAGAAATAGTAAAAAAGTATTTCTGTATTAAAGCTTGTTGTGTTAAAATGTTGTTGTGTTTTGAGACCTTGATTTGCAAGCTAAATAGGTTTTGCAACATGATAGAACTCATGCATATTTTGACATTTATCATTCATTTTAAAAACTGAATTCAAAATGGCTGTCTCTTGATTTAGATGCTGAAAAATTAAATGCTTAGAGCAGGCTTCCCCAACTTGGTACCCTCTCAAAATCTATTAGACTCCCAGATGGGATTTTTACTCTGATATACACCTCAATGATGCCAAATTGGGAAAGCCTTGCATTATAGCATACTTTTTAATTTAGAAGGGACCAAGATGCCTCATTTTCTGGCACTAACACTAAAAATTTCTTCAGTTAATAGCCCATGTAGTTTGATCAGGACCCAGGTCCTTACCCTGCAAATAAAAGGACTGCAAATCAGCATAGAAGAAACCTGATTTTCCTTAAGTTTACCCAACTTACATTTCTCATAGCTTAAAAGTTTGTTAAATACACATCAATAGGGTTTCTAACTTGTAATGTTTTGATGTAAGGATCCTTCTGGATGAGCATGTTAATAACAACTGTGTATGCACAACTGTTTCGTTTTCAGTTCTCAGCATTAATGTATAAATTGTGGGAAAGGGCATTAGTAATTCTATTCTGGTTATTTTTGTTTAGCTAATGGTTTGTATAAAGGAATCTCTACTGGGGAGGACACATTTTCCATATAATCACAGTGTTCTGATTATTTGTCTGTCACTTAATTCATCTTAAAAGTACGCTCTTAGGTCCGCATAGTTCTTTTACAAACTATTATTTGTTATATATTGTGGATGGCGATATCCTGGTAAATTTTTAATGTTTGTAACAAGAGCCCGTTTTACAGTTAATCTTAGGATTCTTACTGTTTCTGCAGGAAGTGTAGTTAGTTTGACAAGCATATATAATCTCCTAATGTTGAAATCCTCCTAACCCCAACCCATACTGTCCCTCATACAAAGGTTTAGTTCTGAACTAAGATTTTTGAAGGATTTTTACTCGTTTGGCATTATGTAACCTATTTACCTCGTGCACAAAAGGAGCATAGGCAGAAAATACCCCGCTTACTGTAGACAAAATATATTTGGCCAAAAGACTTGAACTGTGTTACTATTCCACCAGCATGAACATGCATGTTGGTATGACACCCAAATTATTCAGAATTTGGTACTGGCGAAATGCTTATTAAAATGGGTATGTAATAAATGCAGTCTTCATGGTGTTGGGACCCTAAGCTGGGACCTGTGAACAACTTGTATTAACAGAGCTCAGATGACATATTTGAAGATCATTATATTGGTGCATGTGAGCCATTATTTTAACTGTCTTACTGAATCTGGTTAATGCCGTTGACTGTTGTTGAAATGTGAAATGTAGTTAACTGTTGACCTTGTAAATATCTGCCAGATATAGATAATATTTTAAATTGTTGTAAATACAGGTGTATAAAATTGAAACAAATCTGCAATGCAGAATATATATATATATAAATATATATAAATATAAAAAGATGTTTAAATAAATATTGTGCTGTTTCTGGAAAAAGTCACACTGTGGTAATTACTCCTGCACGTACCTTTCTTCTGTCCAGTCGCAAAGTCATGCCTGATTTTTTGCGACCCCATGGACAACATTTCTCCAAGTTGAAAATGAACTTCTTGTCAGGCTTTCTTTGTATAAGTGCATCATATAGCAATTTAGAAATTGGCAGAAAACAGCAACAAAATTTGATAAATTTGCATGATCCCTGGTTGCACATACCCTGAAAATAAGCTGCACCGTGTGAGGTGTTTGTGCACCTGAAAGATACTGTGGGTTCTAACTCCCTCCCTCTCCCGCCAGAATTATGGAGGACTTGAAGCCTGGAGCTATCCTGTCTCCTCTCTCCATTCTGCTTGCCAGCTTTTTTGGCTACTATCACTATTGGCTATGTTTTTCCCCCCTTTGTTCCTTTTCACAAAGTTTTTGTAATCCCTGCTGGTGACAGTCCACTGACAGCCTCTCCAAGGTGTCCAGGTGGCAAGTTACCACATCTGTCACTGATTCTCCACTGTTGTTTTTTTAAGTTCCACTAATGTGTGCAAATATTTGTTTTTTTAAAAAATCAATCTTTTGGATTCTTTTAGAGCAGGGGTCAGCAACCCGCGGCTCCGTAGCCGCGTGTGGCTCTTTCATTGCTCTGCTGTGGCTCCCTGTCGCTCAAAATATGCGTCACAACTGCCAATGTGTGACACCCACCAGCACACGATTTATTGAGCTTTTCGACCCCTGGTAGGCCAACCATGGAGAAATCCCCAGAAAAGAAAAGTTTCAGAAGAAAACAACGTTCAATGGTACGTGGGCAGATTCATTTGCTTTCACTGCTGATGAGACTGGTTTACCAGTATGCTTAGTATGAGGTGAGAAATTGGCAAACAACAAAAAGTCAAATGTTGCAAGACATTTCCAGAATAAACACACAGCCTTTGCTGAAAAATATCCGGATGGAGATGAGAGAAAAAAAGCCATTTCAGAATAGATGCGAAAGGTTGATTTGAGCAAGAATCATTTCAAGAAGTGGATTAAGTCTGCAAATTCAACTGCATATGCTAGTTCTGCGCCGCTCAGGAAATAGGCATAGGAAGACGTTCACAGATGGAGATTATATAAAAGAATCTTTCATTGATATCATAAATGCAACACACTAGTTTTTTTATACATAGCATAAAGGTAAAAACCAATATATGCAGTGTTATCTTCATTTTAGATGTCAAAAGGGTTTTGTGGCTCCCGGTGTTTTCTTTTCTGCGGGAAACGGGTCCAAATGGCTCTTTGTTTAAGGTTGCCGACCCCTGTTCCAGAGGAATAACCTAAAGTCTAATATAGTGCCTTCATAAGGAAGGCTGGGCGCAAAAGGATTGAGGCCTTTGAATTCTGGTGCTGGAGGAGACTCCTGCGAGTCCCTTGGACTGCAAGGTGATCAAACCGGTCAGTCCTAGAGGAGATCAACCCTGACTGCTCTTTAGAAGGCCAGATCCTGAAGATGAAACTCAAATACTTTGGCCACCTAATGAGAAGGAAAGACTCACTGGAGAAGAGCCTAATGCTGGGAACAATAGATGGCAAAAGAAGGGGATGGCAGATAACGAGGTGGCGAGATGGAGTCACTGAAGCAGTTGGTGAGAGCTTAGGTGGACTCTGGGGGATGGTGGAGGACAGGAAGGCCTGGAGGAATGTTGTCTATGGGGGACGTGACTTCGCAACTAACAACAACAATATAGTGCCTTAACAGGGTAAGCATACATGCCAAACTTACCACGTCACATCCCTTCTATATCATATGCACTAATTAAAAGAGTTTAACAGGTTGCCAGCTGCCTCCCTCTGTTCAGTGGGAGGTGTTACTGATCTGAAGCATTGCAACAGTACCTTGTTCTTTTGCTAGTACTCAACACATTCTTGATATACTTTTAGCATTTCATTAATTTAGTTTTTTTTTTGCAATATAATATAAAGTAATACAAACCATTAACTCAGAACAGAAACATTTGCTTTGTTTACACTTGTGGATATATGAACTATTTAGTACCACTGAAAATGATAGGAAGGTTTCTCACCTGGGTTTCTAAACAGTGCTTTGCATAATCTCTCTACTGAAAAAATAAAATTAGACTCAGACTGTAAATGTAGCCCTGTTCTTGAGAACCGTTGCCCTTCTCATTAACCCCCCATGTTACATGGTTTTCATATAGATTCCGAAGTTTCAAGCGGGTATCAAGCACGTTTGGTGAATGCCGCCATCCCGTGCTCAAACACAAAACAGCACCTTTCAGTAAGTTTACATCCTCCTTCCCTCCCTCCCACGGGGTATGCTGGAGGCAACAGGTAAAATAGCCAGCCAGCCACAAAGAAGAAAAGAGCGTTTGTGCCTTCAAGAACTATACAGAAAGGGGGGCTTTCGGGAGATGCAGATTTCCTCCACCCATCACAGGATCTACTTGTGAAAAGTCTCTTTTCTAGCCAAAAATGAAAATCAAATGACAGGCGCGTGTTCTCCCTTTTTGGCTGTTTAATTTTGGTTTTACAGCTTTTACTTTTTTGAACGATTTCTGGAATCCTGAAAAGATTAGGTATGACCGTTTTAAGTAAACACAGATGCACAAATTCAGCCCTTGCTCGCAGGCAGACGGATGGAAAACACAGGGCGGAACCCGGGGGAATCGATGGCGTTCTTGGTCTTTTAAGAAACCGCTGGTGACCCCTGGATAAGAAGAGCTGCGGCTGGATCAGGCCGCAGCCCTGACGCTGCATGAGGGAAGCCCGCAAGGACACAGCTCGAGCGCAACTGGTATCCATAAACGTCTCCTACGGGTAGACCACCTGTTTTGGGCTACAACTCCCATCCGCCCCAGAGAGCGTGGCCCATGGTCAAAGAGCTGTGGTTTAAACCACTGGAAGATAGGTTGTTTACCCCAGCGCACTGCTTCAGCTACTAGCTAGTCAGTCGGGCCCTGATGGGTTTCTTCTCCATGAGTGTGACTAATCCTCCTTTAGATCTGGTCACGTTGGTGGCCAGCGCTCCATTTTGGGATAGCGAATAGTACAGCTTGAGTAAGACCAGCTGCAGCAGCGCGTCCTTAGGCCTTGTGCTAAGAGAAACTCGTCGCCGAGGGCACCGGCTCTTTCGAAGTGCTGACTGGCACTGCCAGGCAGCGGAGAGCAGCACAAAACCCCTCCCCGCGCCACCTACTACACAGAACTAGCTATTGGTGAAGAAGTGAGACTCAAAAACACCCCCAGGCTAGCGAGGGGAGGGGGAAGCTCGGGGAGTCATTTGCTATTGGCCGCACCAGAGTGTCAATCAGGAATCCCGGCTCAGACTTCCTATAGGAAGAGAGCGGAGAGCCTCCGGAGCGGGCTGTTCCCCTCCCACTTGCACGGATGGGGACGCCCTCAGAAAGGGGAGGGGTGCCGCCTCGCGTGGAGACGCGGGAAGCAACGTTCTTTCCGGCTGCGCGTGGAAGGCTGTCGTTTTCCTCTTCGTGAGTAACGGGCGCCTGGGCGGAGCCACGGGGGCGCTGGGGGGGTTTCGCGTGTGCGGAAGGGGGTGGGGCGGCTGGTGGTCGCGCGAGGGCACGAACGCTGCGGAGCTCGTGCAGAGGGTGGGCAGAAGTCCCCCGTGGGAGAGCAAAGGGCCCCGCCGTTGAAACGAAAAGCCCCAGTGTGACTTTCGGGTGGAACGTTAATTTCTTTACCATGTAGCGGAAAACTTGTTGGCTTGGTAACAAATCTTGCTGGGTTAAGAAAGACTTCGTTATAATCCTACACTTACTTACCCGCGAGTCCCATTTAGCCGAAAGTGGCTTACTGCAGAATAGGATTGTACTGTCAGGCTGTGGTGCTTGTAGTTTAATATTATATCCATGTTTATCCAGAAGTGAGTGTTCAGGTTCATTCCTTAGTAAATGTGCATAAGTTTTCAGTCTTAGGCAAAACCCTATGTGCATGCGTAATAATTAAACCTTGAATGTCTTTCAGACTTACTATAAAGAATAGTTGTATAGGATCTTTCCTAAAACAAGACTATGTTCTGATGTCTCCTAAATCAGTGACAGTAACATAAGGCAATTGCAGTGTGGTAGCAGATGCTCCTTCAAAATATTTCCTGTCCTCTTTAAATAGCAGAATAGAATTTAAACGTCAAACTATCTCAAATATTTAGGAAGAGCTTGTATTTTTGTGATGCTGCTTCCCATTGGTGTTCTCCAGTTTGTGCATTATTTGCTTATGCAACAATGATTTTCACTTTCTCACTTATGTGAATGCTTGTGTTGGCCTCACCTGCAAAAAATGAGTTGTATGTAGGTGAATCTTCTTTGTCCCAGTTGTCAGTATCAAAAAGATGGAAAACTTGGTTAAACAAGTTGTAGAAAGAGTGGCAGAAATTAGATACTTAGATCCTTTTTTGCAGGTTGTGTGTGTTAAACTCTTATCAGGTAATCACAGAATCTGTCCCTACTTTCAGTGCTGTGTCAGATCACCCTATTGAGAAAGCGAAGATTGCTCTTCTGGCGATCCTTTTTATTTCAACTTAAACAGGATGCCCTAGGGTGACTCCACCACCCCAGGGTCACTCACTTTGGCTTCCCTGTGTTAGTGAGTGCTTTCCTCAAACATTCCAGATGTTTCTTGTTTGAGTAGATCATTAATAGAATTAGTTTTGAAGATTAGATTTTATGCATTTTGAGGTGAATCTGAACTTTGCTTAATGTGATCAACAGTGCAGTTCTACCCAAAATTCTAGCTGAAGAACACAGTACAGGTGTTCTAAATGCTAATAAAATCCAACAGGAGCATCATGGCAGAGATAGTTCAAAGTATTTTGCAAATATGACTATTTATATTTAATGGTTCTGATGTTTGTGAGGAAAAACCAGGATAAATTTAAGAAAGACAAAGGATGACTACCACAACTAATGCATGTTAAACTTTTCTTCATATGCCATGCATTGGTTACTGTTGCTATGACACAATTTGCTTTTGGTTTTAGAGATCTTGCTATGAGTAACCCAAAGATAAAGAAGAGCAATGTGCTAGAGGTCAGGTTTGTGGCAGATGAAGATGTTCTGAAGCACATTTCTGAGAATACAGGTATGCATCATTTGGCTGTTGAGGCTACCATAGTTTAATGAAATTTAAACGAGGTGCTAGGGTACGGAACTTGTGATTTTCCAAAAACGTGATCAGTGATATTAGATGGATTTAGATAAGGCTGCAATCCTGTGCATTACCTGGGAATAATACCCACTTAATTGAATAAACCTTACTTCTGAGTAGAAATAGGTAGGATTGTGGTGAAAGCTACTGAATTTTAGCAATGACCACAACTGATTTATATCCTGCTGCTTTCAGAATATGTGTCATCACATATTTAGAGGTTTAGATAGTTTGGAAATAGACCAAGTATTTAATCTATTTCCTGAAGGAATTGAAAACGCTTAGGGTAGTTTCTGCTTCTCCCCAGCTCATAATGATGTTGTTATGAGGTCAACATAACAATTTTGTAGCATTTAGAAATGTAAGGATTGCAAGTTAATAGTCCTAGAAATGGAAATAATGATATCAGTATTAATATCATTAATAGGCAAGTATACAAAGTTATCTGACTTTAGATAAGCAGTGGGAAGGCCTTCCTTGGCTGTTTCTTCACTGCTAGTTGCACTGCCTTGTCTCAGAGAAATTATGACAAAGGAGCCCTCCCCATAGTGCCACCTTCAGAGTTCAAAAAGTGCTGTGGAGATTTAATTAGCTCCCTTGATATTTTGATAGCTGTTTCAGTGTTCTGTTAATTTCTTGAACTGAATGGAATGAAGTGTAAATAGAAAAGACTGTATCAGTGTAGTGGGGCTTAGTCTTGTTTGTGTTTCACATGTAAACAATTGTGCTGTAACCATATGTCCAGAGGGAGATGGAGAGCATGTTTTTTTATCAGAACTAAAAGAGTGGTTTTAGAATTGAGGCCTTTGAATTGTGGTGCTGGAGAAGATTCCTGCGAGTCCCTTGGACCGCAAGGTGATCAAACCGGTCAGTCCTAGAGGAGATCAGCCCTGACTGCTCTTTAGAAGGCCAGATCCTGAAGATGAAACTCAAATACTTTGGCCACCTAATGAGAAGGAAGGACTCCCTGGAGAAGAGCCTAATGCTGGGAACAATAGATGGCAAAAGAAGAAGGGGACGGCAGAGGATGAGGTGGCTAGATGGAGTCACTGAGGCAGTTGGAGTGAGCTTGGGTGGACTCCGCGGGATGGTGGAGGACAGGAAGGCCTGGAGGAATGTTGTCCATGGGGTCACGATGGGTCAGACACGACTGCAACTAACAACAACAACAAAAGAGTGGTTTACAGTGTTTTGTTTTACTTTATGCTTTATTGTTGCACTTTCAGGTTCTAAGGTTCGGAAAAACAAAGCTCCAGATACACTTGATCTAAAAAGATGGGTGAAAAAAGTAGAAAGCAGCTCAGAGGATGAAGCCCAGGATATTCTTGAAGAGCAAGATTATGTGTCAGTCCTAGGCACAGATGTTCAAGGTATTTATGTGAGAAATGCCATTTTTTCAGAAACTCATCACTACCACAGCCATAACAATGAGGAAGTTTGCTAAGAAGTTACTGTTTAATATTGATGTTGGTAAATTATTGTGAGGGCTGATCCACTTGTCATGTTTAAGTTTTAACAGCATTTGCACATATAATGAAGTATGAGCCCTTAGCTCTTCACCAGGCAATTGTTACTATTATTAATTAATTGTTAAGATTGCCTCTTAGTTTCTTGGGGTGTGTCTGTATTTTTAGGGTCCTTGAGAAATGGGTCCAGTACAGGTGGTGGTGATGTCTTCTCATTTCAAACTCCAAAACGCTCTAACAAGATGGCAGAGAAGGGTATGTACTCAGTTCTGTTTTCGATTTGGAACTTTGCACATAATCTGTTTTAAGTCCACATATTTACCATGCTGTTAAAATCCAAAAGAAGCTAAGCAATTTTGATATTATACATGTGAAGTTTGTTGGTGCAATTGAGTAACAGAACCTTACAATGCTATATTAGAATGAGCCACAATCTTGAGGACCACATAGTTAATCTTGTGGGGTAGTGAGGCTTTTAACTTTTACTTCAGGACAGCCTTTCTCTTCACATAGCAAGCAGCTTCTAAAACTGAGAAGAGTGTCAAAAAAATTTGTTTTCCAGCATGGTAGATGTGCAGTTTGAAATGTTTAAAAGGCAGAAGCCATACTTGTTGTATGCAACCCTTTAGTGCCCCTAAATATACCTTTACATGGTGTTTTTAAACATACTGGTTTCCCTTCCCAGTGGTTATCTTGGTCCATTCAGCATATTTTCATCTTGCTAATTGCATTTTCTTTGTAACTTTTCTGGTTCCACCTGAACCACTGTAGTTGCTCATAGACACTGGATTTTTTAACCTTGTGTTACTATGGCTGGTCTATTCTGTATGTATTAATAGTGTTCTGTATGTATGCTTCTTTAATCTGGGATCTCTCTCTTCACAAGCCTGTGAGCTAGCTTACCAGCCAGGAAAGAATGTAAACCATGACAGACTGAAGAATCTTGAAAAGGAAGCAAGCACTCCTAAAAGTGGGAAGAGTAAGTTTTAATGACATAACCTGAAAATTATCAAGCGCTTTGGTAAAAGGTGCATCCTCACTAGAATTATGGAAATTTGGCATTTGGTTCTTTAATAAGAAAACCAAATTCTAATGAGATTATACAAACAAGAAAATCAAATGTCACTGTTAGGTTATATAGTGTGTATCATGTATATTGTACCTGTCTGCATTGTTACTCTCCTCCTGTGGTGCAGTACGTAAGTAGAGGCACCACAGGAACTGAGGCACTGAGGGTTGGGGGAGATTTCCCACCTCTATCAATGGGTGCCTGAGCCAGAATCAATTTGCTTGTATATCTAGTAACAGTTGCCAGTGCATTCCCCCCCCCCCGCCCCCCAGTCATAGCTATGTGACCAGCTATCCAGCTGTTTGAAACTAAAGCCAAGGTCTGGCTTCTCCTTACTGGTAGTTGTAGAGTGATCATTGCTATGGAGATTCCAAGGACTTGAGACCTCAGTCCTATTCCAACAACATGCTTTTCCAACTGTGGAAAGGCATTCCATTTGGTGGTTTTTTCTTTGGTTTCTAACCATCACTGCACTAAGGCTTTTACTTCCAGGTTGTTAGCAAGATTGAGTGGCTTCTTTGCACCATTATTTCCAGGGCTTTTTTCCCCTTTGGCTTCTGTATGATCCATTATACAAACATAGTATAATGGAATTGTGCAAATACATGACTGTTTTTGTAGCTAGAATGTGCTAGCTCTTAATAGTTCATTATCATTGTTAATGGAAAAAGTCCTGGAAATGATCAGAAAGCATGGGATAGATCCTGGGGGGTAACAGCTTAATGTAAGGCACCCATAAATTACCATGGAGAGAAAATCATGAGACTTCAATAAATGCCTCATGTAAAGAAGCCCTACAGTTCTCATTACTAGCTATTTAGTGAATGCAGATAAACACACGGCTCAAACAATGGAATTGCTTGCCAGTAATTTTAAGAAAGATGATATCTGCTTGTACAGATTTGCTGTTCCCCAAAATGTGCAATTTCTTATCTTAACTAGTTGTGCACAGATATAAGTATATACAAATATTATTTCTCTCTATATACACATACATACAGAGCGAGAAATAGAGAAGTATTAGTTTGGGGGATAATAGATTATCTGAATGGATCCGTTAAAAATTGAGAAGTATTTGTACTTCTCAATTTAAGTGGCTGTTCAGGAAAGACCCTGACAGCAGAGCTGTGGAAGCAGAAAATTTTCAGAACTAGGCATAGAATTACAGCCATGATTCCACTCTATGACGGTATAATTTGGTATTGTATGCTATACTTTGGTTCTGGCTTATCACATGAGAGGGCACAATTATGAATGTGTTGTTCACATAGAAAAGTTATTGTCTCAAGTTTAAGCCATCTGCAGTTTTTCTGAGATGTATAGTAAGATGTCTGATAGTTGAGGAATATACAGAAAAGCAAATGTCTGTGGATGATCATAATTTGTGTGACAGCCTCTGTTTAATTTTTCAGAATATTGTATGTCAAGCAAAGGCCAGGAAGAGGTGAGAAAAAATTTCTGGTACTTAAAACCACAGTGTTTCAGAAAGACAGAAGATCTTTCTCTGTATATTTAGAACATCCTGTGTGTCTTCTGATACGGTACATTTTTGTACAGGACTATCAGAGATTTCTCTGCACATTCTGCATGAGTTCTGTTACCAGTACTTCATAAAGGATGACAAACTAGGTATTGCGTCAACTAGCAGAAGGGAGAGAGAGAGAGTGCGCATACAAGAGAGTGCGAGCGTGCGCACGTACACGTGTGCATATATAGCAAAAGAATAGGCTTGTTCTCCATTCTTGCTTTGTTTATCTGTGAACTGTAGGGTAGTTGGAAATCAGAGGTTTTAATGGGAATGTTTCCTCAGAACTGACAATCAATTTGGATATGTCAGGAGTCAACAGAAACGGTACAGTGTACCCAAGTTTTAAGATTGGTGTCTACATTTTGTTCAGTCTTTAATAGCCAGTTGGCAGGTAAGAAGGGCAAGGCCTAATGTAGATCAGCCAATGTGGACAGTGCCAAAAACATTCAAGGTCAAAAAATTCTGCAGGTTAATACCTTGATTAGAAAGTAGTCTATTTAAACAGAAGAGATTTTGTTTAAAAATATGATCTAACGTGTTTGCTGTTGTTAACAGAGTACAAAGAAAAAGTTTGTGTCAGAGACTCCTTACAGACTCAGAAAAAGAATTACAGGTAAGGGTAGCATTTGCCATTAACTCCTGCCAGTATAGTGGTGAAATTTTATAATGAGAGAATTCATTCTTGTATGCTGTTTCTTTAGTTCCACATTTCAGAGTGTTTCTGTGAGGTCGCTTCCTGTGCTTTTCTGCTAAATCCCAAGTATGGAAAAGCAGCATCTAATGAAGATACCATGTTATGTGGGGGTTTTTGAACTGTTACCTATGTTGGCTGCATTGTGCAGGCCACCAGTGAAGAGCATGGGCTCCGTGATACTTGCAAATATTTTGAACTAGTACATTGAAACTTGAAGAAATTCTGTGTGGAATTTCCTTCCAGCTGGGTGCTTTATTGAAAGGGATGTTTGTCCTGTACATCCCAGGGAGTACAGGGATAGAGATTTTAATTTGGTTAAATGTTTGGCTTGATAGACCAAGGGCAACCAGTAATGCCACTTCAGTTGCAGCATTCCCCAGTGAGCCCTGCTGGCTGGGAATGCTGGGAATTATAAGACTGTCTCTGTCTGAACATGCATAGAATTGCAACCTAGTAGGTTATATTCAATTAAACAGGCTAATTCCATAGTATTTGTCCATTGACTATCTTAGTTTTAGATGGATGTTTCTTCAGTTGTGGTGTGGTTTTAATACAGTATAGGATATTTATCACTTCATTTGTCACATTGGTAAGTGCAGCATGTGTTCGCAGTAGTTCGCTAGCAGTTTCTTTTCTTTTTTCCAAAATTCAGAAAGCCCATGTCACCTGTAATTATGTCCATCTCTATAATCAGCTTCAATAACAGGAACAGTTATGTGCTCTGTTCTGGAAAATGGCTTTTCTCTATTCATTATATTCGCTCTAAAGGTTATGCAGTTCTCAGTATGCAAAATACATCAAGTTGATTATTGTAAATAGGAAGGATTTTAGGGAAGGAAATTCATAAGAGCATAAGAGTCTAGCTCAGGGGTCGGCAACCTTTAACACTCAAAGAGCCATTTGGACCTATTTCCCACAGAAAAGAAAACACCGGGAGCTGCAAAACCCTTTTGACATCTAAAATGAAGATAACACCGCATATATTGTTGTTTACCTTTATGCTATGTATAAAAAACTATAGTGTGTTGCATTTATGAAATCAATGAACTGCTACAGAGAAAACAAATTTTTATTTCTGCATGCAACAAAAACATTTCGAACTCCGAAAAAAAAGATGCTGGGTTGAAAGTTACTTTCAAATAAAATGCTCAATATCTATCTGAGTCCTCCTCGTATTTATGAAATAAAAAGCCAAACTTATATTATCCACTAGCAGCAAACCAAACATGCCATCTGCTTCTGTGTGCCCTCATCCTTTTATCACGTGGTGAAATATTGAACAAACATCCCTCTCCCAATGTAATAATGTTGCTGGAGTTTTTATAAGAATCTTCTTAAAACAAAGAAGTAGATCTATGTCGTCATTATGATTTAGCTGCAGCTCTTGTTCAGTTACTAAAAACTGTTATTTTTAATCTTACATTATAACCTAGTAGGATTCCTTTCATTTATTTTGAATAGGAGAACAGCTTCCTGCAGAGTCAAAGTCAGTGCTAAAGGGCTGCATGCATTAAACAGCAAACCCCATAAGTTCGTCAGCAGTAAAAACAAATGAATGTACCCACGTACCATTAAACGTTCAGTTTTCTTCAGAAACTTCTTCGGATTTATCCATGGTTGGAGGAGGGGAAAGCTCAGTAAATCAGTGCTGGTAGCAGATATAGGTGTGTTTAGTGACTGATTAGCAGATACACAGTCAAGTGCTGTGAATTGTGACAGGTCCCAAACGCAGCTTTTAACATTCAGATGAAGGAGATTACACTGGGACAAAGAGAATCTTTTCAGCAGTGTTTCATGTAACATGAGAGCCTGTAGGAAGCTTGTTTAGCAGAGGAATGTAGCGATTTACTTAACTAGCTAGCTCTGCATTCCTGAGTGGAGCTTCGAGCAGATCAGCGGCTGTGCTGGCGCATGTTTTGAGCGACAGAGCCGCAGTAGAGTGGTTCAAGAGCCATGTGCGGCTTCAGAACCGCGGATTGCTGACCCCCTGGTCTAGCTGAATCGGAGCAAAGGCCTGTCTGGGCCAGCCTCCTACAATAGCCAACCAGATACCATTTGGAAGCTGAGGACAATCATCCTCTTGCATTCTTGTTCCACAGATATTCTTGACTGCCTCTTCAACTTTTCCTTTTCAGCTTTAAACATGTGCTCTGATAGTGAAAGCGAGTATTCTGCTTCATGCTCTGAAGAAGAGGGGAGTGACAGTTGCAGAGGAACCGCTGATGAAGCTGTTCATCCAGAGACACCCACTAGACCCCAAACAACTGCTCCAACTAGTAAAGAAACATCAGTTAAGAAACTAAAGAGAGACATTCCTGTAAGTGCGGGTGCAGCCTAGTGTTGCTTTTAACCATAGCAAAATAAATAAGAAATAATGTTTAAAAAACTGTTCTGTTGACTTTCAAAATTAAACTAAATGCAAAGTTTGGAAATTGTTTATGGCAAATTAATCCAATGTGCTGTGGAAATAAGGTTCACTGGATTCAATAAGGTTTAATTCTGGGTAGATAAGACTGGGTCTGCAATATCTATGAAAGTCTTTTTTCCATATGTATAAGGCATTAAAAATGACAATAGAATGGGGTGTGTTGATTTTTGCCATAGCCTCCCTCAATGTGTTTAAACAACAGTACTATTGGACACTTTCAAAAGGGAATGAGGACCAAAAATGTTGCGCTAGTCTGATGACTGATGTTCAGGTAAAATTAAATAATTGGGGGAAATGATAAAGTAATCATTTTATCCTAACCAAATTTAGTATGCATGCAAAGGTAATATAAAGACCAGTCTTCTTTTTCATATAATTCTGTATGAGATATGAATGCTTTTATTACACAGACATGAATTCTTTAGATTAAAGAATCATATTATTTGTTTTCAGTTGCATTTCTCTTCTCCCAGGTATTTTGTTTTACCCCTTTAAACTTTCCCCATCTTTTTGCCTTTTCATCCTATTAGCCTTTGTTCTGCCTTTGCAGAAGCAGCTTTGAACTTCATTTATAATTCAGTTAGATTTATGAGATTAAATCATTGCTTTGTTCCCACATAATGCTGTCAAGGGAGTCTACCTACTCTTATTGTGTCTCTTTCCTCAGAAAAATTTGGTGGAAGAATATTTTGAAGCACATAGCAGTTCCAAAATCTTAACCTCTGATCGAACACTTCAGAAGCTGCAGAAAAAAAAACTAGATCAGGTACAGTATTTGCCAAGAGAGACTTTTCTCTTGAAGCCTTTGTCAGAGAAAGAGCAAGCAATTGTTACTAGCTTTGTTCTTGGCAGGCAGTTTAGTAATTACAACTCCTTTTGTTTTACTAGTGCTATTATTTTAAAAAATGAAAGAAAAAGGCTACTGTCTGATGCATGTAGTACATCTTTTCAGTTCTGGAATGGTTCACCTGCCTTCTGGTTTATTTCGAAGTGCTATTTAAAGTGCTAGTTTTAATCTTTAAATCCTTATGTGGCTTGGGACCTAGATAGTTTAGGACTATCTTCTCTTACATGAACCTACTTGACCCTAGTGATTTATAATTTGGAGAAATTTTGAAGGCACAGAAAAAAACTTTTTTTAAACAGAGCTTGGGGAGAATGGACATTTGGTTGAAATTCAAATCTATACAACTTACAACAAATCTATACAACCTTCTTATCAAACCTTAATTTACTCGATTGCTTTAACGTAAAATGCATAATTTTAATTTAGCATATACAGTTTGGCTGCTTTTCATATTATTTATTTATTTATTTAGAGAACTTCTATGCCGCCCCATTCTCCAAAGCCTCGGGGCGGCTCACAATCATAAATAAATAACATAATATAAAACAATATAATTTAACTGTATAACAGTAAAATTTAAGTCGCCCTGGCCAAAGAATAAAATAAATAAATAATATTAACAATTGAAATAACATTTGAATAAAAAGGTCTTCGCCTGGCACCGAAAAACAAATAATGACGGCGCCAGGCGGACCTCTCTGGGGAGCGCATTCCATAGATTGGGTGCCACCACAGAGAAAGCCCTCCTCTGAGTACTTACTCTCCTAATTTCCTTCACGGAGGGTTCCCGGAGAAGGGCCTCTCCTGCTGATCTCAAGGGGCGGGCGGGCATATATGGACATAAGCGCTCCTTCAGGTAACCAGGACCCAAGCCGTTTAGGGCTTTATAGGTCATCACCAACACCTTGAATTGGGCCCGGACTTCAATGGGAAGCCAGTGAAGCTGACGGAGAACTGGAGTCATGTGAACATAACACCCAGTCCCTGTCAGCAGCTTGACAGCTCTGTTTTGAACCAATTGAAGTATATAATATAGTTATATTTACAAAGCAATCTTTTACATGATTGCTCATTCCCAGCCAGGTAAGTGCATGTAAGTAAGATCTTAGCATCAAAAGTATAAATGTGTTACTGCAAATGTAGCAGTGTGTCTATTCACAGTCTTTTGAAGGGCGAGATGAAAAGGTTGATTACAAAGGAAAGGTTCAGGTCTGAAATACAACAGAGGCAGGATACTTGCTTTTACTATCCAAACCTGATCAACAGTATAAGAAGGTATACTATACTTTAAAGAAGGAGATTTTTATAGTATGTCACATCCTGTGCATCATATAAATCAGTGGGGGGTGTCATGGTGTTAAGTCATTAGGTTTCAAATGTCAAAGCAAGTTTCAGGACTCCAGTGGATATATTCTTTTTTTAAGGGTAAGTGTAGGAGCAGGACAATTCCTGGATCCATAAACACAAAACAATTAGAATGTATAGAAGAAAATGTAAGAATTGGAAGTATCCAATGGGGCACCTACGCTGCTGCTGATTCTCAGATACCCTGTGAATACTGTTGTTCAAGCCAGTCTCATTGCACACACAAGACTCTGCTTGTGCAACAGTGTTTTATTGCTTTCCAGCGGAAATCCTGAAATGAGAAGAAACAGTTGTTCCTGCAGTGAGGCAGGATGGCAGAGCTCTCCTATGCAAATTCTACTGCCCTGCTCCCCTTCAAGAAATGAATGTTTTTGCTCATTTTTGGTTGCCTATGGAAGAGCCTATGGAATCTTGATTCTGCAGACAAAAACTGCTGCTTGCAGACAAGAATTGGCAAGGCATAAGAGAATTGGTTGGGGCATAGGCACACTATTATATTCTGTCAAATAAAATTGCAACAGACCCAGGAGCTGGTGTGGTATACTGGTTAAGAGTGTGGGACTGGGACTCAGGCAGTCTGGATTCTAGTCCCTGCTCTGCCATGGAGCCAATTGCCCATGACTGGTCCAAAGTCACCCAGTCAGCCCAGCTTAACTCACAGGCTTGTTATTGAGGGGAAAAGATTGAGAGCAGGAGGAAGAGAATGCTGTGAGCTACACTGAGTTTGTTGTAAGAAAAAAGGCAGGATGTAGCTCAAATAAAAACATAGGAATTCAAGAATAAAAAGGTCAATACTTGCTTGCACACTAAGAAAACAATAACACAAAATAAGATCGTAGCCAAATGGCAAAGAAAATAGTTCATAGTCCTCAGCTCTGGGACATAAATGGCAGTTACCTTTGACTAGAGCACCAAGATGAGGTCTTGGCAAGATGCAGAAGGCTGGCACAAAAGTGACGCCAAATATAAACAAGAATCAGATACTAGCAAAGCCTGACAGGGCCAGAGGCAAAGGCAGAGGGACAGGCAAGAGTCAGATCCCAGCAAGGCTTGGCAAGCTCAAGGCAAAGGCAAAGTCCAGAGCAAGCAAGTCATGTTCCAACAGGACAGGGCAGAACTAGAGGCGTGAGTTAGGACACAGCTAAAAGCATTGCAGAACTGGCAGCAAGACCAAGAACACAATGCAGCTGGCCACCACAAAGGTTTGTGGCACAAAACTAGGTAGGACTGTTTGTATCTCCTGCGGTGTCTGTCTGGTTTCCATGACTGCAGTGGTGCTTGTAAAGTACTTGCAGGCCTGATTCCAGTCCTGCAAGAAAAACCAAGGCTGCCTGCTTGATCAAGCCTCCAGGGGAGCTGTGCTGTTTTGACAGTAGCATTGTATAAATAATTCACAATTTTGCCATATTTTATGAAAGGATTATTTTATTAGAGAATCCACTAGCAGGAACATGTGGTGGTGGTGTCCACTAGCTGAAATGTTCTGGGGTAAGATCTTTCACAAAATCTCAACATTATGGGATACATATACGAAGAGATACTAATAGAGCTGCATGTCATATATTTGAGGGGCAAAATGAAACAATACTGTGTACCTTATGATTGTAAATAGGGGTTAAACAAATCCAGTGCTGTCATAAATACTGCTGTATGAGCTTTTAGATTATTTCTATACTTTCCAAGAGCTACAATGTAATGCACTAATTGCAGCAACAGATTGTTGTCTGATAATGGCAATCATTTCTTATACCCATTATTATTTTCATCTCTGTTTCTGCAATGTGGTATGACAAAGGATACCTTTGGACTATTTGACAGCATATAGGTATAATAATAAATAAAAATAAAAGCAGACAAAAATGCAACAATTTGGAATCACTTCTGTTTGCTGTTTTTGTAATTGTTATACATGATCATGGGCCCTATTTTCTTAACGTCTCTCCTGTCAGATACTATAGTTTTCTTAGTGCAAGAAAAGTAGGGTAGAGAAGTCATAAAATACTTCTTTTTTTGAAAGAGACCTTTAAATAGCTTTTGAATTTTCAGTGTATCAGAATGAGAGGAAGAAAGCATGATTTGGTTCATTCTTTGAATGCTTGCTAATTCTGTAGAGAAGTGAGCATATTAGAGTATTGATTCCACTTGTGGCCTTCCAATGACTTTTCTCGCTGTATATGAGCAACTTAGAATGCAGTCTTAAGGACCATGCCTTTGCTCCTCAGGAGCCTCTGAACTTGAAGGCTTCCAAGATACCTATAATGTGCTGGCCTGAAGCTGACGGGAGAAGGAGCAACGAAGGAGAACTTCATTCCCCCATCCTCTGTTTTTTCATTTTTTGCCAAGTCGTCGTCTTAGCCTGTCTAGCAAGAGCACTTCAGAGCAGGGGAAAAGAAGATTCAGGAGGCTCAAAACAACTGATATTCTGCCCTTTTTTTAGTCTGCTCCCCTCCTCCACTACTGGAATACCCCATATTTTGTTCTCCCCATGGTTGAGCTTTTGATCTTAGAGAGGGAACTTGTAAAGTTCTTTCTATGTCAGCTGTGAGGGGCTGGAAATCAGATCAACAGTCCCCATTCCAAGATTGGAGCAATGTCTCCAGCCCTAGAAAGGGGAAATCCAAACTATCCTTTTTCCCCCTCACCCAGGGACTATACAGTTGCTCTCTTAGTTGGCCTATTTTGCTCTAATTTCATTTTCAACCAAAGCGAATCAATTCTGGTTGGAATGTTCATATATGATAAGATACTGTTTATTTATACTTCAGGACTTTTCTATATAAACAATTCTGCACAAAAAGCTCTTCCAAATGTCAAGTTTTAGAATAATTATGTAACTGTTAAAACTGCACATTAAAAGGCTTGATTATGGAGCTTCTGTTTGGGGCATTTGTGCAGAATCTGTTGTTGTTAAGGACAATAGCTGTCCATAATCAAGGGTGGTGAAGCCTACCAGGAGGCAGCACTGATACAGTACTCTGATCACTCTGTCTTTCACAGAAGGTCCTTCTTAATTTTCAGTCATTCATCTGTTTGAATATTCACTCTTGTGTGTACAGACTGGTATATATGCAAGAGAAGGATTGGGCTGCATCTGGTGATTTCCTCCTGGTTATAGAAGGGCTTTTGATCCAGGAGGTGTTTCTATTAAGGGTTTTCCCTTAAAGGGATGAATATTGCCTTCCACACTGTTTTAGAGGGCCTGCCAATTGATTATTAGAAGGCTGCATAAAAAGAGTTGATGGAAACCTTTTCACCTTTCCGTGACTATTGGAAGCTTCCACTGGATTAGAAGTCCTCCCGTTAAAAGAAGGGCACGATTGGATATAGCAGACTGAAATGCATTTGTGCATAGCAAATTGGACAGTGTATTGCACCATTTTTCTCAGCACTGGATCCTGAGTCTAATGGTCATTTTCTCCCCGATCCAGGAGACCCTGCAAAACCTCTTGAATAAAGTACCAGTTGCATTTGCAGCTGAATGTGAAAAGTTAATCAAACAACATGAATCGCTCTTTTACAAATGGATGTTGCAATTGCAGTGAGTATCCCCTTAGTTGATGTAAGAACCTGCAATATGCAGTTCAAATTTACTGGAACAAATTTAAACTAGAATTAAGGAATTCTTCCAAGGATAGTCTGGAAATAGTTCTAATTGAAAATGCTTGCATTTTTTCCTTACCCTAAATAAACTAGGTTATTCTAGAATAGGGGTCCTGAACCCATTTTGGGTTAGTGGCTCATTTGGAATTTTTATAGTGTCTTGGGTACCATCATAAAATGAAGAAAATGTTAGAGTACAACACTTTGCTTTAAGGCACACCAATCTCCCATTTTTTAATAACTTTAAAAAATCTTAATATATAAAAAATCAGGAGGGGCACAAAGTCTGGTGGTTCCCAATAGAGGTGTCTGATCACACTGGTGCCCATGGGCTCCAAGTTGGACATGTAGGAATGGAACAGTGACTCTCAAGAAAGTTGGGCATCCTCCTTAGAGGGGGATATGTAAGAACCTATTGCCATAGTTTACCTGGAATTTGCAGACAACGGTTTCCAAGTAGTGTATAGGGAAACACCAACACAAACATTTTGTGCTACCTTTTGAAAGTGCCTCCATGGTTATGAGGAAATGTATCAGACTCTTTTTTTCCAGTGATAGTCCTTATTTATTACCTCTGATTAACCTTCCAACTGCATATCTATTTTATTCATTGTCTCTAACTTCAGTAGTATAATTTATCCCTCCTTTTGCCCATGTCATCTGTTGCAAATATTAGTTGTGCATTCTGCTTTCGAAACCATAGGAAAGAATGTGTGATTGGCTGATTAAAGGCAGAAGAACACATTTGGCAGCAAATGTGAAATTCCCGATCTTGTGTGTGCCACTGATGTGCAAAATGCTAGTGCTTGTTTCTTTGTCACACAGAGGAAAATCAGGTAGAATGGGGTTGCCCAAGCCTTTTTCAGCCACAGATTTCCTTTGCAATAACTCTGCTTTTCTATACTAGGCAAGCAAATGTGTTTAAATTCCAGCTTGAAGGAAAGTGGCTGTGGGAAGGGATTGCAGAGGGTGAGCAGCAGGGGAAGGAGTAAGTTCACTCTCCTCTCATACATCATTTCTCCTGTTCAAATGTCTCTGCTCCTGCCTAACTTGGCTGCTTTGCATGTGGGAGACAGACATGAGAGTGTGAATTTTTTCAAGGGTAGTAAAGTTTAATAATTATTGTTCAGGAGAAAAGCATGTTGGCTGTACCCTGACTTATAAATTTCAGGAACTTTTTCCTCTTTCTTTGTTACAGCTTGGGGTTTAACATTGTGCTGTATGGACTAGGCTCAAAGAAGGACCTCTTGGAGAATTTTCGCATTTCTCTTCTTCAGAATTCTGTTCATATTGTTGTGAATGGGTTCTTCCCCAGCATCACTGTGAAATCAGTAAGCAAAAAGAGAAAGATGAGTATACATTCATTTGGAGAAAGGATGGAGAACCTTTAGGCTATAGCCTCCTTGGATTCCTCCAAGGGCATGGAAGCAATTTGGCTCCCCACCTGAAAAATCATTCCTATACCTGCTCTATAGATAACTTTTCCATGCCATTACTCAAAATGGAATTATTTGTCACCTTGTAATCTGTACACACATCAAAATTGTCTGCATTCTGGACTTACATTGGATATAATAGTGGCTGACTATTTTCAAATTCCATTTGTAGGAAACAGCAAGTTACTTGAAACTACATGAGTTTATATTGTAAATCAATCCTTATGAAACCAGCAGTGCATGTGAATTTTGTTTCACTGCACGTTGCTTTCAGTATAGAAATGTTGTAATATTTCAAATAGACTTAGTAGTGAGGCATTTTTAGCCTGGCTTAGCTTCCCTTCATGGATCACTGCCTTGCTGTGGCAAAGGGGCTTGTGTAGCACAATGAAGCTATGAACTATGCCGTGCAGAGGCACCCAAGATGGGCAGGTCATAGCAGAGAGCTCTGACAAAAGGTCACTGGAGAAGGAAATGGCAACCCATTGCAGTACCCTTGCCATGAAAACCCCATGGACAGTACCAAAAGGCAAAAAGATATGTGACCGGAAGATGAGCCCCTCAGGTCGGAAGATGTCCAACTGGGGAAGAGCAGAGGGCTAGTACTAGTAGCGCCAGAAAGAATGAAGCAACTGGGTCAAAGCTGAAAGGACACTCAGTTGCGGATGTATCTGGTGGTGAAAAGAAATTCCGATGCTGTAAAGAACATTACACCATAGGAACCTGGAATGTAAGATCTATGAATCAAGGTAAGCTGGACGTGGTCAAACAGGAGATGACAAGGCTGAACATCGACATCTTAGGAATCAGGGAACTAAAATGGACAGGAATGGGTGAATTTAATTCAGATGACCAGCAGGTATACTACTGTGGGCAAGAATCCCTCAGAAGAAATGGAGTAGCCTTCATAGTCAATAAAAGAGTAGAAAAAGCAGTAATGGGATACAATCTCCAAAATGACAGAATGATCTCAGTTCGAATCCAAGACAAACCATTCAACATCACAGTAGTCCAAGTCCGTGCCTCAACCGCTGATGCTGAAGAGGCTGAAGTTGACCGGTTCTATGAAGGCCTACAACACCTTGTTGAAATAACTGCAAAAGTTAAAGTTCTACACTTAATATGCCAGCAAATTTGGAAAACTCAGCAGTGGCCACAGGATTGGAAAAGATCAGTATACATTCCAATTCCAAAGAAGGGAAATGCCAAAGAATGTTCAAACTGCCACACCATTGCACTCATTTCACATGAGCAAAGTTATGCTCAATATCCTACAAGCTAGGCTCCAGCAGTATGTGGACCAAGAACTACCAGAAGTACAGGCAGGGTTTTGAAGAGGCAGATTAGCTAGAGATCAAATTGCCAACATACACTGGATGATGGAGAAAGCTTGGGAGTTCCAGAAAAACATCTACTTCTGCTTCATTGACTATGCTAAAGCCTTTGATTGTGTGGGTGGCAACAAATTGTGGCAAGTTCTTAAAGAGATGGCTGTACCAGACCATTTTATTTTTCTCTTGAGAAACCTGTATGCAGGTCAAGAAACAACAGTGAGAACTGGACATGGAACTACTGATTGTTTCAAAATTGGGAAAGGAGTTCGGCGAGGCTGTATACCGTCGCCCTGCCTATTTAACTTATATGCAGAGCACATCATGCAAAAGGCAAGGCTAGATGAATCACAAGTTCGAATTAAATTTGCCAGGAGAAATATCAACAACCTCAGATATGCAGATGATACCACTCTAATAGCAGAAAGTGAAGAGGAACTAAAGAGCCTCTTGATGCGGGTGAAAGAGGAGAGCGCAAAAGTTGGCTTGAAACTCAACATTAAGAAAACTAAGATCATGGAATCTGGTCCTATCACTTCCTGGCAAATAGATGGGGAAGAAATGGAGGTAGTCTCAGATTTTATTTTCCTGGACTCCAAGATCACTGCAGATGGGGACTGCAGCCAAGAAAGTAAAAGAGGCTTGCTCCTTGGGAGAAAAACTATGGCAAATATAGACAGCATACTAAAAAGCAGAGACATCACCCTGCCAACAAAAGTGCATATAGTCAAGGCTATGATTTTCCCAGTTGTGATGTATGGCTGTGAAAGTTGGACCATAAGGAAGACTGAGCGTTGAAGAATTGAGGCCTTTGAATTGTGGTGCTGGAGAAGACTCCTGTGAGTCCCTTGGACTGCAAGGAGATCGAACCAGTGAGTCTTAGAGGAGATCAACCCTGACTGCTCTTTAGAAGGCCAGATACTGAAGATGAAACTCAAATACTATGGCCACTTAATGAGAAGGAAGGACTCCCTGGAGAAGAGCCTAATGCTGGGAATGATTGACTGCAAAAGAAGAAGGGGGCAGCAGAGGATGAAGTGGCTGGATGGAGTCACTGAAGCAGTTGGTGTGAGCTTAAGTGGACTCCAGGGGATGGTGGAGGATAGGAGTGCCTGGAGGAATGATGTCCATGGGATTGCGATGGGTCAGGCACGACTTTGCGAATAACATAACGCTTTCTTCTAAGAACCACATTTTTAAAAAAAAGTACCAAAAGAAGATGGTGCCCTGTCAATCTTTTGTGTTTCAGATACTGAATTCCATAACAGAGGAGGTGTTAGATCACGTGGGTACTTTTCGCAGCCCCCAGGATCAGTTGGATTTCATCATGGAAAGATATAAAGAAGGTAAAGTAGATGGGCAGATACCATGCAAGTGTGGATTCTGTTAAAAAGACAGTGGTGCAGTGTAGTGGTTAAGAGCATGCGACTGGGACTCAAGCCATTTGGATTCTACTCCCCACTCATCTATGGAGCCAACTGGTGACTTTGGGCCAGTCACAGACTCAGCCCAACCTACTTCACAGGGTTGTTGTTGTGGGGATAAGAATGGGAGCAGGAGGAGGAAAGGGATGTGAGCTGTGTTGAGTGTATTAAAAGATAAAAGGGGGATATAAATCTTATAAATGACTAAGTCTAGTGGCAAGCTGGTTTTCATTTATTTCAATGTTTATATACTACGTGTTTTCTTGAGGAGAACTTCAAGATGAAAAACAAGCAATTTTTAAAGCTCTTCAAGATCCAAATGAATAAACAGCAATAACAGTTTGGAAAAACAACAGTTGCATATAAGTTTGTTTATATGTTTTATTTCTGTACCACCCAGCAACCAAAGCTCTCTGGGCAATTTACAACACACAAAATATAAATAGCAATAAAAACATCATAAGAATACAATACAAAATGTAAACCCATATTTTAAAACAATGTTAAAAGGCTACAGTAGCTTTAGCAACAGGTGCTAAAAACACTCTTAAAACACCCTTGTTAACCAATTGTCATCTTATGGTGCCACATTTTACATGCTGCCTAAAACAGCAGTGGCCTGGCAAAATTCTGTTGGAAGAATATTCCACAAGGTGAGCACCACAAGAAAAAAAAGGTTCTATCGCATGGATGGAGAACATACAGCCCCCCAGATGTTGTTGGACTGCAATTCCCAGCAACCCTCACCAATTGCTGTGCTATTTAGGGCTGATCTGGAGGACCATGTGCTCCTCATCCCTATTAGAGGAGTTGCTTACCTAACTTCATGAGGTTGGCAGATTGGAAGTAATGTTTTAGAGGATGATTGGTGAATGCATGGAGGAATATATAGAAGAATGCACTCTTTGAAGCACCCAAGTTATTTTGGACTTTAATGTTTGAACCTGGAAACTGTCCGTTGGTTCAACTCAATCAGAATAGGGGTAATATGGTCTCAAGCTCCCACCAGCAACCTGGCTGCCGTCTTAACTGCAGTTTCCAGGTGCTTTTTCAGGGCAACAGCAGGTAGAGTGTGTTAAAGTAGTCTAACCTGGAAGTAGGACATGAATGATTGATACAAAGCCTTCTTCACAACTGGTGCCACCTGTACGTTTTAGTGGGAGAGTTAGATGAAGGAACACCCCAAATTATGAACCTGACCTTTCGGAGGGAGTGCAGCTCTGCCTGCTGGAGGCTGCATGCCTCATTCCTTATTGGATAATCTATCAACAGTACTTTCATCTTGTCAGGATCAAAGTACACGGTGTGCACACACATGCTACATACTCCGTGCAATGTTGCTGATGATGCTTGCTTTTGGTAATTCAGGTAAATGCACTAGAAAATTATAAATGAAGGGATTGCTCCAGAAGGCTCTGATGTTTTTTCAGATATCTACAAATTGGGGCTGGACTTTGTAGACAGGTCATCATTGTGAAGCACAGTCCCACCAGGATCTTGCAACAGCACTACATGCATGTATCAACACAAATACTGTACGTTGAAGGAGTATAAATAAAGCTGTAGTCCTACAGCAGGAATAAACCTTTTGTAAGCTGTAATCACTGAATCAGTAGCAGTTCTGAGTAGAGAGAAGTGAGATTGCATCCCTGGGCTTCATGTAGGTCAAGGAACACATGACATTTCTTTGTGATTTATTCCATGGTGTTTGATAGGTTTACCTCTTTTAGATGTCAGATATTTTTACATTGGCTGTGTTTGCACAACAGTTCATGCTGTGCCTGACAATCAGTCTCACCATAGGCTTTCACCACTCTTTATCCTGTCTCTGGTTCTCCAGGCAGTGTCCAGAGGACTTTGCAGCTAAAGTTTCCTTGTCTTTTCTCTCTAGGGCAATTAGGAGGTCTTTTTCTCCCACTTGCAGTTTCTTCCCTTTCCCCCTTTTTTCCATAGATTGCTTTTCATTATGAATCCTGGATTCCTGAGCACTTGTGTAAAGATTGGTTGGTCTTGGTACCTGTGTCCTAGAGCAGGGGTTTTTAACCACCTGTCCACAGATTTCCTGCTGATCCATGAAAAAGCTCTGAGGAGGAGCTGCAGAGGGGCAGCATATAAGAACAGCAACTTGGGCTCAGCTTGCTTTTCCCATTCACTCAGCGCTGCTGAGTTGTATTTGATTACATTTAATTTCAATATTTTATTAGCATTTTTACTGCTCAGTTTCTGGTTGTTTTAGACAATTATCATTTTTGCATTATATTTAAAAACTAATATACAAAATACTATATTATTATTAATGCTTTTTATTTCTGCCTCAGTGGTCCCTGAAATGTTTTTCCTATTTTTGCCAGTCCCCAACTGTAAAAAGGTTGAAAACTAGTGGCCTAGAGAACTCAATCTTGGGAGATGATAAGCAGCCACAAAGAATTCATTAACAATTTAATTTGATTGTTCATAAGACTGAAACTGGGAGCTTTCTTTGGCACTGTATCTTTTTACATTTGTCTGTTGCTGCTTCATTTGCATTCCAGATCCTTCCTTGGAGCTCTATCTGCTTATCCACAATTTGGACAGCCAGATGTTGAGAGGAGACAAAAGCCAGCTAATCCTAGGACAACTGTCATCCCTTCCCAATATCTACCTCATTGCTTCTGTTGATCATATTAATGCACCACTCAGTGAGTTATTAGACATTCTCTCTCTCCCCTCTCCCTTCTCCCCCTCCCTGTTTGTGTGTGTGTGTGTGTAAAAGCCAGTCACTTGCCCCAGTATCGCATTCTGCAAATGGGTTCAGAAATAAACTTAAACAGATTGAAGAATGTTTCATACTACACCTGAAGCTTGCCCATAACTTAGAAGCCAGTTTGATAATGGTTTGAAAACCACAGTTTGTGCTGAGTGTGGTTTCCTGCTACCATCTGATTTTTCAGACAATTGACAAACCTCAAGTAGGGTCACTGCTGCAGCACAGAAATGAAAATAACTCCACTTTAAGAGGCTGCTACACTTGGGAGATAACTTGTGAAGTTGAGTGCTGAGCATGTGGGAGACAAAAACAGTCAAATAACTCTAAACCAGCAATGTGATGCCCTTCAGAAGTGGCAGCCACATGCTCAGCCAGCATGAGATATATATGCTCCAGAAGGGAAGGAACTGGGAATCCTGCAGACCTGGTCCATTTCCATTCTGTTAACCATGGTAAGAGACTGGGGGCATTATGTCTGCCAGCATTAGCAGTCACAGAAATCCATTTAGCACTGTAAACTAATTAAGTTTATAGTACTGGGTTGATATTTTCTAAAAATGGGATTCTGAACTATTTGAGTGTGCGCTTGTATATATCACATTGTTCTGGCATGAAGGGCTGGATCTGGCATTGACAGTAAACTTTAAATATTTAATTTTAAGAGTTCAATTCAATCTGGATGCCCATAACCCTCTGACTTTAGGTGTCACGATGATAAGTGGGGAGGAAGGGAGCTGAGGCACTGCCAGGATACCTCATATTGACACCAGTCCCATCTTCTCCCCACCCATTCAACCTCTTCTCCAAGGTGACTTTTGCAAATTCAGAAAATAACAAGTATGTTTCTTTCTAGACCAGCTGTGCTGGGTTAGGGAGGGAGGAAGCTTCCATCTCTGATGTAGGGGTGAGGTTTCAAGGTTGGAGATGGGATTCTGAATAATCCTGTGACTGTCTGGATGCTGACTAGCAATCACAAGATTGTGCCATACTTTACTTATTTCATTTCCATGCTGCTCCATCACCAAATCTATTTCATGTATCACTGTGCCAAGCACTCAACAGTTTAATGTTTTCAGTTGAGGATTTATATGACTCAGTGCAATTATCTGGTAAATAACTGTGGAGGATCGTAAACTAGTTTGGTATATTAGCTGTTTATTAAATAAACAAAGCACTGGGAATGGCTGTTTAGTTGGTATTGATTTTACCCTTGTGTAGGTAGTTACGTTAAGGTAGTGTCTCTTTCCTGACTTGTATTGTAGGTCCAAGTCAAAGAAAACACACACCTGTTGTGGAAGAAACTTGAGTATAGGAAACTTATAAGAAGTATTACCTTTTTGCAGGTTTTATTTGTAAAGCTATTTCCATTGTTGCAGATTTCCCAAGAACAATAAGTTAATTTTTAATTTTAAATACGAATCAATACAATATTTGTGAGAAATTCCCCCACCATCCTAAAACCTTAAGTCAACTGAATTTCTCCCCTTTACCTGTCATTTTCTCTTACAGTGTGGGATCAGGCAAAACAAAGCATGTATAATTGGCTATGGTATGAAACAACCACCTACAGCCCTTATATAGAAGAAACATCCTATGAGAATTCCTTATTGATTCAGCGGTCTGGGTCTTTGGCTTTGAGTTCCCTCACACATGTTCTGCACAGTCTCACTCCTAATGCAAGGTAGAAATTCTCAGTGAAGAAAAGGCGAGAATGATTTTTACTGGGACTGGGACTCCAGTTTTCAGCTATAGGGAAAAATCTGTGGGGCTTTTTGGTTTTTTAAACATAGATTAATAATACTTGTAATTGTTATTATGATTATGTTGGAGATAGCTATTTCTATATCATAAACAGAAAAAAGCCATCTGAACGCTCTGTTTTCCTGGTATCTCAGAATTAATGTGGCCTCATCTTTGTCTCAATACAACTAAGATGAACCCCACATCTTTCCTTGCAATATTGTACATGCTTTATATATTCTCTACAGGTTATCTGCTCCCACAAAATATTTGATTGAATTTTTATGTCCAAATTTGCGTTACTGCATTAAGATTTTTAAAAAGTTTATCTCAGGAAGGAATTCTTATTCTGAAAGCATCCTGTTGGTGATAAATATTTTCAATGAAGATTTAAAAAGAGTGGAGCAGAGGCCTTGATGCATGAGGGAGTTTGTTCTGATGCTAAGTGGATTTGCAGGGTGTAGAATAAAGAACAAAGCAACAATATGAAAAATAGAGATTTAAACATTCTTATTTTCTCAATTCTTCCATGTTCTCCAAATGGGTACATTTCTGGTCTTGTTTAAATTATTTTTTTCTTTTTTCTCCTCAGGGGAATTTTCAGGCTTTTGGTAGAGTATCAATTAGAGAATAAGGATAACCCCTCGTGGCCAGGTAACTAATCTGCCAGTTGTCATGAATTCTAATTGTGTTTTTCTGGAGGTTGAACTAGTATAATTCCACCAGCCTCAAAACTAGTGAAGCTCGGGAAAGGATTTTTGTAGAGGGCATGGGAGAGCGTGTCATCTATTAGTAAATATGATAAAATGTCTTGTTTATAAGATAGGTTGGTTGTATTACATTAGTACATCTGGGTATGTACTCAGGGCCGTCTTAACAGCATGATGGGCCCCGGGCAAAGCAGTGTACTGGGGCCCCTACAACAACTACAACTACTGTTAATTTTGGAAGTTTTCCAATTTTGCAAGGGTTAATATACACAGATTAGTATGGGGCCCACGGGCAAGTGCCCATCAGGCCCATGCGTTAAGACGGCCCTGTATGTACTAGCAGTGATTTACATGAATGAACACTATTCTTGTTCTCAGTGCCATTGCAGGCTATTAGGTGAGCACAAGGGATGTTGGGCATTCCCGGTTAGCAGTACTATGATTGCAGGACACTCTTTGGATTGTATTTGTCATCAAGTATATAATATGTAATTACATAGTTGTATTTATGTCAAGCTTCTGAGGAAATATCTTTATAGGGTAGCATACAAATCTTTCTAATAAAAATAATTGATTAGAGCTTTTATTTTGCTCTACCTTTTTATGTTGTGTAGTCACTCCGAGCAATGATGCAAAAGAGTGGGATATAAATAAATGGGTTAAATATCAGCTTTCTTTGACCCAAGATGGGCAGCCTCTTTGTCCCCATGCATCAGCTGTGGCAACGGGTCATATACCAATGATGGATGTAGCTAATGGAGTCCCTCTTACCCTCCACTATCTTTCACATGGACACAGCATCCTTATTCCCACTTTGTCCCTGATTGTAGATTTCCCTTCATGGCTGCTCATCTGATGAGTGCTGGCCAAAGCACAAGTTACCTAGGTAGGAAGGCAGGTGTGTTGTTTAAAAGGGGACTCTTGTGCATAGAGGTTATTCTCCCAGTGCACTGTCATTTTCATTTCATTTGTGTCCTCAGCAGCTTTACAAACAGCTCTTTGCAAGCCTGACTAGATCATGATTGTCATGCCTTCTCCCCATCAAAATTCTGCTCTCTCCACCCACCAGCCTGCTGAGCACTGCGAGCTGCACTGTGGGTGCTCAAGGGCCATATATAGACCATGGATGATCCACCTGTCTTTTTGACCTTTCATGTACTGCATAAATGTAGGGAATGCTCCATTGAGACTGTTTTCAGTTTGCTCATCAATAATTCCAAAGTATGATATTGATGTATCTTTTAATGTTCTGAAGCCCTTTGAATTTTTTTTAATACCAACTAGATAAAATGTTTTTAAAAATGTATGCAAGAATAACTTGCTAGAATAATAGAAAAGAATAATACTTTTCTAAATTGTATGCTTATTGTGAAGTAGCTAGGAAGTAAAGTGTGTACACAAGATCAGATCAGTAATAATGGTAAGCTTCAAGAGCACATATACTAAAACTGGAACAAGGCAGAAAAGTTTAGTATGGCCCCTGCACAGGATGACACAAAAATTTGTGAAGTATTTTCTATCGAGAGCTGGTGTGATAGTTAAGAGTGTTGGACTGAAGACCTGAGCAATCTGGTTCTAATCCCCACTTAGCCATGACGTTCAGCAGGTGACTTTGAGCCAGTCACAGATTTCTAGCCCAACCAACTCATTGGCTTGCTGTTGTGAGGATAAAGTGCAGCTATGTAAGCTGCCTTGGGTTTCTCCCAAGAGGGAAAAATGGTGGGATATAAATGCAGTAATAATAGCAATATGATCAGCAGCAGCCATGGTGTAGCACGTTAGTGAGCCTATGCACTTCTAACTTAACAGTAAATGATGATTTGCCATTATGTCCAAAACACATTTAGAGCTGGATTTGTATTCCTGGTTTGTGAGCAAACTATTGTTTGTACAAACCTTAGTTTGTATAGTTTGCTACCGAGAGAGGAGAATGGTACATGCAAAGAAAGGAAGTAAACACAGGGTTATTTCACATAGGTGTGAATAGAATGAGTGCATACAAATTCCCTGTGCTGAGTTGCGACTTCCAAGATAAATGTGAAATTGTGCCTTGGTTTGCATTCCAATGTATTTTTGCTTTAATTCTGGATTGGTTTTATTCAAAACAGTTCTTAAAATATGCATTTCACGTTAGAGTTTTTAGATAAAAGAGGATTCTTCCTCCTCATCTCAGTTCAGAGATTGGTTTTGACAGTGCTCCTTCAACACTTTAATGAAAAGACAGTAACTCTGCTCTCAATTGCACGAGACATTATTTTTTAATGCTACGTTTTGGTCTCTACATGCTTCTCTTCACCATTAGGGCTTTCCTTCCAAGATTTCTATCAACAATGTCGAGAGGCCTTTCTGGTCAATAGTGACCTGACACTTCGAGCTCAGCTCACAGAATTCAGGGATCACAAGCTCATTCGGACCAAGAGGGTAAGTGAGGTGCTGTTGTGTTGGATATGAGAACATGACTGCCTAACCAAGTCTGTGATGGTGTAAGTAAACTGGAATGAGTGTCTCTGACTGGATGGTAAATGGCAGTAAAATTACTGGCAAGTGTGTTCTTAATCAAGATAGAAATGCCATTTGTGTAGTAAGTGTGCCACTAGAACAAGGTAAAGGTCTGTGTGTTGTATCCAAAACTAGGGGCATAAACTGTTTTCTGTATATTTCTGATAGGACATTAGATCATGTGCTTCTGAGAGAGAAATATGCCTCAATTTGTTTTATCCTGGCAATGCTCTGTAATTTCAATGAACAATTTGGTGTCAATACACTGAAACTGGGTTAAATAAAGATACCAGTGTTGTTCTTATGCCTCTGAACTAATGTCCATGATATGCTTGTTTTCAGGGTGCTGATGGAGTTGAATATTTATTAATTCCTGTGGATAATGGGACCTTGACTGACTTTTTACAAAAAAACAATGATGCTTGATAGCTTTCAAACATCAAAGGGCAACTGCTTCCAAGAGCTGCTGAAATACCTCCTGCAATGTAGCCTATTTTCTGATCTCAGGAGTCACATTCGCCTGTAGTAATGCTGTGTATGCAAAGCCAAAGTGTTGTGTAAGCAAAGCCAACTTTTAGATCAGTCTAGATCTGCTCAGGTTTAACTTCGTATGTTGTCTTCCTCCTGTCTGGTCCATCACAAAGAGAATTGATAGTAATGTGCCTTCTACTTAAGTCTTCTGGAAATAGGGGCTTGCCTGGAGTAATCTGTGCATGAAAAAGTGACTGGTTGTCAGCGGTTTAATTCTCTTCACCAATGGTTGAATTAATTGATCTTCTAATGTGAGTAGTGCGAGAATGAGCGATTGAGACAGAATTGCCTCAACCAGAGTAAAGCAAAATATAAATATCAGAGATTTAAGATATGGTCAGTTTATTATAATTTTAGCCTTAATTGAGCACAGGAGGGCTTCCACCTTCACCCCCAGAATAGAAGCCATTGTGAAAATTAATTTAAACTGGCAATAGTATCACTAAAAGAAGTGGCTAATTTTTAACACTGGCTATCTTTAAGACATCAGAAATGATGTAATCTATTTTTAAAGTCCTCTGAATAAAAATCACATGTGGTTGTATAATAGTTCTTTTTGTATGGTTCTGTCATTACAGATCAATAACAATTACTGTTTTCCGATTTTAGAAAAGATCCATTTCATGCACAGGAAAGAAGCCTAAGTTGTATATTTCAGCTGTTGCTAATCTTTCTTGCCCAGCATCAACTGCAAACATAGACTGAAAATACTTATTTGCACTTTAATAATGCAGAAGATATTTATTAGACTCCTGAACATTTTGCTAAAGATTGAAAATTGAGTTCTGGATAAGGTTGAGAAAGAGACTCTGTAATCCTAATCAAAGTTACCCTGGGATACTTCCACTGATTTCAGTTTGGCCTACTGGCTAAGTAAACATGCCTAGGATTGCACTGTTAAATACTCATGTACACCAGCTATTACCCCTTAAATGGTAAGTCAGGGTTAAGGTAATCTGTACCAAGTTTACATCAGGATCTGTTTGCCACTCCAGTGGAAGAAAAGAATTTCAAGTTGACGGCCTTATATAGACTTTAATGCCACCACAAAACCTGCTTCTTTCAGAGCTTTCTATTTGAACTGACTGGATTAATAATTGAGGTTTTTTTGCATTGGCCACCACAGTGCATGAGATGTTGGATGTGTTCTAGTAAACACTGGGTTAGAATCTCCCTCCTGGGTAGCCTTGGGTGAATCACTTTCATTCAGACTAAATTATCCCACAGAATTGTCACTCTAACATAGGAAAATGTCATGTATGCTGCTCAAAAATACAGATCTGAAGAATTCATGTCTTTGAGATGAAGGGAAATTAAAATAAACATTCAAACACATCATTTTTGTTGCTTTATAACGAAAGTCAAATTGCAAACAGTTTGTCAGTTACCAGCACTTTGGAAATGAGATTGCCAATATTCTGCCTGCTTTTCCTGTTTGCTATACGTTATGCTCCTGAAGAATATACATTGATGTTCTGGATTTCATAATGTGAACATATTTGCCTATACCACTTGCAGAGGATCTTGATCTCTCTCAGAAACTATGACACAGATTTTTTCTTCAAGGTGTGCAGTCAGTGTTTTTTGCAGCTCCAGGAGAAAACCCCTTTCAGTGTTGCTGTGCTCACACAAAATCACAGTTATCCCTCTTGAAACAGCATCCAGCACATCATGGTGAGACATCTCGCCTAGAATACATTCAAGGTGAGATCAATTATATGAGGGACTGGGCTACTTCACTTGTAATAGATTAAGATGGAGAAGAGTCAAAAGACTTCTTTGTTATTGATCATATGTAAGCTGATCTTGAAACCTTTTCGATCAAAGAGTGGCGTAAAATGCTTAAAATGCATAATATAATAATTCTAGCATGGAAGTATATCAAAGTTCTGGACTCAGCCTGGGAAATGGATTTCCAATGCCCAACAGTGAAGTCCTGTATTCAACCCACCCTAGACAGCCAGTACAGCATAGTGGCTAGAGTGCCGGACTAGGAGCTGAGGGACCCAGAATCTAGTCCCCAGTAGGCCATGAAGCTCCCTGGGTGAGTTTGAGCCAGTCACTGACTCTCGCTCCAACCAAATTCACAGGCTTTTTGTGAGGATAAAATAGAGAAGCAGACCACATAAGCAACCGAGTTCCTTGGAAGGAAGCAAGTGACACACACATTACATAAATACAGCCCCATTTCCCCCACAAAGAAACACATGGGCAGGCAGGATGACGGCATACTGGAGGGGTGCCTGCGCTTCCCTTCATGTCCCCGACGGGTCTGCTGGGTCTTTGCCATGCAAGCCCCTTGTCTATCCATTTTTGTCTCATTTCTCCCAGGCCTAAGCTATGTCAGGTTTGGGTGTTTCACTTGTAAGTTGTTTTGCAGAAGGGTTTTCTTAATGGATATTATATTCAGGCAAGTTTAGCCATCAGCTGGGACTATTCAGTGTTTCCTCCTAGATTCCAAGACAGCTAAACAGATTCTTCTTAAGAGGGAAGCTTTCGAACATTTTGTTTGAATGAAAGTTTTTACCTGTGAGATAGAGATCACTTTCTGTGCCTCGCAAAACACTAGCTCCTGAGCCAGCACACAGAGCAACCACCTTCACAGGAGACTCTACAAAACAGGCAACAGTATCGTTAAATGCTTTAAATTCTAGACAGAGCTAGGCAATACAGAAACTGAGCAAGTCAGAAGGGGCCTCCCAGGCCATTTAGTCTGACCCCCTGCTCCAGCTGGATGTTTTTCCTGTGGGGGGCTGCCTGTGGCAGTTGGCATTGTTCCAGAAGCTATATACAGGTGTGCATTTCCTCAGACCCCCTTCAGGTCCATCTGCCCTCCACACACTTAAACTCCTTCCTATGACTGAGATTCTCCCCACCTCCTGCCCTCTCCCCCACTTTTTGGTGTCCTATGGGAAGTGTAATTCTAGGGAGTCAGCAATGTGACAATAGTCCCTTGTGCACTCTCCTCCCCATCACAGTCATGCCGGTTGTTTAACAGAACTGGAAGATGATATGCAAGAAGAATAAATTCTGTATGCTGTTGTCCCTGACAAAAACATACTTTGTTCAGTCCCCATCATCTCCAGTTAAACTTGGAAGCAGGCCGGGAAAAGCCTCCCTATGCCTGAGACCTGCTGCTTGCCAGAGCAGAGATGCAGGGCTGAATAGAACCACCATTGGGGAGCAAGTACCACAAGTCTGTGGCTGTCATCTGTGACATGTCCTGAGAAAATATACTGTACCCAGTGATTTCCCTGCTCCAAGAGCTAGGCGAACATGAGACAGGCTCAAGTGGCATTTCACTCGCTCAATCAATTCGGATATCAAGACTGGCTCCTTCAGTGTGCATAAGCGCCCCACACCAGTATCTTCAAGTAGTGGCTAAGAAGAACCAGAGATTAAAGAGTTAGTTTTGAAGTGTTAAGACATGTGTATCTTCTGCAAGTCAACAAGAGTGGATAGTCAAATTAGTTTCAAAGACAGGCAGTGTAAGTTGTCCTAAAGTTTTGTATGATACAGTACTTGCTGTTTCTTAATGCTTTTTTGCCTCAAAAGCCACCTATTGTTTGTGCTAAGAACTATTCAGTTTGGCTGCCAGTCCTTTACACATTTACTTAGGAGCAAGCCCCACTGATTCAGTGCAACTTATTTCAGTGGGGCTGGCTCCTAAGTTAGCAGGTATAGGAATGGCCTGTAATATTTAACTCCCATATCTTAAGGCCAGTTGGTACAGTTTCAGGTTCTCCCACTTGATGTCTTAATTTGTCTCCAATTGTATGCATTCCTAACCTTGCAGAGATGCGAGATATGACCCAATGATTGGTTGCACGAGCCATAAGAAGTAGTGATGTTGTGTGAATCTACACCAATTTCCCCAGGATGGCTTGTTTGTGGGCCACAAGCCATCCCAACAACCCATACCTTGTCCTAGGGGTTGCTGTATGTACTCTGGATTCTTGTGTTGTCTGAACCCAGATGGCATCATGGGTATAGTGAATCAGCTAGTGAGCAAAGTTTCCTTGCCTCTTTTTAAAGGGGGCTCCCAGGAGAGTGCCTTGCCTGCCACCTCCAAAGAGTCCAAGCAGCACTTGGGGCAGCTGGCACCAACCTTCTTAATGCAAGCCAACTGGGACTCATAGTGGCTGTTTTCCCTTTAAGACTTTTTTTGGGAGGAGACTGCAACCCCTTGGCAGCAGGAACCCCTGACCCTAATATAGCTGAGGCTTAAAATCCCTGCAGTTGTGTGACTGTGGTAAGAATTTATTTTTGTGCACAAAGGACATAAAAATGAAAAAAATGCACAATTTTATGTGCAAACAAGTTCTTTAAAAATATGCAGGGCAGCCCCTTCGAGGTGTCACTGGAGGGATTGCTTAAAGCTGTTGGGAAAACCTGACAGCCAGCTTTCAAGATCTCCAAGTACCCCTAGTAGTGGGGAATAAAGGGCAAGCACCTTTCCTTTCTGAGATGTCCCATGAGACATCTGTGGGAGGGCAGAGGGGGAAGGAGGAAACCACAACCCATGATTGTCTGCTGGGTCGTCGTATGGGTTTTTTCCAAGCTGCTAACCTAGTGAAAGTCGCTACCAGGTACCTGCAGTTGGCTCCAGTGAGGAACTAGAATCTTTTAGCAAAGATGTTCCTACAACATTTCCACCTTTAGGGCAGTCTGCTTTCTAAGACACCCTGTGCTCCAGACATGCACCTGCTCAACTTGTGGTTTACCTTCTGTAAGGACAGGATTTCAGTCTTTTGGAAGAGAAGGCTGTTCTGGGAGAGCAAGGCCACCACTTGCATCAAGGCTCGCTGGGTGCAGTTCAAGCTGATTCGTGTCTGCTCTTCATCCTGAGTCCTTGGAAAAATAAGGAAGTTTTTACAAAAAATTAATGTAACTGTTCTGTCATGCTTTGGATACACAGTATTAAAAGGTTAGTTGAGTCCTCTCTTGAGCATGAAAGGGCAACTTGTGGCTCTCCAGATTTTTGGCCTGCAGTTCCCGTCAGCCCTGGCTAATGATGAGGGATGATGGGAGCCGTAGGGCAAAAGATTTGGAAGGCCACAAAGTGCCTACCCCTGCTCTCAAGGGCAGCTCCCAAAAGCTGCGGCTATTCTTTCACCACTGGCCTTTAACATACAAAGTGCTGCAAGGATGCATCTTTGTTCCCCCTGTGGCTTAATGTATTTTATTCGTGCAGGCCAATGGCATCTAGAAATATGGGCTAGCATATCCTATCCAGAGAACACCCAGCACATGCTCACTGTCTCTCATTTGCATCATCTGATCCTGAAGGTACAGTGGAAGATTTGAACTAATGGCAGTTTTAGATTGGATGGGTGGAAAAAGTGCTTGATGCTGACTGAGTTACTTTGGATCTGTTCTAGGAATAGGTCCACAACCTGCTTTGGCTGGGTTGCACTCCTCTTGAAGCATACTCTTGAAGCTTCAAGAGTATCTCTGAATTCAGCCCTGCTTATGTGGCAGTCATTCTGTATGAGAGCTGCAGTCATTCCTGGAAAAATTAGACCTGGCTCTAGTCATCAGTACTGTAGTTAACTACCAGAGTAGATTACTGTGATATATCTTACATGGAGTACTCACACGGAAGACAGACTGGATACTTCAGTCAGCTCAGAACACAGCTGCCAGGGCTTTGCCTGGAGGTAACAGAGTAGATCAAACACCAAAGTTTCTCTAGTAGTTTCTTAACTCCAAGTGCTGTTTTTTGACCCTGAAAGTCCTAGTAGTATCTCAGGAAGCACTTTCCCTCACAAGGCTATCTAAGAACTTGGCAGTATCTCTGGGTGTCCTTTTCTGAGTCCTCCCATGATCAGACATATGGCCCTTGGTTGTCATGGCCAGCATCTGCAACGGCTGGCCAAGAAAGAATCGTCTGGACCCATCACTGCCCCTTGCTTCTAGACAAGTGGTAACGATGCTTTATTTCAGTTTTGTACCCAATGCTACCTTTAAACTTGTAACCAGTTTTGTGATTTTGATTTTTGAATTTGATTTTGTGGCTGTTTGCCTTTACTTCTCATAGAAGTAACAAAGTTCTCATATCAACATATCTAATATTAAGAAAATAATACTGACTTTACGATATGACTAATAGAATGCAAATACGAAATACAAGATACTGTACTAAACCAAGCTGATCAGAAATGTCTCTGGAACAGACACTCCTACCTAATTAAGCTTTTAGGTTTTGGGTAAATTGGTAGAAAACATTATTAAAAGTGGAATCAGCACATAGAGGGATAAGCTCTTCTGATAACTGTGGCAAGGCACTGTTTGTCCAAGCAGGGACACAGCTGATAAAAAGCATTCCTGGGAACCAAGTCTCCCTGGGCAACAAGTGACAACTTGGGACCCAGGAATGCTCCAAGGCTGCAGACCTTTAGGGGGACTGCAACCCAATCCAGAATAGGTCGAAAATTCCTCAGTTGATCAGATGGACTCCCCACCAACAGTACCTCCATCTTATCTGGACTGAGCTTCAGCTTATTGGCCCACATTCAGTCCATTACCAAGAACACCAGTTCAGAACAGTCACTGCCTCACCTGGAGATGATGAAAATGAGAGGTAGAGCCGAGTGTCATCAGTGATGACACTTCAGCTCAAACCTACAGATGACCAGCAGTTTCATGTAGATGTTAAAAAGCATGGGGAACAAAATGAAGCCCTTGCAGCTATGAGCTACCTTTGTAATCGGAGGTGGCAGACCTGCATTCTCCAGTTTCTAAGAAGCTTGGGCAGACAGACATCTTGTACCCTTCCAAGTGGCAGCTAGTTTGCCAGCGTGCGAATGAAGTACTAGACCGGGTGGGCTACTGGTCTGATGCAACATGGCTTTTTCACAGCTTTGCCTGATATTCAAGCTTTATTGTTGCTACAGAAGATCTTCTCAAGTCAGGAATCAGAGACTATGTAATTATGAACTTTGGGTGGGGGCGGGGGGAGGCCTGCTCCTTACTTTCAATTACGCCATAGAGATTTTCTGGAAAAATACTGGCTGCCTACAAACATTCTATTAGTATGAACAAAGATGCCAACCCACTTTAAAAATATGAGTGCTTAATGTTCTGGCAACCAGAAGTTTGGTAACAACAGAAAGAAATACCTGATAGGGAGAGTTGTGATGAGTGACACCTCTGGCATTGCACGCACACTGGACAAAACTGTTTCTAGGTCTTCTGCAGAGCTGGCACTAAATTCAAGCCGGTAACACCCCTCTGTGGGATGCTTGCATGCAATAGCAGGTTGCAGAGGAACTAAGCTGCAGGCCCCTGGGAAAAACAAAGCAACACCTTGAATGATGCATGCAACACATTTGGCTAAGATCTAGGTTCCTAACAACCAACATGTATGTCCTAAATTAAAAAAAACACTGTACCATTATTTTTATAATATATACTGGCTGAATTTCTTTACAGTTGATTCATTCATCAGCATGATACATATCTGAAGTGCTTTTATAAGTATAAGCAAGCAGCAAGCAAGATTAAGCGTACAGTCCTATGCATGTTTAGGCAGACTTTTTTCTCAACATTCATAGGATTTTGCCTTAAATTAAACAACAATTAAATGATTGTTACTAAAGACAGCCAGTATAGTGCTTAGAGTATTAGATTGGGACTCAGGAGATCTGGGTTCTAGTCCCCACTCTGCCCTGAAGCTCATTGGGTGACTTTGGGTCAGGCATGGACTCTGGGTCAGGCATGGACTCTTAGGCTGGCCTCTTCCACTGCAATACTACTTCTATTGTATTAATAGAAGCAAAGAGGGATCATGTATCCCACCTCGGACTCCCTGGGGGAAAGCCAGGCTAGAAATGTAACAGAAATATAGGTATAGCTTCAGCTTCAGTCCTGTAAGTAAGTTCAGAAAGGTTGGTAGCCCACTTTTTTCAACTAACCTTTTGTGGCCTGGCAGAGGAGGGATAGAAAGTTCTAGCCTTTCTGTAAGCAGCCTGCTGCGTTTTCAGGGTCTAAAGAAGAGGGTTTCCCTACTCTAGCAGCCCTCTTTGTTTTTAGGCTGGGTGTGGAGGCCAGAAAGAGCATTCCATGCATTGTCCAGCCACCCACTCACTCACCTGTATGAAATTCCTTGTCATCAAGGGCTATCAGGCTAATGCTTAAATGCAAGGCTCAATCTGTATTGTTTAAAGACATTTATTAGCGGCACATTACATTTCATCTCATGTACGCCCTGCCTGTTTTTCCTCTTGCGGGGAACATAAGGCAGCTTACATCATTGTCCCCTTCCTGTCCATTTTATTGTCACAACAATGACCAACCCTGAGAGTCTGTTAGGCTGACAGTGACTGGCCCCAAATGAACCAGTGAGCTACATGGCTGTGTGGGTCTCCTGACTCCCACCCCGGCACACTCAACCACTACACTGCACTGGCTTTATGCCAGCAAAGATGTGCTTGTCTGGTCCTTACTAACCTCCACTACAGTGCATGTCTGATTGTTTTTATGCAAAGCGTTTTGGACACCAAGGAGCATCTGGATGTGTCACTGTCCCCTGTTCTCACAATGTGTACTGCAGAGGGTTCCAAAGACCTGCACCATGTGCTTTTGCTAAACAGATGTGGACCAGATTGCTGTTCAGCCTGTTTCCGGTTCTTAGTAAGCAGCCCTTCAGTGAATATAAATTCCTAGATGACAAGAAAACAGGAATTTTCACAGTCCTGGTTGATGTTATGATTCTTTAATGCAAGCTTTAAGGTAAATCCAGTAGCCCTTGTTCATGTGATTGAGTTGCCACATTTTATTATTTCAAATTTCTGAGGTCCTAATGCTTATGGCACCTCATCTACAGTCACTAATGAGTCTACAGAGCTAACAAATCAGGCCATGAGCTCCTGTTTTCCCACACTTGCCTTCCCGTAATGCACATGGTGGTGGCTGGCCTTTCTTCACTCCTGCCTACCTGGAAGCCCAGACAGTGGTTTTTAGACTCTGAAAACCCTGGCTCAGAAAAAAAATAGTTGGGGACATAACTGGGAGAAATTTCCACCCTTGAGGAAAAGAGGAAATTTGTGAACAGTGACAAAAGGGCAGAGGTGATTTCTGAGCCCACTCCCTTAAGCCGGGGTTTCCCATCTATCATCTGCTTTCCATGTTCTCTCACCTTTGCCCAAAAGACAGACAACTGGCTTCCCAAGCAAAGCCATCCGTCTGCAAGCCACTTCTTTCAGTTACCCCACCTTGGAGCTTCTGTATAGCACTTTTCAACAACAGCAACAACATTAAAATGTTAGGGGATGCCAGAAGCATAAGCTTTTAAAACACAAGTTCATGTGGTGGTCTTTACTCTGGCCTTGTGCCACTATATAATTCCCGAAATGTATTTAATTTCTAAAGACAAACGAGTCTTACCAAGTCCCTTGGCAAGCCAGTTATTAACTCCATGAGGTATGGCATCATAGGCTGTATGAGGAGAATAAATGCCAATTCTGTTTTCCAGGGCTCGGATCACCAGACGTTCTTTCCATGTATTCCATGTTACACGTTTGAGTGGTTGGAAAATGGGTGGGTGGTAAGAGAGAATGAGATCTGCTTTTTTCTGCACAGCTTCCTCCATCACTTGCTCCGTCAGATCGTTGGTCAGAAAGACGGTATTGACTGTATGGGGAGGACTTGGCTCAACCAGAAGCCCCACATTGTCCCAACTTTCAGCCAGTGAGAGCGAAGCAAAGTCATTTAAGGAAGAAACCAGAAGCTTCAGCTCCATGAAGGATCGCGAGGCCAAGTCAATCACAGGCTGAACACATAAGATGCGCCGTGCAATCAGCTTCAGGTGAGACCGTCGCATTCAGATTGCTAAAGAACCTCAAACAATTAAGAATACTGAAATAAAACATACGATGTCAAAAGACTACAAAAACTAAAGTGTGAAGTCGGCTGGTTGAAACTAACAAGAGAATCCACCATGAAATATAGTACTACAAGACACTTGTTGCCCTCATTCAAACATTCGCACTCCAAATAGCAACATCTAAAGCCTTTTTTTTTTTTTTTTGCAAAATCATTAGCTTCCCAAACATACTGTTTTAAAAACACTGGTAGATGATGTAAAAACAGTTCATATTATAAAATATATATGGTCAAGCCACTTTTCTAACCTTTCGAGGATTCCAAACAATCTCATTAATCACAAGAGATATAAATCTGAGATTTATTTTCTTTCACAAAGTAATATGTGAGAGCCTAGTTAATGCCCAAAGATAACCACACAATTTATATTCAAACAGATTCAATGTATTAGCCCCCAAACCTGGAAACTTCCCACCTGGATTTTGTGAAAGACACAACAATCAAGGCTCCATGCCAATGCATGTTCAGCTGTAAATTTCACTGAACTCAATGGGCTTTTGAATAAGCATGCATAAAGAACTGATCACTGATCAGTTTTATATGCCTCTGGTTGTGTTTAAACAATCCTGAATGTGTCAACTTAGGGGCTGAGGGCAGTATCCAATACTGCTACTGCACTAACATTACCAGGAACCACTGCTAGCACAAGAGAAGAGTCAAGCATTTGCTAGTGCAATCCAAAACCTGCTGCTTCTGGACCGGGACAAGGAGTGGAAGTTTCAGGTGGGTTCTTGGATCACACTTCTGCTGAGTGAGGGATCAATTCCTCCAGTGCAATATGTTTAGAGCTAGCAAACTGCCAACACTTGGTAAAACCTAGTTCAGTAGCTTCATAACCCTATGTTTGCCATATCCATTCTGCAATCACCTTCCTTCCCAATTTATCCTTATAGGCAGCAACATCAGGGTTATCAGGGAGGGACGGCATCACAAGATCACATCCCGCTGAGTGACACTGGGACCATGGGAACAAGGGGGGGGGGTATGGAGTGTGGAAGACATTTGCAGAAATCCATACAGTCGGTTTTTCAGTTCATTTGTTTAAGCTAGAAGGAAGAAGTTTGATAACAGCACTGAGTTGCATTGTTCAACAATCCAGTGCAATCTGTAGTCGCTTGGAGGACACCAACTCCTGGCACGCCTAATCATTGGCCATGCTGACTGAGAATGATGGGAGTTAAAGTTCAAAACATTTGGAAAGTGTCGGGTTAGGGAAGGCTGCCCTAGCTCCTCTGCCCTCCATTTTCAGTATCGAGATAATGGCACCAGCTTACAATATAAGTTTGTGCGTGCAGTTCCTAAGTTCCCAAATGCTGAGCACACAGATAAGCACATGCACACACACATGCACACACTCTCCATGATTGGGTTTGCGTGATACAACAAGTCACCATAGGTGACAAATCATGGTGGGCTGTCATGCCATGTGAACCGGAACTGTTTCCTGTTGACAACCCTAGTTTGTTCAAGAGATTGTTGGACCTATGATGGGTTGTCATGTTGTCTGAACCTAGACAACCAACCCCATCTTGGGTCCATGAAAATGGTCAGTAAGATGCTCAGCAGGAGCAACAAAACCCCTTTGCCATTTTTGCTAAGCTTGCCTGGGCCACCATCAGCACTGCTGTCTCATCGATGCCTAAATGGCATGGTGCAGTCCTTGTCACTGGCGTGGAATCCTCAGCTGTGCTTGTGACCCTGTTTGTTCGCCATGGCTTTCCCCCACGTCCCACCCCTTTTCCCCAAGTTAAAAGCCAGTGAGAACCCATGCCAATTGCTCATGCGGCACAATGGAGGAGCTGTCACTGCTTCACCACTTTTTTAAAAATCGGTGCCCCAAGTGTGCACAGATATTTTCATCTTTCTAATTGTCACAGTTAGGCTTGCAAAGTCACAGTTTTAATGCTCTGTGGTCTCTGGACTAATATCCTTAGTGAGCACCCGCTGCACTTTCAGACCTGACACCTGCCAGATTATTGCCTGGGCAAGGCAGATTATTTCACACCACTGTGAGTGCAAAAACTGATCTCTGAAAAAACAGGGGAAAAACCAAAACAACCCATGGAGACTGAAATAGGGCTTATGGCTGAAGTAGAGAGAGCAGAGAAGGTGGCCTTAACTGCCAAGCTCCCTGGGATGCCAACTGAAGGACCAGGAGGGGTGAGTAGTGAAAGGCGGGAAAATGCACAGGGAGCCCAACTGACTGTTAGGCACACTGTGCCTTGTTTCATGGACAACTCTTATTCACAGTGTGGGTTGTCATGACATACAAATCTACACTGTCGTATGTCCTATTCCTCTCATATGTTATCTTGGTAATGAACATGTGCGCACACATAGATTATGGGGGGAGACATCCCAAATAATTGGGAAATATGCTACTAATGCCGGATCCATGCTAACTAGCCTTATTACTCAACTGCATTTTGATTCTGTTGAATACACTGCTTTGTGCAGCATGGTCCTATGCATGTTTCCTCAGATGTAAACCCTACTAAATCCTTTTTTTTTTCTTCCAAGTGAGGGCGGGCAAGAACGAGACCTTCACATTTAAGTTTCTACAGATCTGTTAAACAGAGTACCCCCCCCCCCAGCCTGACCCAACCCCAGTGAGGCAGTGGCTATTCTGAATCAATGTCTGGATTCGGTAATTGACTGGATGAGGCCCAATAAACTGAGATTCAATCCAGACAAGAGAGGGTAGTCCGTTTGGACAATATTCAACCTCTCCTGGATGGGGTTGCACTCCCCCTAAAGGACCAGGTTTGCCATTTGCTAGAACTAGAACTAGCAACAGATCCAGAATGGTCACTTTAGTCTCAGGTGGCCTCAGTGGCACGGAGCACCTTTTATCACATTGGGCCCACTTGCCCACTACAATCCTGTCTGGACAGGCAGAGCATGGCCACAGTGATCCATGCTCTGGTAACCTCTTGCTTGGACTAGTGGAACATGCTCTATGAGGAGCTGCCTTTGAAAATGGCATTTTCCTACTGATTCAGAGCAGAGCAGAGCAGCATGGCTAACAAGGACTAGCTCACAATACTGTATCATGCCAGTCCTCTTTCAGCTGCATCAGCTGCCAGCTGAGGTCTGGGCCCAGTTGATGATGCTAACATTTAAAGCCCTGAATGATCTGTGGCCAGGTTATCTTAAAGAACACCCAGAGCCTGACCCTAAGAGGTTCTTCTCAGGGAAAAGCCCCCCAAAAAGTAAGGGGGGGTGATAACTAGGAGAAGAACCTTTTTCTAGGAGGAGATGCACCTGGGGCCATCCTTATTTTCTTTTCAGCACCAAGTAATCTTTTCATTTTCCAGATATTTTAATAGAAAAGATCTGTTTTAATTCTGTTTTTATTGTATCTGCAGCTATGCTGTGCATTAATTTTACCTTAACTGCTGCAGGTCGTTGACCACTGTTATTTGGTTTTATTGTTTTACTCATTTAAATATGATTGTTGCTGTATGTTTTCACATTTGTAACCGCCCAGAGAGCCCTATGAGCTATGGGGCAATATAAAAACGTAATAAAATAAAATAGCATTTGCACCTTTTTCTCTCTAGTTCATCAAACATTTTTTGTTGCCTTCCTCTCGCTCCCACCTGGAGAAGTAGGGATTCTGCCTCCTCCTGAGAATCCTAAACAGTGCAAGCCGATACGTATCTACACTGAAATAAATCCCATGGTTCGAATGGGGATTACTTCCACGCAATGCTCACCTGCGGCCGCCTCCTGCCCCGCTTTCCCCGGCGCAGAGCGGGCGCGCTCTCCCAGCCGCAAGGCTGAGCACGCCGGGACCGGAGCAGGCGCCGCCACCAGGCCGGCGGGAAGCCAGTCGGAGGCTGAGCGCGCAGATTTGCGGCCCAGACGTCCTCCCCGGGAAAGCCTCGCCTTGTCGTCTGCAACTATAAACGCAGAAGGGAACTCACGGGAGAACGCACAAGGGAAACAGCAGCCGAGGCTATTGTCGCCTTCCACTATCCGCCAGACGTTTTGAACTGCAACTCCCATCAGCCCCATCCAACATGGTCAGTGGTCAAGAATGCTGGGAGTTGTAGTCCAAAAGGGCCGGTGGCCATGCGCGGGATCATGGAGTACTGCAGAAGCGGCGTGGGCTGTACCATGTTTAAAAGTGGGGGGTGATATTTTCTAATATTCCCCATATTATGCAGCACAAAACAGTTTCTCGATTTAAACCAACAGCGACAGCTTAGCCTTCTCCCCCAATTAAGAACTTTCTCTGCGCCTGTGTTACTGGAGCAGAATGTATCCTTCCATTACTCTGTTTTTAAGGTACAGTCCTATACATTTTTAAACTGAAAAAAGTCTTGCAGCGGGCTACGTTGTGTGTTCCCGGGCTTTTATTGTCAAGCATGCATAGGATCGCTCCCTTAGGCTGTCAAGATTCACCTTCCTCAGTTCGCTGATGTGCTGCTGCATCTCTGCTGCTTTTTGCAGTGGTGTTTTGCAGGAAGTGTTTGGACGGGCGTGCTGCGTTTTCCTCGCTACCAGAGATGGTGAGGCATGTTGTTTTAATCTCTTCTTGTCTAGCTGTTTGCAAGACATTTCTGAGAAATGACCACCCATAAATGCTCTCCCTATTTAATATAAGGCCATTGCTTTCTTCTGCATTATCTCAGTAACAAAGCAATCCTATGGCCCCCGGTCATTGTCTAAGGGGCCATAGGGTGCTGAAGATCCCCGTCCTCTGAGGCCCGAGACAGCATTCTGACTTCGGAAGAGAGTCAAGGATCCCTGCTCCCCCGTCCCGCCCCTGCCCTGCTTTTGCAGCCACTGCGGAAAGAACCGAACTGGCTGCCCTTTGAGACTAGAAAATCACCCTTGGAGCCGCGTAGAGGGAGAAAGAGGCCTTTCCAGTAAGCAAAGTGGAGGAGACTGGAGAGGCAGGATACGTGGACAAAGAGCCTAGCTAGTGAAAACTGCACGCTGGGAGGACGGGGAGATGCAGGTAGCTTCCACCCTCCTCTTGTCTTACACTGGATAATCGGAACCTCTGAGTTCAGGGCTTTCAGTCCTTAAAGACACAATTGATAGGAGTAAAAGGAGTAAATAACTCTTACAACAGCTCTGGAAGGTACACTGTGTGCAGAACCTATATTGAAAATGGAGCAGAGAGGAAAGCACACGTTTTAGTGTTTTTGGCAGACTTCGTTCATGTGGTTGCAACGGGTAAATGAACTGGGAGATTACTTAGTAATCTCAATCTTAGATGATATTTGGTCTGTGAACTCCAAGCTCCCTGACTGTGGTTCTGGCCAAGTTCTTCTGTGCAACACAAGAAGCTCTCTGCCTTCTTGGCATTGCATGTAGCACTGTATACCTCGCGAAGAGAGTCTGCTCTTTTGCCTAAGTGTCACTGATGCTCTCTTCCCATTGCTCTTTTTTTTTCTTTTCATCACGTGAACGTTTGGGCTTGCTCTTAACCTGTAATGGTTTTACCTTTAAAAAGTTAATTAAATGCATTTAATTTAGTGGGTCTTAACTGCCAGTGAACCACACATAAGAACAGGTGGCAGAAGTCCAGGATGAAATGCCTTTTAGAGAATTTTTTTCCACTTGACTGGAAATTTTATTTTCTATCATCATCATCATCATCATCATCATCATCATCATCATCATCTTAATAGCCAAAGCTGTTGCCAAACATTCCTTGGATCTTTGAACAGAAAACAATTGAATAGTCATACACAACTCCTTTGCTTTGTAATTCCTGCAAGAAGGAACATGTTTCCATTATTAGAAAACCTGCATACTTATATAAACTGAGACTTCCTTACATTCCAATACTAGGTTGAATTCAGCATGCTGGCTGTAGCAGGCTGGGAGTTGCAGCCCTTTTTTCTGCAATAATAAGATTGTGCCTTTCGTTATGTTTAGTATAGACCAGGAATTTGGGATCTCTTTCAGCCTAAGGTCCAAATTCAATTTTGGAGAAGTTTTTGTAGGGCAGGACATTCTAGTAGTGGATGGAGTCAAAATATAAATGCTAACATATTTTAGCTAAAACCTCTTTTTTCCAATAATGAAGCCTTAGAAGAGTTGTTTCAATATTTTGTAATTGCAGGGAAACATAAGGTGGGAAAGCAACAGATGAGGGATAGTTAGGAAGAAAGGGGGGTGGGTTCTCTGGGGACTGTCAGTGGGCAGGATTTGGCCCACAGGCCTGAGATCTTGCATGCAACTTAAAGGGTGTTAAATTAAGAATGATTAACTTGTCTCATTTCAATGGGTTGTATCCAGATTTAGTCAACCTGCTGGCAAAATAGTCTTCCCTGGTCCCTTCATCTGCTTAGTAGCCCCTGAAAATGCTGCACAGGGGACTTAGTGTCTGCTGTTACGGAAGAAGGGATTCCCAAAGACTGGGAAGAGGCACCTTCTGTGAGTGGAGCCCTTTGTCCATGTGAGACAAGTTCTGGACCAAACCCCTTGACTCTAAATAAGATTAAGTCTGGATCCAAAATATTGTGTGCATTCCAAGATTCTGAGCTCAACATTTGAAGAAGGAGAAGCAGCAGAAGGAGAAGTTAATTAAACACAGGAATAAATTTGCAAAAGGACTGCAAAATACATAGCATTTGGACATTTCTCTCTCTGCATTTTAATATTGAGCACTTCTTTCTGCTGATCCAGTTCCACTTGATATGATCAGTTCTAAACTGGTTTATGTCTATTTGGTTACATTTGGCTTTATTTTTAGAAGACTGTGAATAAAACAGTTGAATTCTCTCCCCTGCACCCCAGGCTGTGACACTGCACTCTGACGTGGGAGATATTAAAATAGAGCTCTTCTGTGAAAGAACACCCAAGGCTTGTGAAGTAAGTACCAAAACTTACAGATGAAATTGTGGATGTTGTGAGTATACCTGACCTCTTCTCAGATTGTATAAACCAAATTCTCAGAAGGGTGCAATAGCAGAAGATGTGAACCTGATACTTTTCAGATGTCTTGAAATTCAGCCCCAAACAGCATAATTAATGGTTACATATGCTGGGAGTTCTAGTCCACAACATCTGGGGGACACCAGATTGCCGAAAGCTGCATTAAATGAAGCATTTTCTTGCCCTGTTAGGCATACTATAATTGAGAAAGCTTTATACCTGCTAAACTAGTTTAATTTGAGGCATTCTCTGTTTTTACCTAGGTAAATAATCTGCCTCTGGCTGGTTCTGGCTTCTTGTGGCTCTGCAGTGAATGAATCTATTCATTTTAATTTGCCACCTTTACTTGCAAAATACTGACACTTCCCATCAATAAGGTATCATTGGCAGCAGACAAAACAGCCCCAGTTTCACTACATTACAAAAGTAATGCAAGATGACTTGGACCATCTAACATATAGAAATGTAAGACAGAAGGAAGTAAGATCAAAATAAGTTGCAGGGGGTGGGAGAATGAAGAATAAAACATTGGTGCATTTAACAGGAACTATGCAAGTTCTGGCTGTAAAATCTTCTTGTGTCTTAACTTTATTTATATGTCATATTTCCATGATGAAACCATGTCCCAAGAAGCTCACAACAGCATCAGAACATTGGTCAGACAATGGTACATCAACATTTCATAACACTTGTTAATAATGCATTTCAAAATATCCCATCAAAATTTAAATAAACATAAAAGTCAGCTTTCCGATACACTAGTCAAAGAGCTCACAAGTGAGATACTTTATGCACAGACATACTATTTTATGGGCTTCATAACAGTTAACAGCTGGGCTGTTAACATATCTATCCCAGTTCTGCTTCTCAGGTTTCTCTGTTTCACTGTATAGTGGACAATTCATTGTTTTTATTTATCACTATTATTTAAATAGTATTAACATTCTTTCCTTCCTCCCCCCCACCCCCCAGTCCCCTTTCCTTTGTGTTGTATCTTATAGATGGTAAGTCCGTAGTCAGGGACTGTCTCATTTCACAAATTTTATTATAGTACCTTTAAACTATAATAAAAAAACAACTTGGAATATATAAAAATTCACTCTGCTAAATACAATATATTCTTCTATCAAAACTACTCAGAGCCTAATATCTTTCGTATCATATTCTGCCCCATCTGATTTCCAAATTAATTTTATTTACCCAGCTCACTTTCAAATGCATTGTGTCTTCCAGGTTACAAAGGTTCTAAATCAAGTGAAGGTTACATTATTAACAGGTAGAAGATATTAAGAGCTGGTTAACAACACCTTCCATCTTGTCTAGATCTGGAACTCTGGTTAGTTTAAATAACCCAGTTTCAGAAACTTATAATCTGAGGTTGTCTTGTTTAATAATATTCATAGTTAATATTAACTACAGTTTCAGTCCAGCCAAAACAAGAAAGCACAGTTAAGCAGATGCTTTCATACACCACCTCTCTGCCATTCAAGAAGGAGAGGAACACTTGATCCTGGGAGGAAGCTGAATTTGTTCATATCTCACCAGATCATAATTTAGAATGGCATCGCTACATAGCCACTATGTCTACACAAGGGCTTAGAATGTGCCCCTCTCTAACCTGTCGCTGCTGGTTTAATTTTTAATTCACATTCCTGTTCTTTCTCTAGAATTTTTTGGCTCTGTGTGCCAGTAACTACTACAATGGCTGTATTTTTCACCGGAATATCAAAGGCTTTATGGTGCAGACAGGAGATCCAACAGGTAATTCCTTCTGTTAAAGCTAGGACTCTGAAACCAGGGGGTGCAGCCTGCTCTCCATCCCTGCAAATATATACCCTATAACATGGCACTATCAATTTTACACTTGTGCTGCTCAAGGGTCCGTGGTTCTAATTGTTTTGCTTTTAGGGCATTGGCTCAACTTGAAATGGAGACGTGTCTAGGCATGCTTTCTTCATATAGCACAAACACCAGTTGGCTGGCTGGCTGAAGATTTTGGGAATTACTTAAGACCTAGTAGCTGATCAACAAAACATTTGTGTGTGAATTGAGATGGCCACTTGTTGGACCCCAGGACCTACTGGATGCTTCTGTGCCATTAGTCTGACGTACAGAAGTCTGCAGATTTTGGCTTGGCTTTATAGCTGCCTATATTCATGGTTGCTGTTAAGGAGTTACTATCGTCCGTTCTGTACATGAAACAGTTGCCACCAGAGTCACGGCCAACAGCCGGCTAGCAAGCCAAGCCAAAATCTGGGGACTTTTGTGTGTCGGTTTGTGATGGCACAGAAGCATCTAGTAGGCCCCAACATGCTAGAGATCGCCGCAAACTGCCTTCTCACACTTTTCAGCCAGCAACCTGGTCTCAGTAGTCCCATGATCTTCAAAAGTCCTCCACAATGCTCAGAGAGTGTGAGTAATAAGTGTGAGGTTTCTCTGATTTGCACTCAGGTTTGGAGACACAGGAAACAGACAGACCCCCTTAGGCTGCTCTGAAGAATTTTTTCACTGTGCTCTTACCTTTTTCCAATGCATTGCACCAGTGAGGGAATCTCTCCACTTTTCGGAGTCCTCCTCTATGTTCTGAGGTGGGGAAGGTGAACTATTGTGCTGGATACAGGGAAGGGTGGTCACCACTGGTGATAGATGGCCTGCATTTGGGGCACTGTTAATCTATTGCCCTACTTCTCTCCCTGCCCCAATTCTTTCAGGCTCAGGGAAAGGAGGAAACAGCATTTGGGGCAGAAAGTTTGAGGATGAATTCAGTGAATACTTAAAGGTATGTTTTCTTATCTGTTACACTTGTTCATTTTGTCGCTCAGCTCCCTGAAGGGGAAACCTCCTCCATTTTAAGGCAACGGTGTAATTATTGCAGGTCCGGTTGCTCACCTCTTCACTGGTGAAAGTATTATTGTCCCCCAATGTGGTTTATTGAAGCTCTTCTCAATCCGGCACCCTCCAGATGTTTTGTGCTACAGCCACTCTGCTGGCTGGGGGGTTGTGGGTGTTACAGTCCAACACATGTGGAAGGTACAAGATCCAGGTAGGCTAGTGCATGGGCAACAGGACAGTTTGGTAACGTAAGTCCGGATGGATGTATTAATGCTTTCAGGGTGTCATTAGTCCATAAGCCCTGAACATCCTGGGACTGCGTTACCCGAGGGACCATGTCCCTGCTCTGACTTCTCCATCATTAGAGAAATGCTTCTGAGGGTGCCACATACCCTGGATGTTTGCCTCAGGAGCACTTGTAGCAGGCCATTTAGTGTTGCGCTGCCCACATTCTGGAGCCTGCTGGCACTGACGTTGCACCGGCCCTCACAGTCCTGCGGTTCAGCCATCATCTTAATGCTTGCCTCTTTATGGAGGCTTTCCCTGAAGTGTGCCCCAGCCAGCCGTGGTTTGTAGCCCACAGCAGAGCACTTGGGTTTCTCCACTGATTAATAGCATAGTGCTGTTTTTAGTGTTAGTTTATTGTTGTTTTTTATGCCATTGTATTTTGTTCCCCACTTTGATACTTGGTGAAAAAGGGTGATATATATGCCTAAATACCCAGCGGAGGTATTCTGTCAACAGAACCCATGCTGTCAGCTACAAGAGGTGACTGTAAAGAAAAAGAGAAACTTTGTACAAGGAACTGAAGGAGTTCAGCCTCTTCTTATTATTCTGTGCCATGAGCATTTGCCCCTGTTTCCCCGGGGGGGGGGGAGTTCCAGAGATGGGGAGCAGCAACAGAAAAGGCCCTTCACCTAGTTGCCTTCTCATCTCCCTGAGGGGTCAAGCTGACAGAGCAGCAGCTGGAGCAAGGAGGGAGAGAGAGAGGGTGCCCGGGACCAATATGGCACTTCCTGGGGAGGGAGGCCAAAACGAGGAAAAGTGGAGGCTGGAACTGCTGCAAAGTGAGACAAGTGGGCGCGTGGCAGGGATCCCCCTCCCCACCCGCCAAGGCTTGGCAGCACCGTGGGGGCGCCTCGAGGAAGATCCCAACGGAAGCATGGAAGGGATCAGTGATAGCCTCTCCTCACCTTTAATTTAGGTCTCTCTGTCTGCCATTCCGCTCCTCCGGTAAACTTTCAAGCGCCACCAAAGCTCCTGTGGCTTTCCCAGTGGCTGGTTTGGGGGTGAGCAGAGAGGGAAGGAGGGAGTGCTCGCGCCTGGATGCAAGCAAGCCCAGCGTCCCCAGACTTGGGGGCACTGAATGTGAACATGGCTCCTCTCTGTATTGTGTTTTTAAGACAAAAGACCCTAATGTATGAGTTGTTTTTTTCTAAACTAAAACCTCAGTATTCAGGTTTTATTGCAGTGTTAGCACTTTGTGATAAATAAGTAGGTTCTGGGTTGTAGTTTGGGCACTTGGTCTCTAAAAGGTTCACCATCACTGGTGTAGACCAACAAGCTGCCATTATCAGACAAAGTTAGCAAACAGATCCATGGACAGAGCACAGCCATCAAACGTGACTGCTTTAAATTGCCTTAGACCATCTGGTGAATGACAGGATTAGACTGTATTAGACTGCATTATGAAGGCCGTGTTGCTTTTTCTGTTGTGAATGCTTGTTTCTATCCATGTATCTCTTTTAGCACAGTGTCCGTGGAGTTGTTTCTATGGCAAATAATGGTCCGAATACAAATGGATCGCAATTCTTCATCACCTATGGCAAACAGCCACATCTAGACATGAAATACACTGTCTTTGGGAAGTAAGTAATACATGGATGAACCTGCTAATGTGAATAATAGGAAAACTATGAATAGTAGCCTTCCCAAATTTGGTGTCCTCAGTATGTTTTGAACCACATCCTTAACTGTTCTTTGTGCTGGCCAGGACAGATAGGAGCTGTAGTTCAAAACTGGAGAGAGTACACTGAGTTGGAAGGTAATGTAGTTTCAATCCTACTTGGTGAAGAACATCTGCAGTGAGTAATGTTTTCTTTAGGGCAAGTAGAGAAACACTATGGCAGGTGGATCTTTTCAGCTGCACTCATGCAGGCCTGCTGCTTTTCTCCGAGCTCAGAAGCCTTGCATGGACCAAAAGATCTTAAGATTCCCTCCCTCCCTTAACAGAGCAGTTGAAATTTAAAACAGCCTTTTAAGCTATTTATTTATTTATTTATTCGATTTATATCTCGCTTTTATATTATAATGAACTCAAAGCAGCTTATATCATTCTCCCCCTTTCCCAATCTTATCCCCACAGCAACATCCCTGTGAGGTAGGCTGGTCTGAGAGTCTGTGACTGGCCCAAAGTTACCAGTTAGCTCCATGGCCAAGAGGGGACTAGAACCCAGATCGCCTGAGCCTGGGTCTTAACCACTACACCACACTTGGCTCTCACTGTATGGAGAAACACTACAGCATTTCTTTCCCCTCTAAGAATTTTTTACGCACTCTGCCTTTCTATTCTCTCCCATCCCATTATACCCAGCTATAGCATTTAATGTGAAAGTCCAATATAAAGATACCACATGGTGAAGTCAGCAAAAACATAAGTGTTAGCACCTGTAAAGAGAAAACCATCTAGATTGTGATACAAAGCCCTTTAATTTTCATATAATGCACAATCATCCTTGTGATAATGGAACTTGCAAAAACTATTATTCTTATGTACCTTCTGATTCCCCCCACACTGAGCCTTCCATGTAAGAGCTTCAGTGTCACTTGCAAATTACGTATTTTTACTCTAAGCTGCTCTTTGCTCCTTCCATGCCCACGGTCAGGAGCTTATTTGTATTGAAAGGGGAAACAGCAGTGAAAACTCTCTATGAAATATGTTACACAGTGTCTCATTTCATTTTGTGCTGGATGAAAGCTGTAAACTAATGCTCTCTTCATAGCAGAAGAAATGACTGCATAGGGAATCTGATGCATAATACGGGATTTTTTACATTTTGTTCTCCTAAGAAGCTGAACATTTACAATTTTTAACTTGTGCCTTTCTGTACAAAGAGTTTCATAACTATTTTATTTTTCTTTTGTAGAGTAATTGATGGCTTGGATACACTGGATGAACTGGAGAAACTGCCAGTGAATGAAAAAACATTCCGGCCCCTTAATGAAGTTCATATTAAAGATATTACAATTCATGCTAATCCTTTTGCATAATAATTGTCATGTGCCTCAATAGATTTTCTAACATAATGATTCAAATGAACACTTGTGAGCCTTTGGACAAATAGAAATTAAGGACTTTCCATGGTTTCCTAAATTGCCACATTACACAGGGGAGAAAACCCAAAGTCTAATGTGTGAAAGTGTACATATTTAATAAAACTCAGTGTGGGGAGAGCATATTGTAAAATATATTTTACATATTTTTAATAAACCATGCTTTCTCGGTTCTCTTGTTCACTCGATATACTAGCTGCTCTTCTGATAGATACTGACGAGGTTCTCATGACATAATAGCCTGTTATGGATTGCTACCCATGACTGTTCGTCTTGTCATGTCAACCTAGATCAATCCCCTCAGGGTGGATAGTTTGAAGGCAACAACCCATGTTGACAACCCATGTTTTATTCTTGGAACTGTATTATCATTTATTTAGTTCCTATACTGCCCCACAACCAAAGCTCTCTTGTATCATGATGGGCTCTTGTATTTGGTTGTCCCAGTTGAAACCCACCAATTGACCTGGCAAAAACTCTTTTTAGATTCCAGAGTTTTGATGGCTGAGGCAGTACTTAAGCTCACAGAAATCATGTTTTCTGCTTTTCCAGGAAGGCTTGTCTTTCCACATACCATCAGCTGTATCTTTAATAAAGCTTTTAACCAATTTACCTGGAACAGAAATTAAACTGACTGGCCCATAATCTTAGATTCCTTCTGCAGTTTTTTAAAAAATTGGTGCCATGGTGGGCATTCTCCAGTATAGATACTCCTCTCAGGGATATGTTACATGTTTTTAAGATCAGCAGTTTCAAATTTGAGTATGACTGATAGCTTTTGAACACAGTGATTTATCTATTTGTTGATAAAGTTATGAACTTCTTTTGTCACCACTATTTGCCTCAGTTCCTCAAACTTGCTTGCTGAAAGCAACAGCTGAGGTCAGGTATCTGCCTTACTAACTTTTGCAGTGAAGATGACTGCAGCAGTCTGGTTTCCCCATGCCTTGAAAATGCTGTCATCCAGTTGTTCAGTGCAGAATATACAAGCACAAAGAAATAGCTTTCTACCATCTGAAGAGTCGTTTTACATTGGGGGCTCCATACACTCTGCAACTTGTAGGACTGAGGTCAGCCTTCCCTAGCTTGCTGTCTTGGGACTACAACTCCGGCACAGTTGGAGATCACCAGACAGAAAGGCTGTGAACACTGCACAATTTGACCTCAATATCCTTTTTCTACTGAATTCCAACTTTGCTACTAGAGAGACTGATGCTCTCGCTTTGTTTCTGCTCTGTGCTCACTTAAGGATCTCTATGTTTGGGCCAGTGCAAGAGGGTTCTGAGTTGCAACCGGAATTTGGGAAATGCAGGTCAACCACTTATTCGTCCCGGTAAGTGCAACAGCACTGACTCATTTGGTCTGCAATCACTATTTTGAAACCAACATTACAGACCTCATAGTTGCAAAATGCAGCCTAATTTTTGAACTTTGCTCTTTCCCCATCCTTCGCCTCTTGTAATAAGTTGGCTGGGGAAGGGTTCTTGAAAACTGCACAATCTTTCCATTTTGGCCGGTCTATTTAGCAAAGACGCAATCCCATACAAGGTTAGACTAAAACAGGCACAATTACATTTGCATAAGATTGAGCCCGAACTGGATTTTTCCTACCAAACCTACTCCGCCTCTTTGCTTCTTTTTCAATCCAAAATTCGGATTCTCACACGCCAAACACATATCCGGCTGCAGGATGAGGTCACTTCACTATCCTGGTTCTACCCTCACGCCTCTCCCAGCCGGAATACAGGTACGAGCTGGTTTCTACCAGGCAAACCAGAAAACTGCTGCACACGTGACCCTTCCAAGAACACGCAATGCGCAAGCCTCGTTCGCGCAGTCCTACGCCTGGGAGTTCTTGACGCCTTTGCGTCACTCAAAGGCTGGTCCTGGTCGCGCATGCGTGTCCTTTGTGACGCCCTTCCCTTTTTCCAGAAGGTTCTTAGCCGGCGCCATTTTGTCGCTGTGAATCTCTGTTCGGTGGCGGTGCTTAGAGAGAGCTAGACAGCGGCAGCTGAGAGAGATCCGTGGAGCGGCCTCGACTCCGAAAGCGCAGTAAGTGCCCCACGAGGTTGTGTCGGGGGCGGTGTGAGAGCGGGGCACTAATCAAGTTAAGCCTGTGTTAACTGGGAAGATGAATTTGGGAGTGCCTGATAGGGCTGTGGAGAGTCAGGAGAACAGGAAAACAGAAAATGAGGCGATCTTCCCAGAGGAAAAGAAAACAAGCTAGGAAGATCATGAGAGAAGCGTTATCCTGCTTCGCTTTTTCTCTCAAAGGTATTAAGAGCAGGCATTAGCATGGGAGCTAAAATCCACTGCAGACAGCAGTAGCAAAACAAGCCGAGTGGCGTGAGTGCCTCGGTAAAGGGCTGGCTCCGTCCGGCGCCTGACTGGGTGGGAGGGAGTCGCGGCGGCGGCGGCTCGGTGCGGCTGGGGCAGAGGCGGTGAGCCGCCGTCAGCCATTTTCTCCGCCTTCCTCGGCTGCTCCCGACGGGTGAAGAAATGGCGCCGGGGCGCTGCCTCTCCGCGAGCCTCGCGGGGGGTCGCCTGCTCGGGGACTTTGCGGGAACCTACTGGGCTGGAGTCACGCCTCATCTTGTTCCCCTCTAAAACAGACGCCGCTTGTGTGCTCTTTGCGCAGGCACGTCGCGGGATGGGGTGGAGCAGTGGCTTAGGATGGGATTTTCAGTGCTGTCGGGTCCCTGTTTAAAAGGCTTTAGCGTTCGCTCGACAGGGCAGGTGAAAGTATGTAATGAAGGGGTGAGCGGGCTTCAGGCTTACGCGGTCTAGGTTATACTTTTCTAGAACCTTACAGGAAAAAAGGCGGAGTATAAAGTTAACAATAAATCACAAGATCTGCCTACTGCTGCTTGGTGCAAAATTAAAGTATTCTGTACCCAGAAGCTAATTTAGGTACCAGAACTGAACGGGGTTCACAGTCCTTATACATTAAAAAAGAAACACGCAGGGTTATTTCAGGTGCTTCATTTAAGCAGACGAGAAGGAAGAGTTCATTTTGTTGTTGCTATTGCCAAACGTTTGGGAGTCAGAAAACCTTGCCAAGCAGCTGCAAATTGTTCTGATTTCTTTTTCTTCATCCTATATTTAATGCAAGATAATAGGATTTAAAGTGTTACCATTAATGTTATTTTTATTATACTGGATTTGGCAAATAAGAGGTTTAAGTATTGAAATGAGAAATATATACTTGTTGTAATTTGATAACTGCATGATTTTAAGTATATGTTAACGTGGAATATGTATTTGGGAATGCCAAATAGGTTTGTGGATAGTTAATAGAACAGGAAATGAGGTGATCAGCCTAGAGGAAGTGAAAACAAACTAGGAAAATCACGGGATAAGCTTCATTAGTGTACTGCTTTGATTACGAAATCATTTTTCTATCTAAGAAGTATTAAGAGGTATTAATATAAACCCAAAAAGCCACTGCAAACAACAGCAAATCCCCAGTAAAGGAATAGCAACTGAATTAAATGACATTACAGCAGTTAAAATACTCAACAGCATTTTCAAAATAACTTTAAAAAGAGAGGAAGGCCTTTGGCTTCTCCTCAGGGAGTGTGTTTTGGACACTGTTGTACCATTACCAAAAAGGCCCTGGCTCCTGGACTCCGCAACTACATTTCTAGAGACCAGAGACTGATTTTAAAGCTTGAGCAGGCTGATATGGCAGAAAATTTTGTATTTTGTATTCGATGTTGTAAGCCGCCCCGAGGCCTTGGCAAGGGGCGGCATAGAAATGTTTTAATAAATAAAATAAAAAAATGTCCATAAGTTAGAGGGGAAAGGAGGAGAGTCAAATTAGTGATATGGGGCAGAAGTTTGCTTTGTTTTTCCGTGGAAAATTTTCCATTTCATACATTAGCTATTAAATAGGAATATTTGTCAGTTGCGTATACAATGTTAGGTAAGCTTGGCCTTTTCAAAGTTTTAATTAATATTTTTAAGCAGCTGTCTTTAGTAAGTATGTGAGAGAATACATGTGTGTTACTGAAATACATGCATGTGTAAAACAGTAATGCTGTGGTAGAGTTGAAGTGATTTTTTACCTTGAATTAGTATATTTTGGTATAACACGTTACTGCTTAATAGAGCATTGTACAGAAAGATCTTGCTTATTTTGAGGAAAATAGTTACTGACATGCTGAAAATTGCTCTAAACTGTTTATAATGCATACTGATATGTACTGAAATAGTCGTGATTATATTCCTAATTTTATATCTATATATTACAGATGCGGTATTCCAGGCATTCAGATTACTATGATTGGGATGAAAAGCAATGTTGGGATCCCAAAACAGAGAACAGTCATCATAAGAGAAAAAGACAATCATATAGCAGTGCACATGAGAGCAAGCGCTGCAGATACAATCACATACAAACTTATGATAGGTAAGTAAGTTTCTATAAGTTTATCTTAAATGTTAGCTTTAATTAAAGATAGCCTTATGTGTAATTGCACTGTTCAGTGTGGCTGCTTACAACCCTCTGAACAGCATCCAGAGGAAGGCAAAAGGAGCGCCAAGGCAAGAATTACCGTGGTGTTCCTTCCAGCTTTCAAAGCACTTAGCAAGTTTCAGCCATCTACATGCTTTTTACTTGCTGACAAGGAAAAGAGACTGAGGTGCAGCTGGGATTCTGGGAGAGCCTCACCTTTCCCCAGCCACCCACATCCCCAGCCACCCACATCCCCCGCCCTTGTGCTGGCTCTGAGGGTCTTGCAACCTTGGAGCTGCAGCTGGTATGGAAAGAACTGCACTTAACTACAAGGGTGGAAAGAATATGCTCTGAGGTCAGAGTTCCAGCTCCAACTTCAAAGTGTATTTCCAAGGTTGGATCTGAAACTCCAACCTTTCCTATGGCTTTCTAGAATAGATCTAGCAGCCATAGGATTGCACCCTTAGCTTCGCATTTTCTTACATGCATTATAGAATCAGACAGAATCTTCATGCATGAGGACTGCAGTGTTCTGCATTACAGTGAGCTGTGTATCTTTCTTTCTAGCCTTTATTCAGATACCAGTTCCTTACATGAAAGAGATCATCACGAGCGTCGCTATGTTGAAGAATACAGCAACAACTATAGTCAACTGTCTGAAACAAAGCATCATTACAAAGACCATGAAAATGGATATCACAAGCACAGTAGTAAATCATCCGGTTATAGTGGCAGAAGCAGTTACAAAAGAAAACACAAGACTCATCATAATAAATCACATCATTCACCCACGGTATGTATGACTTAGAAACCTTGAACATGATTATAAATATTTGTTCACCTTAAATAACAAACAAATGAAGACAGTTGGAGGTATATTTTAGCCAAGAATTTGTCAGTTTTTCCTCCTAGATCTTTTGTACCTGAAATGGGCAGGTTGTATAAGCTTTAGACAAATACTTTGCAGAATGATTAGTGTTACTTGTTTATCAGAGAGTATTCCACTGATCTTTTTGAATATCTCAATTAGATATCTGTTGAAAGTATAGTTAAGATGCACCATGCTTAATTTTCCATTTAGAATCAATTGCTACAAATAACATTCTGAATATCTTTTAGAACTTTTTTGAGACCAGAGAGGTCTTATTAAAAATATAAAGTCAGTGGAACAAATGTCTTGGTAACAAATATGGATGTGTATTTTCAGTATTTGATGTTGCTTATGGGTGTAACAGAATAGACTAGGTAGCTATCCCAAATCAGCAAGTGTAATATTGCATAGAAATTGGTTTCTGTGCCTAGATTTGCTCTACTAGCCTAGTAGATTGCTCCCCAAGGGTAGGATTTGCATGCTTCATCAGGTGATAGATGAGTCCAGTGCTTTTCTTCTCCACTCTTCACAAGTGATCACCACTGTCAGAACTGATGGTGTTGATCATCTGTTAAGCAAGAGAGGCATCTCTAGAAACATAGCAATGGGTGCTGAACTGTATTTGCACTTACATGTATAATGCACAGAGCTCTTCAGCTGAAGTGGTTACTATGTGATGAAGGTATTGTGAATTTTGCCATTACTCATGGAGAACCTCTGAGTGATGCAATATGCAAGATGTACTTTAAACTCTTTATATCTTGTCCTTAAATTCCAACCCTTGTTATGTAAAAACATTAAGCAGAAGAATTATTATTTGCAAATCTTTAAATAATTCTCCTAGTGAGCCATATTTTTGAAAGCATATATATTGTGTGTTGTTGCCACTTGAAGTACCTTATCTGAAAATCTGTTCCTTGCCATGTTTTTCTCCTGTAACCTAAACTATGTGCCCTGTGAAATTCTGGGGAATTTGAAATTGTTCCTGCCAACCGTTTGTGGCCTGGCGCGTATCTGAATGCCTGAATATCTCCCTGCTGAATGAATTTCGTATTCTGCCCTGAATTCACTCGGGTATATTGATTGGCTGGATGATCTTGGTGCTGCGCACTTGCCGTTACCAGAGGAGTCACCGAAGGAAAAGATCGAGGAGTGTAGAGGATGATGAGGAGGGTCACCTGATCTGTCAGAGTGGAGACGTACTAAGTGCAAGATGTATAGAATATTTTTCAAAATTTATTCAATTTTCCAATAGAATAATTTCTTTTAGATAAGAAGTCAGGTGTCTTTGGAAGTCCTTTTCTTTCTTTGGTTTCTGTTACGTGTTTTTCTTTTTTCTTTGGGGGGCGGGTTTACATAGAAATTAAAACTTAATTGGAACTTCCTGCATAGTAATCAAAGTTAATCTAGAATGAGATAGGTATAATTGTCTTGAAGCATTGTCCAATTAAATATTTTAAAGATGTCTAGTTACACTTTTTACATAGCAGCACAGCCTAGAACATAGCATGGTGTGTTGAATAATGAAAATACATCATAGCTTGTATAACTGATGTGACCTCCCTGTTTTTAGATGAAATTATCACTACTCTGGGTGAAGGAGCCTTTGGGAAAGTAGTAGAGTGCATTGATCACAAAGCGTAAGTCATAATTTTCTGTATATACCTGCACTGCCAGAGTTTGGGATTATGAATGCTTTTCTTTATATGAACCACCTACATGTTGCTATAGAAATCCTTCCTGAAAACCTATCTTCCACAAAAGATGTAGCTTAACCCCTTTTTTTCTTGGCTGACACAAAGAAGCTAATTGCATGGATTTCATTGCATGTTTTCCTGTAACTGATGTTCCCTGTGTTTTTAAAAACTTTGGAAATTGTCTAGTCTTAATTATTGCATTGTTAAGCATGTATGTTGATTGTGCAAGAGGAAGAATGAGTGGGATCTATAAGACAAATTGTCCTATTTTTCTGCATGCCGACAACATCAGTCAATGTTCTAGGGCTACTGAGCATGCCAAATCTACACTGGACTGGATTTAATTTGGGGGTGGGAAAAACTGCTTTTGTACTTTTGGTAAACCATGGGGTTTCCCTGAGTTTCCACATGTTCCTCTTGTTTGTAATTGCTGAGAGGTTTATGTGTGGTGGGACACCATCTCCTAAGGACCAGCACAGAGAGGATTTTAGTTCTTAGATATTTGTATATATGGTGTGCCATAGATTTCATTAAATGTTTTTCTTTTAATTTTCATATTAGGCTTAATGAAGGAAAACTTTCCTTCTGAATAATGTAAGAATAGCACAATCACAACACGTACTTTGTTGTAAACCACTTAGAGGGCCTCAGCTACTGGTGATTTAGAAATGTAATAAACCACTTTGGTTTTAGTAATAGTTTTGGGTTGTATCTAGCCATGACCATTAGCACAGCAGAAATGTGTGACATAACAGTTTTCTCCCCTCTCACCCCAATCTGACCCAGCTTTCCAGAGCAGATATGGATAGCATACAGGGGGCTGCAGGGAGCAAGGAGAACAAGGCAGGTCCTGTCTTGTGAGTGTTCACATGAATTGAATTCTTTGTGTGTTAATAGATTGATGGTTCTAATTCATTTTCAAACCAAACAGAACTGGTTAACCATTTATTGTGAAGTACCCTACTGACTCTTCGAAACTTATTTTTTAGGGGTGGCAGACGTGTGGCAGTAAAAATAGTCAAAAATGTTGATAGATACTCAGAAGCTGCTCGTTCAGAAATACAAGTATTGGAGCACTTAAATGCATCTGATCCTGATAGCACATTGTAAGTATACAGCAATAATAATGGGGAGTTCTGAAAATGTTTTGGCATGATTTGTGACTGCCTTTCAAGAAAAAGTTTCTGCTTAAAATCTAAGTGGTGGTATTAAATGGTGTACCAAATAATGCTTCTTGTTTTAAACTTAACTTGCTTTGAAATTAGATTTCTATGCTTGGCAATTGTTATTACATTCAGTTCTCTATTTTGTGAATCTGAATGGTCAACTTATTGTATTTACAGTCGCTGCGTCCAGATGTTGGAATGGTTTGAGCATCATGGTCATGTTTGCATTGTGTTTGAACTGCTGGGACTTAGTACTTATGACTTCATTAAAGAAAATAGTTTTTTGCCATTCAGTATTGAGCATATCAGACAAATGGCACACCAGATTTGCAAATCTGTAAACTGTAAGTATGCAAAGCATATACTTGATTTAAATTTCTGTGCTGTCTGCTCTCAACCATAAAACAAATTAACTGTGTAAAGAAAAAATACAATACAGAACATTTTCCTACCTGTTCTGTGAAAAATTAAATTGTATTTGACATGGACCATTTGGGCTGAAAAGAAATTATTAAAATTGACAACACTAAAGTCAGCATTTTTGGTTCTAACTTGGATGGACCCCTACAGCATGACGTGAGATTGACAATTGAGGACCAGTGACTTGCAGTAATACAGTGAATTTTCTTTACAGTTTTGCATTCAAACCAGTTAACCCATACAGACCTAAAGCCTGAAAACATACTGTTTGTGAAGTCTGAATACACAAAAGAATATAATGATAAACTGGTGAGTATAAATTTATTTAATCTGTGTGTTTTTTAGTTAGTTGCTATTTATTGCTGTTTTATTGTGGTTGTTTAATGATTGTAAGACGTCCTGAGATGCCATGCATAAGGGACGGCATACAAAAGTTTTAAATAAATAAAAAAAACCCTCTTACATTGAAAACACTGTTATACTATTTAATGTTTGCTAGTATGCTTAGCAATATATGGTATATTTCAGAAACGTGATGAACACATACTGAAAAATCCAGATATCAAAGTTGTAGATTTTGGAAGTGCAACATATGACTATGAACATCACAGTACTCTTGTATCTACAAGGCATTATAGAGCTCCTGAAGTAATATTGGGTGAGTAATAGTGATTTCAGTTTAATCCAAGAAGTTGCTGTCTTGAACAACAAAAATACTTGTTGCTCCTTAAGAACATGCAGAAACATTCTGTCACACATGTTTGACAGAAACAGGTCCGTCAAACTGGCCAGTTTCTGTCTCTGGCCAGTTTCATCAAATGCTCCACAATAATTTTGTGTCATTTTTAGGACATGCTTTTAAGTGAGTGTGGATTGTAGTTCTAAAACTATTAAAATTCCTTTGCTTACACTTACTATCACCTTCACATGTTGGAATGGAAACATAGTACTAAGTTTAGTTAATAGGTTCTACTGTGTGTTTATAACTCTGTATATTAGAATTGTTGGTGATGGGAGGAATCTAGTTTGACTGTAGCAAATCAAATTTCAATTAATTAAATTAAAATTCATTTGTATTTTTATAATGTTATTAGAGAAGTGTATTTTTTTTCTCCACAGCCTTGGGATGGTCACAGCCATGTGATGTCTGGAGTATTGGCTGTATTCTCATTGAATATTACCTTGGATTCACAGTATTTCCGGTATGTAATTGCCAAAAGGAAAAGAAAAGTTAATAGAGATAATGGTGACTTTCCTTATTGGGAAAGCACAGTTAGTTTTCACAATTAGTTTTACAACACCTTTTATAAGGTATGGTTTAATGCATTGTGTCAACCTGGTGGCCCTCAGAGACATTTGGAC